TAAAGTATTAATTCAAATACATAAAACAAATTTTAAATTTGTTAAGAAAAATTTAATCAATCCTTACCGTGTGAAACGTTTAAACGAAAACTGCAATGAGCGAGAATCTAAGACCAATTTTATACAAAATTCATAGATAAGAAGACGAATATTGAAGAAATTAGCATAATCTTGAGGAGTTTCAGTTGACTGATAGCCTTATCACCACCTTATGACCACATGATCACCGCAAGCGGAAATTTTATAAATTTATTTTTAATAAAGATTCAAAACATTTTTAATCTAATGAAGTACAGTGGAAGCTCGATAAGAGAAATTTCCTTAAGTATAAAAAGCTCGATAAATGTCATCACACTCACATTTTCGAACAATTTCCGTTCGTTTAGAGAAAAAGCTCGTTAATTGTGACTCCCTTGAATCTTCGCTAATTGACTGATAGCTTTATCACCACACAAGATGATTCTATTTTTAATAAAGATTTAAAACATCCCAAATTGGGATTCCCAATGGATGAATTCATAAGTTGAAAAGTGTTTGTTTGTGATGAATTCTCAATTATTTCAACAGTCCATCCATCAAGTGAAGATACTTTGCATGGCTCACGTTTGAAATCAGATCTATCGCTTCTAAAATAAAAATTTACAAAAGTTAATTATCTAAATGAGTAAAAGTAAGAAAATTTAGAATACCCTTTAAATGATTTCGGTGGGAAATAACCAAAGAGTTTGCCCAAATCTGAAGCCAATAACGTTGCCAGGAAGATCTTTTAAAACAGTTTTACGTCTTACGCAACCTTAAAAGCTCATGCAGTCTAATGGTGAATCCAAATTATTTATTATCGAAGTCTCGTTATAGTCTCCGTCAAACGGAATAATTTCTTCTGAACTTTCTGTTGAGATTGCATCGTTTTGAAGTGGCAAGTGAAGTGAATTACCTAATTGTACGATTTTTGTTAATAAATAAATCAGGGTTATATGTATGAGAAGAAGTAATTGCCATGTCAGTAATATTAATTTCTTTCCAGGCCATGTGTCGATACAGATTAATGATACTATTGACTGAGATTTCAAACGTCAATTACGAATAAAAAATTAGCTTAAGCTTTTTGATGTAATTGACAAAAGTAACATGCATTATAAATTATCATAATATTTTCATAACTGTATAAATAAACAAAAATGAAATCAGAATTCAGTCAGTCAACTAAGAAATTCTTCGGGGGACGATGAAAATATTTGAAATATTTTTTATTTGTTCTTTAAGTTTGTGGAGTGTGAAGAGACTACCAAAGACTGCAAGTGCAACCATTATTTATCAAGATGTTTTAGCAAGCAGAAAACTTTTAGCAATTTCAGTTCATGAAATTATCAACAAAGTTTTCCCCAAACATGGAACATCGAATGATTTGTTTTATTCTATCAATGATTTCATAATAAAAGATTTCATTGAAGAACTTTTTGCTATTCACCCACGTCTAATATTTCGACATGGAAATTTCACATTTCTTCCGAAGGATCTCACAAGATGCGTCGTTCTTGTGATAAAATCTTTCAACGAGTTTTTGGAGTTTTATTCTTCAATACCGTCGACAAGTATTAAATCGAATGGATTTTATCTCATTGTGTTTGTAAACGGAAGGATTAAAGAAATTGGAGAAATCTTTAAAATTCTTTGGAAAATTGACTTCTTCAATGTGAACGTCATGTTTGCCGATAAAGATGAGCTCATTAAAGTGGAAACTTTCATTCCATTTACTGAAGGCAATTGCAATAACACAACACCAAAGTTAATTAATGAATTTGTTAATGGAACATTCAATCAAGGCATTGACGAATTCTTTCCAAAAAAATTCAAGGATTTAAAAGGTTGTTTCTTGCGGTTTACGTTGCCAAATGATTCCGAGCCATTCATAATTCCAAAAGTTTTTATTAATGGAACTTACAACACATTTGAAGGCTCCGAAATGATGCTTGGAAAAGTTTTGGCTGAAGCTTTAAACTTTCAAATTAATATCACATATGCTGGGTTTTTTGGATATGTTTTAGACAACGGAACTGCTGTTGGACCTTTAAAGGAACTTCTTGAGGGAAGAGCTGATATTACTGTAGGTGCTTGGTGGCTTAAACTAAACAGGATAAAAGTCTTAGACATGACTTCTTCACATATGAGTGAAACGTTGATTATAATCATTCCACCAGGACAACAATTAACTCCGTTTGAAAAGTTAATCTTTCCATTCACCTTACCATCATGGATACTTATAATCGTCAGTTACTTCTGTGGTTTCATGGTTGTCATCTTAGCTAAATTTCGAAATAAATCAGTCAGAAATTTTATAGTCGGAAGTAATATTAAAAATCCTGTTTTAAACTTCTATGCTGCTTGTTTAGGTGTATCAAATCACGTTTTACCCAAAAGAAATTTTGCGAGATTTTACCTTATGATGTTTATGATTTCTTCTTTAATCATTCGAACTTTGTACGAAGCTTCGTTTTTCCTTCTCATACATTCCAACAAACACCATAAAGAAATGCAATCGATTGACGAATTAATCGCTGAAGATTATCATTTTTATATGCGAACTGGAACATTTGATTTCGCGAAAACAATGAAGAAGCTTGAAGGCAGGTAATTAAAATGATTCAAATCATTTTTATCTAAATTGAGAATTAAGTTTATTATAATTAATCTTAGGAGTTCAATTTCTGAATACGAACATGAAGAAGAATCGATTAAAAGAATTCGAGAAGATCCAAACTTTAAAGGAGTTTTCATCCACAGTCAGATTGAAGTTCTTTATAAATACAAGAAAAGACCAAGTGAAGCTCAACCAACGTTTTGTAAAGAACTTTTCCTCTCAAACTTACCAACTGTAGCTTACACCAGAAAGAATTTCTTTCTTATCGATTCATTAAATGAGAAAATTGAGCTTTTGGGTGCTGCGGGAATAATTTATTACTGGAATCGTGAAACTAAAAAGAATCCAATGGAAAATGCCGAAGTTAACGTAGCTTTGAACATTTATCATTTTCTTGGATGTTTTCAATTGCTGTTATTTGGATTTCTTTTGAGTTTCTTAACATTTCTTAAAGAAAAATTTACAAATAGATGCAAATAGAATTTAATTCGATTAAAAACACTTTTTCTGTCTTATAACTTTCTGTTTTATTATTTTGTAAGCTTTTAATGTTTTAACAGCAATTTTTAATGTTTTGTATTCTTTTCCTACAAGTCAAATCTTTGTCGCTAAAATTAAGTTTCACATCAACTTTAATTGCATGCAGTTTGCGGTTGAATTAATTAAAATGTAAAAAAAAAGTTTCCCTAAATATCTGAACAAATGGATCACTAAATCACTTCATGGTTATAAGAAAAAGTTAACTACCTAATTGCTGAAATGAATTTATAGTAAATAAAGCTACAAAATGTCGATAAAAAAAGTAAATATTTTAATGGTTTATGAAACAGTTGACAACGGTGATCGTTCCCAACACGTTTCTTTAAGATGCTGTGATGGTTCCGGGATTGTTGACATTTATGGTTTGACATAAAGGATTTGTATCGACACATCCAAGAGATACTAATAGATTAACTAGAGCCATAGTTGTTTCTGGTAAGAAATAATAAAGTCTTTTTAATCTCTCCCAAGGCTACATTTATAAATCTATTGGAACAAAGAAAATAATCTTACCAGAAGTAACATGGTGTGGCTTATTATTCGATTGCTTAACTCTTGCAAGTTCATTCGATGCTTTTGCATATGTAAGACATGTTCTGCCTTCATGATCAGTTTGTTTAAGATCAGCGTTGTACTGTGAATAAAGGAAATATTGATTGATTATTTAAAATCTTCCATCTTAAGCACATGTTAGTCAAGACACATTTTAAAAGCGATTAATGCCCCATAATTAGGCATTAAAATCAAATATTTAAAATTTAATTAGGTCATTTAAAGTAAAGGTAATTTTATAACACAAACTCACCCAAATTAACAATTGAGTAATACTTAAATTTCCAATAGCACATGAAAAGTGTAATGGCGTCCGTAAGTCTCTTGGTGACACAGTGCAATTGACATGTTCATTATTTGTGTGCGCCAATAAAAGAATAATTGTCTTCATGTCGCTTCTGTTGAAAAAGTAATAAAGAGATAGATGAATAAAAGCTCATTAATAAAAATGAACATTAACTTACTTCACAACAGATTCAATCAACTGTTGTCCAATAGAAATACTTGAATTGATTGGTGGTAGGAATTCTTTAGCCTCATATTTCCTTCTTATCCAATATTCCTTCTCTTCTCTCGTCGATGTTGGCACTGAATGAATAAAAAATATCTTCATGAACATAAATCACAAATGACTTTTTTATTACTCAAACTTTACCAGGCTTGACCAGACCTCTTGTGCAACCTTCCCACACAGAATTCGCCAAACTGTTACCAATCGAAAGCATCACAGCGAGATGACCCGGTGGCCATTCATCCAACGTCAAAGACCGAACTTTACTTATATGTGAACCTAAATTCCGATGTACACCTGAGCATTCAATGCAGAATAAAATTCCCAAGTTGAGACTCGCCCATTCGGGTGCTTTTGGAAGAATTCAAAAAAAGTTTAATTCGTCAGAACTTTCAAAAATAAATTTTTAACTTACTCGGTGAGTCACAATCAACACAAAAACCATTTCCAGGAATTTGCGTTCTAAGATTTTGCATCAATTGTGCAACATCACTTGAGCTTTGGGTTTTTGGCTTCAAACTTTCATTGCCTTGCAGTGACTTGAAGATTTCTTGCTCGATAATGTACACCCACTCATCACGTTCCTCTGAATTGGCAGCCTCAAAATGCCATTGCTTGTTATCCAATGATACAATGTAGAACTCAAAACCATCTGGATCATCAATGTCATTGTTCTTAACGCCACTACTCTTCATCCTTCGATGTCGCTTCTTCACATTTGGCGTCGTTGATTCAGTTTTATTATTTCCATCACTTCCAACAAAGCTTTGTGAGTTGCTATTACTCAAAGCAATGCCCGATTCATCACCCGATTGTGAACTCGCTTTTCCCGGCTCTTTTAAATTATCAAAAGCTGTCAACAAGACTTTATCACTTGCACGCTTATCTTTCAACAACGATAACACGCCAATACCTTCAGTTATAGAGTTTGTGTTGTTATTATTATTGTTATTATTAACACCATTTTTTGCTTGATATTTGGTAAGTGCACTATTCGTGATAATAGACTTCGATCCCCTTGGCTTTTGACCAGGAACTTTCACAGTCACATATTGCAAGGAAATTTCCTTTCCATGCACGTCATCCATGTAGTCATGAAGTGAAGGATGATAAGTCAACTTTCCATCATCACACAACGTCACATATTTCTTCTTCCATTCTTTATTAAGTGATTTACTGCTTCGTTTGTACAGATAGCCTTGCTTCAAAGGAATTGAACGTCCCGATCCCAATTCACTGTTCTTCAATTTATCTTCTTTCTTTGATGATGGAATGAAAAGATTTGAACGTCTTCTCGATTTTCTTGCTGTCGTTGGTGTACTTGTCGGTGTTGGTAATTCTTTCTCCTTCGATGACATTAATCCAAGAAATTGAAGATTCTCGAATGAACTTGGTGGTGGTTGAGGTTGATGTGAAGCTGAACGTTCGTGTTGCATAAATTTTGGTAAATTATTATTATCATTGCCCAGCAATGAGATGAGACCTTGTTGTGATGACAATGTCGAGCATTTTGTTAATGGACTGTGAGATGAAACATCTAAACTGGATAAATCACTGTTCACTTTGTTTACTGGTAGATGGTGACTAGATGATGACAAGCTGTGTTGTCTTAAGAGTTTTTAAAATACATTTAAAAGACAATTAACAAAGCTTTGTTAATAAACTTACCGATGAGGTAAAGTTGAATTGTTTCCTGAATAGCTGTGATGATGACTTGGCGATAAGCTGCTGATTGTGAGTGCACTGGCTGGACTTGAACCTGTCGACAATCCATTTGTCGGGCTTGGAACATTTTGATGATAACTTGCGATTCCTAATCTTGTTGTTGGTGTTGTTGGACGGGAATTTGTCGGCGTCAATGTTGGATTGACAGTTCTTGCTTGAACAATCTTTTGACATGCCTCTTGAAACACCCGCTCGACATTGAGTCCATATGTTGCGCATGTTTCAAAGTATGAACATCTTTTAAGATCATTCGCAAGCTTTCGAGCTCGAGAATCATCAACCACACGCGGACAACGATCGCTAATCGCATCTACATAATTTTTTTTTTGTTTATTTGCGAGAAGAAGAAAGAAGAGAAGAAGCCGAAAAGTTAAACTTTAAGTTTTTTTTTCTTCTTCATTTTTGTAAATGGATTTGACGATAAACCAAATATGGATAAAATCTCATAACGAGGATGGGAAATCAGTTAAAAAAGATTCAAAGTTGGCATTGAATTTTGTCAGTTATCATTGTCGTCCATCCCTGAACAATTTAGTTAATTCAATTCACAATAAAAATAATAACGAAATAGATTTTTTATACTTCAAACGCAGTGCTGCGTAAAGCTTTATTTACGACACGTAAATGTTATTGAAGTTGAATAGAATGAGTTGAAGAAACACTGAATCAACACTCACCTTGAGTTCCAACCAAAATAATGGGAATTTCAGTGGCATTTCGGTAATGTGACATTTTTGTATAATACGCGTAGATTGCATTGAAGCTCGCTTCATTCTCTAAGCTGAATACGAATATGACGGCATCAACCCAAGCGGAGAACTTGATTGGAAATGTAAAGAATTGTCAATTGTTGGACAGAAGTTTTTGTCTTAAACAGCGAACTTACTTGCATTTCAGGCGCTCCACCTTCATCACGTATCAACAGTAAATAACTTTGACTGTCGATCTGAATCTCTTTCTTAAATCTTCCACCTTCCGGTGATTCTTCTTGCATGTAACTGCCGGTTAAATATCGATGGACAAGCGCGGATTTTCCAGAATTCAATGAACCGACAATGCCAAGTCTCAGATCGGGTACAGCACGCGATATCGTCCATTCTTGACTGTTCACAAATGAATCTGTGAAGAAATCACGTGGAAAGTTTTTTATTTATTTATTGTTGCCATTTATGAATCATTGTTGTGTTAAGTGTGGGTGAACATCAAACATCATCTGATGATTGCATCAAATTTCTTTTGAATTTTTCTTATTTTTAAAATTTTTACCAGATTTACGCTTGTTGCGATTATTTTCAATAATTTGTTTCGAACGTTTAACACGAAATGAACGTCGAAGTACTCGAGTTACTTTGACATCTTCGATCGATTTCCTGTCCGATGATGACAGGAAAAATTTCTTTATCAACGTCAAGTTCATTTCTCTTTTATGTTCTTCACTTTTGTAACTAATTTCATTAAATTGATTAATTTTCGGTACATTGAACGGTTTTCAGTAATGTTCGATGTTGAACTTTTATAAAATTCACAACGCGAACTGGTCGTCGTCGTGTGTTTGCAGTTCCATGTACGACAGTCGACTGGCCTCAAAAAATATGTTTTCGTGTTTATTTTTTTCCTTCTGTTTCTTACACAATTTCAAAATAACTACGGCACCATATGTCTTCATGGACTTTACGTTTATATCTGTTTGCCATTCGGCTCTATTTTTTTTTTGTATTTTTTGCGAATGTATTAAAACCGAGTCGTCGGATTGATAAACTTTTCGTGAAAAACTCAACCAACATTCATTTTCTGTTAAGTTCGCTAATGAAAAAAATATTTTTCGATAGATAAAGGCATAAAATGTTCTCGTCTTTGTGATATCATTGAACTAGTTTGAAGTATTTAAAGATTCACAAGCATGAGTCAAAGACTGATAAGAGGTGAAATGGAAAAAGGAAAAAAAGATAAAATTACAAATCTACGCGAGTAGAAACTTCAACTCGGATGCTTAACAAACTTTTTCCATTTCAAGCCGGAAATTATTGAGATTTGATTGAGCGAGAGGAAAAAGTTTCAAATTTAATTGTCAGACTTTAAAGCTAAAGTTTGAATGTTTGTCGTCATTGAATGTTAAGTTAAAGTAACGGTAGAAGGCACGTGAGACATTCGAATATAAATTGAAAAATTATCGAAAATAGACAATTTAATTAATCTTTTCTCTTTTCATGACCAGTTTACATCAAATTCAGAATTGAATTCATTTCATGATCTGCATAATAATCGCAACTGTCGAGAGTCTAACTGGAAATGAATGAACGGCCAACTTTATTGATTTATATTCAATTTCTTCCGTTTGAATAGTTTTGATGAGCCTAATTTACGTTTATTTCTTTAATTTGTGATTTTTCCACCCACACCTTTAAACTAATTAATTAAATGAATATTCATGTCTCATCCCTTGCTGGAGAATGGAATATCCAAACGTTTATCGATTATGTGTCGGTTTCCACCACTGTCGGTAGAAGCAAAACGCCAAAATATTGTTTGCACACAAGTATTTATAAATATCTAAATGAATTCATCAATCCAAGTCATTGTATGTATAAATGGACAATTTTTCCTTCTTCTTTTGTTATTTATTCATTGTTATATTCGAATTCAATCTCCATACACAACAAGGTGGAAAATCACTTTGAGTTAATTGAATAAGTTGTGGCGATATTTGTCTGTGTCGTGGCAATTATCAACCTTATTCGGACAAAAATATGTTTTTTAATCGTAAGTTTCGTCAAGGGACATTAAAAGTTATTGAAAAAAATTATAAATAAATTTTAAGTGTTCAATTCACTTAACCACATATTCTTCATTACTCATCAATAAATGCTCTTGAGACTCAATTTGCAAAGACAAAAGCTCAAAATGTTTGCCTCTTAAGTGAATTTAAACATGACAACTAATTAGATTAATTGATAGCGAATCGAGAGAGTTTCTTTTTCTATTCGAAGCATTAGAAATTCAGTAGCAAGGAAGCAAACATCCAACCACTTAATTTAAATTCATTACGAAAACTTTAACATCTGTTACGACATTAAATGCTTTTTTGTTGGGTTTTAATACTCTTCATAAGACGGAAGAGAATAAAGAAGCTTCTTTATAATTTCATATCAACATTCTGACATCTTGTGAATGTATATGAGAAACGATTTTCAAACATTCCTTCATAGCTAGAAATTAAATGCAATTTGAAGCAACTTAAACCACACGATTAGAGCATACAAAGTTTTGTTTTTCTATTTAATATCGTAACATGTCATCAGAAACGTGTTTAACATCTACGATCGAATGTTTAATTGAGTGGAAACTATTTGTTCTACGTCCATCCTACATTTACGTCTAAAGCAACGACGATCTTTATTCATTTTTAATTCCACTGCTATCTCAGATGTTCATTTATGAAAACATTAATAAAATGAAAACAATAAAGCAGTAGATCAGCAACCGTTCCATTGTGAATTATTATGACGGCGCGGGAACCTGATATTCGCATCGTGGCATTGAAAATATTCATAAGCATGAGAATGAAGCTTGCACAGTTGTTTTACTTCACCACCCACGCTTGAAATGTTTATGTGTTGTCAACGACAACGAAGACAGTATTATTAAGTTCTTAGCACGAAGAAATTAACATTCATAGAGTACGAATCGTGCTTGAAACGTTAATCGACGGAAGTTTGATTGCTCATCATGTGCTGACATCAAAAAGATGACGATAATACATTTAAAAAAGAAAACTTGACTAATTTTCATGAATAGCCAAGCTCATTCAATTAATCCGAAACGGAAGGATTTCTTAACTTGTCAGCAATTCTTTTCTTCATTATTATCGTCGTAAATATTGAAGAATCGCGACCTCGTCAACTCATTTTTCTTTTGCTTTCATTCAGAACGAATCCTTACAAAATATTCATCAAGCATTGTTTGCCAACTTATGAACATAAAATGTTATTTATAGAAGATTGTAGAAACAAAGTTTAACTGAATTAAAACTCATGAAACTGATTCAATTATGACGTCAACAAGCAAACAAATTTAACGAGTCGCTGTCTTGCATTTTCATGAGATTTTTGTTGATTCAGTGAAAGCTGAAAACGAAAATGATTTTAAGCCTTTACACAAATACTTAAATGACCCTTTTTTGTTACAGCATGGAACGATATGATGCTCATGCAAAATGTAACATGGAAAGGTGAGAAAAAACAGATAACGAAAAAACATAAAAAGCGAAACTCTGATGAAAAATGAAATGAAAATTTATCTTTTTACTGTGCTGTCGACATGTAAATATTTACTTTTATATATTATGTTGTAGTAGAAGACATAGGGAATCATTTCAACTTGCGTGAGTAACAAACTGTGATTCAAAAGAATTTTCATTCGTCTACTTTTTTACGTATTTTTTGACTTCTTAACTCACAAATGATGATTTTCGGCTTACGACAAAATTCTTCGTTTTTTTTCTTTTCTTTCACTTCTGTTGATGAAGTCATGTGTCATACTTGTGACGATGAGAACAATTCAACAATCGCAAAATTATTCATTGTGCGCATTAATATATTTTCGCTGATTTGTACACACATGAAATAAAATAAAAATAATTTTTCAGTCTACGGAAGTTGGGGGATGAGAAAAACGGAAAAAATGTGAAAAATTTGTTTTCATGCCGACGACGTTTACAGACGAGTCGGAAAATGAAGCTTTATGATGTGAAACATGGAAAATTCTTTTCAATTTGTGTTTATATTTGTGACCTGCCTTATTCGATAATCATCGCTTACGCCTTCTATTTTTGTAATTCGTGAACGTGCAATGCGGAATGCAGTAGCAAAGTGCAACGTCGCTTATTTTAATACTTGAATTTTCATATTATTCAGCGCAGTTTCACGTCAGTGTGTAAATATTAAAAGATCAACACAGCTCACAATTGTTTCTCATCTTCATCTAGATTCTTGAATTAGGAACAACAAAAATAAATACCTTCAATGTTTACGATGTGTTCTCGTATTTGTGTAGCCACTTGAATATCGGGTATGAGCTCAATCAGATCATAAATGGCGTAGATTGAAGGGTGAACAGACTCGAAACGTTGAATCTCTTGTCGGATTGCGTAAGGGTTGTTTATAATTGTTTGAAGCTGAGATCTTGAAGTTGAATTATTGTTGTTTATTGCCATGTTTCCTTTTTTCTTTCTTCTTCCTACACTTCTTCTTTCTTTCTACAACTCTCGATTAGCGTTGTTGTTGAAAACTTTTTTAGTGAAAGTTTACGCTTCACTTCATTAAAATTTGGAATTAAGATTAATTTAAATTCACTGGTTCCTTTATTTTTGTCTCATTTTTGATAACATTCGACACATAATACGTGCACTTTGCCTGATTTTACTTCGCACAATCTTTTTTTTACTGTATCACTGCAAATGCGAAGCGAAAATTTACAAGGAAACACAAAACAAAAAAGTTTTCAGCGTGTTTACGCTTTTATTCTCATTTAAACAATTATTTCGAAGTCAACTTTGACTTATTTTTATGCTGAGACATGTTGTTTATACTTTTGAACGATACAAACTATTTGAATACTTTTACAAGCTTAAATTTAGACATTTTTTCACTGCTAGTTTTCATAGAGATGGGATTGAGAATCTCAAACTGAATTCGACTTGGACGTTCATAAACTAAAGTTTGTTTCAGTTCAGTTCATTCAAGGCGATTTCAAATTTGCAAAATTATTACATATTTAGAATAATTTTTATCGTATTATTGTTTAAGTTTTGACAATAAAAATCAATTTTTAATTATGATCTTGTTAACAAAATCTTAATAAACTTCAGCTACCACGATGTCATTGAATTTATTTACTAAATCGTACATTTCTTAAGAAGCGAATTGGTGTTAAGAACCCTTCGGTAAATCTTCTCCCGAGCAGACCGAATTCGGATTTTCATAAACTGTTCAACTTAATATTTAATTTAAAGATTACAGAGAATCTCTTCCCATTCCCTTGTAGCATTGATCGATACAATTCAAAGTTGTTTCCGAGTTACACATTGTGAAATTTGGTAAGTTGTTTATCTCAGGAAGTAATTTTTTGAGACAGAATGGCGAATAAGAAAAAAAGTTAATTGGAATTGCCGGTCAATATCAAAAAGAGAAAAAAAATTAAACAAAGGTGCTCAGATTTTATTGTGTCACGTTTAAATGAGTTGTTGAAGTTAAACGAGTTCGTGGTTACACATTTAAGTATTGATTTCATTATTGTCGTAACCTTGAACCTTGCAAAAGACGAAAAATTTATTCAATAAGCAATTATTTTGCAATTTTATGATGAGAGAAGCAAGAGCTAGATTGCGTCCACCTTTCGTTAATCAACCTAAAATAAGCTTTCTCTCAAAAATAAAAATCATACGCAGTTTATTGATTTTTCTTCTCGACTTAGTCTCGACTTCTCTCACTTTTTTCCATTCTTATCCGCCATGGGCTCTCAAAAACCAAATTTTCACTTCTCCATGTTTAGTCTTCGCTCGACTGTTCCCCGAAACAGTACGTTTCAGATTGTTAACCGAATTCATTAAATAACGTGAGTGTTGTGGCTCTTTTAAGGCCTTCGAAACGGCATTTTTAATTAATGCAAATAATTCCAACGATTTTATTCCGGAATTCATTGGCCAAAGACAAAAGTGCATTTGTTCAGTGTTGAAACTTTCAATTATTACTTTTAACTATTATTATTATTTTGTTTTCAACGTCATAAGCGCGTAAAGACATTTTTGCACATGTTAACATGAAAAACTGACGACACATCAGTTAATCTCCACGTTGGAAGTAAAAAAAAATCGTACGATCATCAGCAGTCACTCAACTTAACTAACGACATTTGCACTATTTACTTAATTTCTTATTTACGTGAGTTATTCAGATTCGAAAGCAAATAAGTGAAGAATTATCGATAAATGTTATAAGAAAGAATTCTTTTACTTTTACTGAAACAAACTTAACGTTTACGCGATTAATTATCAATTTATCGTGGTATCATACTAAGTAGCGCACTTTACGTTTTCTAATTAAAATAATTTTATTGTGTTTGTGAAACTGAATGGCTTTTCGCGGTTTTTTATATTCCTTCATTCGTCGAGATATGACGACATGGAACCTTCTGATTTATTTAATTTTTCATTATGCAAAAAAGTTCCGCTTGTTTGATAAAAAATATTTCTAATAAAACTTAAATTTCTTCTTGTTACGACAGACACTGAATAAAATAAAAAGAATGTCTGGTGAAAGTTTCAACACAGAAATAAAATGCACTCTTGTTGTTTGACCATCAAAATAAATATAAAAAAAGGTGCCGTCTGATTACTTAATAAACAAATTTCACTTTTCTCTTTTCATTTCATCATGTTGCCGTGATCATCTTAGCCGAATTAGTTTTTCTTTTGTGTGTGTGACTATTTCGTATTTTTTTTGAGTACAAGTGAATTGAAAGTCGTGATTAAAGTGAAGCCATGTCAGCCAAAGCAATTCGTGAAGCGACTGGTAAGGAGTTGATAAACAAGTACTTGGAAGGTGGAAATGAAATTGGCGTCCAGAAGAGTCGATTTGCTTCCGTAACTGAGTCAACAGATTGGAGTCAATTGCTTGCTGATCATCCATGGTTAGAGACAACGGTGAGTTGAATTTCTATTTTATTTTTTGGCTTCTTCTGTAATCAAATGAAGCCCTTCGCAACAATGGAAGATTTTACTGTTGGTTATCATCTTCGTTCGGTCATTAACATGAAAAAGAATCCAGTTTCAATCGTGTCTTCTTCATTTTCCTAATTCTCTTGAATAAATTAGAATTAATATTTAGTAAAGTTTACAAAGATTTGAAACGTTGAAAGATTTCAAACCGGTTAACTTTTCTTCTCCATTTGTATTTTGGGTATTTTGTGAGTGACAAATATGACTAACTCATGAGATATCAGGCACCGATGATTGTGTTGTTATTCAGCAAAAAAGAAAATTCTTTCTGATATCAAATATCGCGTGTTTGTTGATAAAAATACTTTGATTAATTGAATCAACTTTTAATTTTTTAATTCGTTACAAAAAAAGATTTTCTTATCAGACAAATTGATCATTTACAAAGTTTCAACGCTGATTATGATACAAATTTGTGAATTTTCACCTTCTGATAGAGTTGCGTAACTTTCGTAATTCAGGGAAATTAATCGCGCGATTTGAAGTCATATTAAGCCTGCTGATAAGTAACAATTTACGAATTATCAGCACGAGACGATTTGGTGACTTTTACAGTCATCCTTGATTCATTCTCATGGAATTCTCAGGTTTGAAAAAGAGAAACCTGATTGTGAAATCGATTTTTCCCGTTTTTTTTCTCCTTCAAGTTTCGTGTTTTTGTTGTTGTTCTTGTGTGACGTCTTTCAAGACGTTGTTTGGGTTTTTTGTAAGGTAAATGAGAGAATGAGAATAAATAAACTTTTGAGTTGTTGCAAAGCAAAAACAGAATCTTTTTTTGTTTGCAATCTATGCTTGGAACTTCCTTTACGTATTTCTGAATCACACGTCATAAGCTTGCTTGAACATCGCAAATAAATTTACACGCTATTAAAAATCTGTTTTCCTATTGTCGAGTATTTATGACTTCAAGTTCAATGTCGCGGTTAACAGTCGTGTTTTATTTATTTCATTTTAAACTTAAATAAAATGTCCAAATTTCAGGAAGTTTTTCCCAATTACAAATCATCTGATAATAAAATAAAATTAAATGAAAATTTTTCTTTAATTCGCTTGAAATTAAAAACTTTAAGCATTGCACAAAAACTTAATGGAGAATTATACGAACGACTGCTGAAGAATAAATCAAGGTCAGGTGGTGTTAGAAGAATTAAAAAATTGAAGAATTAACTGACCTTCCTTCGACGAGAGTACCTATCAAGTTCAAATACAAAAGTCTTTCGTAAATAAACAAATGTTGCCTTTGCGTAATATGAATAGTGACGATAATGTTCACTCGTTTAGTAATTTAGAGGATTTAACAATAATTGTTTTACCAAACAATGTACAATTTATTAAGAAAACCGACGACAAGGATGACCAAATATTTAATGTTGTCAAATAGAAACTAACAGCTTTAAATTTCATTAAAGATTGCGCAATTGTTACCCAATTATTTCTTGTGGGAAAGTTGAGATAATAAATTATTTCCAAACCTTCTTTTAACAGCCTTTGGTTGTGAAACCAGATCAGTTAATTAAGCGTCGTGGCAAACTTGGCCTAATAGCTGTTAATAAGAACTTCCAACAAGTCAAACAATGGGTGAGCGAACGAATGGGAAAAGATCAGAAGATTGGAAATGCCACTGGAAAGTTGAGAAGTTTCATCATCGAACCTTTCATTCCCCACAAGGACGTTGAAGAAGCTTACGTTTGCATTTATTCGCACAGAACAGCTGACACGATTCTTTTCTATCATCAAGGTGGAGTTGACATTGGCGATGTTGATTCCAAAGCATTAAAACTCGACGTTTCCGTTGGTTCGAATACAACACTCGAGAACATTGAAAAAGTTTTATTAAAAGAAATTCCAGCTGCTAAGAAAACGTATGTTGAATGAACTTTAAATGGTAAAACAGAAAACATTTTCATTATTCTAATAAACATTTCCAGACGTGTCGCCAAGTTTGTTCACTCATTGTACCAACTTTACGTTGATCTCTACTTCACGTATTTGGAAATTAATCCTCTTGTTGTCACTGATAACTCGATTTACATTCTTGACTTGGCTGCAAAAATTGACGCAACTGCTGACTTCATTTGCCGTCCAAAATGGGGTGAAATTGAATATCCGCCACCATTCGGACGTGATGCATATCCGGAAGAAGCTTATATCGCTGATTTAGATGCAAAATCAGGTGCATCATTGAAATTGACAATTTTAAATCGAAATGGACGAATCTGGACGATGGTTGCTGGTGGTGGTGCGAGTGTCATCTACTCAGACACGATTTGTGATCTTGGAGGTGCATCAGAGTTGGCAAATTATGGTGAATACAGCGGTGCACCATCAGAACAACAAACGTATGAGTATGCGAAGACAATTTTAAATCTTATGACGTCATCACCGAAACATCCTGAAGGAAAAGTTCTCATAACTGGTGGTGGAATTGCTAACTTTACGAATGTCGCTGCAACATTTAGTGGTGAGTTGTAAATTTTCCTTTTTATCGTCAGCAAAGTCTGATAATTTCTGTTTATTTTTTCAGGAATTATAACTGCACTTCGTGAATATCAAACAAGATTGATTGAACACAATGTGTCAATTTTCGTTCGTCGTGCCGGTCCAAACTATCAGGAAGGCCTTCGCAAAATGCGCGAGATCGGAAGCACACTTGGCATTCCGCTTTTTGTGTTCGGCCCTGAAACTCATATGACTGCAATTTGCGGTATGGCTTTGGGAAAGAAACCAATCCCGAAGAACACAGACGTTCACTTTGCCACTGCAAATTTCTTGCTTCCTGGCGGACAACAACAACAAGAACAGAAAAAAATGATGACTAGTCAGACAAGTCAATTGGATGGTACGACTGGTGAGTCTTGTGACAACGATTTTTTGTTGGTCTTGTGTGTTTTATGCTTTTGGGTTTTCTTTAAATGATTCAAGGATTTAAACTAAAAGAGAGTGAAGTAGTAGAAGTTATTTACCAATTAATGATCTAGTACTTCATTTTAATATCCTTCCAACAATCCTTGAATCACATAACAATCTTGTACTACAATTGTAGAAGATTTGGAAAGATTTATTAATTAAAGTTGTTTTTCTTTCTTTTTGTTTCTTTTCCATTATGTTAATTTCGTCCATCATATGTGTGTTATGCTTTCAATTCATCACATTCACTTACACCATCATCATTGACCGTCAATATTTATTTATGAAATTTTTTTTGCATTGGCTTGCAACAAATCAAAAAACTTTTTTTTTCATGCACGTACAATAAACTGGATAACATTGTGCCACTGGTTTTTTGTTTTATTTGGGGGATATTTTCATGATTAAAAAAACAGCCAGAAGAATTTCACTGAATACTTTCACAGGAGGATCATCAGCATCAGCCAGAACACCACGTGGATCAAGTGTACCAACTGAATATCGCAAGATGTTCACAAAAACAACAAAAGCAATTGTTTGGGGCATGCAAACAAGAGCCGTCCAATCAATGCTTGATTTCGACTTCATTTGTCGTCGTGATGAACCTTCAGTTGTTGCAATGGTTTATCCATTTACCGGATATCATCGTCAGAAGTTTTATTGGGGACATAAAGAAATTCTCATTCCTGTTTATAACAAAATGTTAGACGCATGCACAAAGCATAAGGAAGTTGATGTTTTAGTGAATTTCGCTTCACTTCGATCAGCTTACGAGTCATCAATGGAAGTTGTTAATGATTTCCCACAAATTCGTACAATTGCCATTATTGCTGAAGGAATTCCCGAAAATATGACAAGAAAACTCAACACAGAAGCAACGAAGAAAGGCGTTTCAATTATTGGACCAGCAACTGTTGGTGGCGTTAAACCAGGATGCTTCAAGATTGGTAACACTGGTGGAATGTTGGATAACATTCTTCACTCAAAACTTTATCGTCCTGGAAGTGTCGCCTACGTGTCACGATCTGGTGGAATGTCAAATGAACTCAACAACATCATCAGTAACACAACTGATGGCGTATGTGAAGGCGTAGCAATTGGCGGGGATCGCTATCCAGGAACAGTTTTTATGGATCACATCATGCGATATCAACACGACGACGATTCAAAGTTGATCGTTTTACTCGGTGAAGTTGGCGGTATTGAAGAGTATGAAGTTTGTGCAGCATTGAAAGACGGACGAATCACAAAGCCGATGATTGCATGGTGTATTGGAACATGTGCTGGAATGTTCACATCAGAAGTTCAATTCGGTCATGCCGGTTCGTGTGCTCAATCCGATATGGAAACAGCTGTCGCAAAGAACAAAGCACTTGCTGAAGCTGGAGCTCATGTGCCAGATTCATTCGATTCACTTGGTGATTTAATTGCTCATGTTTATGAAGATCTTGTGGCAAGTGGACAAATTGTGCCAGTCGAAGAAGTTCCACCGCCGACCGTTCCAATGGATTACAATTGGGCACGTGAATTGGGATTGATTCGTAAGCCTGCATCATTTATGACTTCAATTTGTGATGAACGTGGACAAGAACTTTTATATGCTGGCATGCCAATCTCTGATGTTCTCACGAAGAATGTCGGCATTGGCGGTGTCGTTTCACTTCTTTGGTTCCAGCGATGTTTGCCACCGTACGTTTGTAAGTTCTTTGAAATGTGTTTGATGGTGACAGCTGACCATGGACCAGCTGTTAGTGGAGCTCACAACACCATCGTTTGTGCTCGTGCTGGTAAAGATCTTGTGTCGTCTGTTGTGAGCGGTTTATTGACGATTGTAAGTTGCGAACTTCAAAATTTAAAATTTTATTTAATTTCATTGGTCATTGACAGGGCGATCGCTTTGGTGGTGCACTTGATGGCGCTGCAAAACAATTTTCAGAAGCATATGACTCAAATATGCATCCAATGGAATTTGTAAACTCAATGAGAAAGAAGGGACAACTTATTATGGGAATTGGACATCGTGTTAAATCAATTAACAATCCCGACATTCGTGTAAAAATTATTAAAGAATTCGTGTTGGCAAATTTCCCAGCGAAGCCACTTTTGGAATATGCATTGGAAGTTGAGAAAATCACGACCAGTAAGAAACCGAATTTGATTCTTAATGTCGATGGTGTCATTGCCACGAGCTTTGTTGACATGCTGAGAAATTGTGGAGCTTTTTCAAGGTGAGAATTTTTTATTTGACAGATTTAAGATGCTTAAATATTTCTTTAAATAAAATGCAGTGAGGAAGCTCAAGAATATATCAACATTGGAGCCATTAACTCGCTTTTCGTGCTGGGTCGCAGTATCGGCTTTATTGGCCATTACATGGATCAGAAACGATTGAAGCAAGGACTTTACCGACATCCATGGGACGACATCTCATATGTCATGCCCGAGCAATATAATTAATCACATCAAGAGCTGTTTCATGTTGTTTTTAATCAAATCCACTGTAGAACGAAATCACAAAGTAGCATTTAAATGCAGCACATGTACGCACACCAACTGTTTGTTATTATCAGCATTTAAAAGAGTATCTTAGATGAAAAAACTAAAAAGATATGAACGAAAAAATTATAAATCAATATTTTGGATGTTTTTGCACCGTGTTATAAAAAAAAATATTATATAAATAGTAACGTAATTAATTTTGCACCACGAATGAGAATAAGAAAAGAAAAAATTAACAAAAAGATAAAAAAAAGATGTTGGTAGAGCAGTAAAAATATTAATTAACATTCCTCGTTATGGAACATAGCAGCTTAAAGCAAATCAGAAAAACAATTGTACTCATTCTTGTTTCAATTAGTTTGTATTCTTCTTCTTACCCAATCACCATAAGCTGATGATGAAGATTTTTTAAGATTATTTAAGATTTTTATTTGGGTTTTTTTGTACAATTTAAGTTACGACGAACGATTTTATCGTTGATTTTGTTTTAGTTGAATTTAAAAAATAAAGATTTCATTTCTTTCTGATCTAATCAAATTGCGTTTCTTTAAAAAACTTTCAGAAGTTGGAATGTGGTTGATGTTGCAATATTGTTGCAAGGAAGTGCAAATCGATCATGTTGCATGTCACATGTCACATGTGACACAATTTTTGGAAATAAAAACAAAAGGAAAATCTTTTCATTAAAATATTCTATATTTATTAAAGTTAAACCATTTTAGGTCCATGTTCACGTAATTTAACTTCTAATCTCTTATCTAAAGCATCTATCTCTCCATCTTCAAATCTTTTTTCATATTCATTTTCAAGAACTTCTCGTATGGCTTCTTTGACTGTGTCAACTTTTGTCTCTTCCTTTGCTGAAATTGGCAGAATGCGTTCGAATTTGATAAGTTTTTCAGGTCTTAAATCTGTTGGACAATCTTTCAGACCAAATGAAAGATCGCTGAAATGCTTTTCATATCGAAGATGTTCTTCATCACTTCCATTCATATCCATCTTGTTTATAAGAAGAATTGCCGGTTTATCAAGCAATGTTGGGTCATAAAGTTCAAGTTCTTTGTTAAGTGAATAAATATTTTCAAGACAATTCCGCTTCATATATTTTTGACTCAGCTGGAAACCAAAGATGTCAATGATAACCAGGAGAAGTTTCGTTCTTTCAACATGTTTAAGGAATTGATGACCCATTCCAATATTTCTATGTGCACCTTCAATGAGACCAGGCAAATCTGCAATGGTGATTTGTCGATAATCTTGATACTCAATTGTACCAATTTGTGGTAAAATTGTTGTGAATGGATAAGAAGCAATTTTCGGTCTTGCTTTCGAAAGAGCTTTGAGAAGCGTGCTTTTGCCTGCATTTGGAAATCCGACTAAGCCGACATCAGCGATGAGCTTAAGATCCAATCTTAGATTTCTGTGTTGTCCTTTACGTCCTATAAATTGACTTCCAGAGCAGCCACCACTTCCACCTCCAGCAACCAGACAAGTTGATTTTTCTTTGTCGATTTCTCCAATGATTTTATTTTGCGTCTCGTCAATAAGCGTTAAACCAGTTGGAACTTCAATAATTGAGTCAGTGCCTCTTCGACCAATCAAACGATTTTTATTGCTGTCCTCTCCATTTCCTGCAAATTTAAGTTTCAAGTTTGTGATAAGGAAGGGAATGATATTTTACCTCCTTTGATTTTCATGCTTGGATACAACTTCCATAGCCTCTTAAGAGTCATTTGTTCTGAAGCTTTGAACACTACAGCACCACCTTGTCCTCCAATTCCACCATATTTTGGCATTCCATTTCCTCCATGACCACCCTTTAATAAAATTTTAATCAATAAACATCTATAGTGATGAAATTATTTGTTTACCTCAACTGTTATTCGAAGAGAATCAAGAAATGGTTTGTACTTCTATAAAAAAATATTAAAAAATTAAAATCTTCATTTTGAAACGTTTCTGTTAATCTACCCGAATCTTCTTCCGTGCTTCTTTAAATAAAATATTTTGTAAAAACACCATTTTATTGATTGAAATAACTTTTATGTGCTGCACGCTTTCTACACAATTCAAGAGGAATCAGAATCAAAACAAAAGCGAATTCAAATCAATTTGCCTTTGAATTCGCTTTAGTTTTGAGTTTTTTTATCACAGAAAAAGAATTTTGATTTTAATTTTTGATTTGATATTAAAAATCTTTGTTAAAAATGGACGAGAAGAGTGAGCCTGTTGAACCACTTTTCAAATACCTACGAATAGCATGTGATCTTCGTGAGATTGTTAAGAATACTAGCATAAGTTGTATTAGCGCGACAACAAAAATATTAATCATTGGAAATAGTTGGGGCGATATTCACATTCTGGATCATGAAGGAAATGTCAACAGTCATCAGAAATTTCCAAAACATATAGTCGGTATTAATCAGATATCAGTTGATTCAAAAGGCGAATGGATTGGATCTTGTTCTGATGATGGGAAAGTAAGAAAAATTTCACATTAATTATAAATATATTGAAAAAATAAACAAACATTATCCACAGGTTCATATTACTTGCCTTTATGCAGAAGAAAGTGGAGTATTTCTTAACTTAGAGCGACAGATCAAATGCATTGAATTGGATCCAATGTATCATAAGTCAAGCTTAGGACGAAGATTCATTTTAGGAGATTATCAACTTACACTTTATGAGAAAACATTTCTTAAAGGCTACAAGCCAACTGTCCTCAGTGACTCTGAAGGTCTTGTCAATGCTGTGAAGTGGAATGGACAATTTGTTGCGTGGGCAAGTGGAATTGGCGTGAGAGTTTATGATTTGAATGAAAAGTGTTCCCTTGGACTGATAAAATGGGAAGAACCAAAAGTTGGAAAATTGAGCGACTTCCGATGTAATCTGAGATGGAGAAACGCTTCGACATTACTCATCGGATGGGTGGATTCAATAAGAATATGTGTGATACGAAAAAGAAATTTAATTGAAGTATCAACAAGAAATCTTCCTGGTTTTATTGTTGATCCCATCTCAACATTCCCAACTGAGTTTTATGTTTGTGGATTGGCGCCTTTAGAAAATAATCAACTGGTTGTATTAGGCGTGCCAAAGGAAAGAGATAACGACAGTAACTTTCAACGTCCAATTCTATGTGCAATCCGATATGAATGTAATGTATCTGAAGAACTTTGTACCGATAGTTTGACATTAAAAGGGTGAGTCAGATTTCAAATTGAACTTATAAAGAAATTTTCAAGCATTCGTCTTTTAGATATCAAAATTATACACCAAATGACTACAGCTTAGAATGTTTAATAGACGAAAATAAGTATTTCATTGTCTCACCAAAGGATATCGTCTCTGCATCGCTTTACGAAATCGACGACAGAGTAAAGTGGCTGATTGAGCATGAGTAAGTATATTTAACGGTTTTATTTAATTTAAATTTGAATTCGCATTTCATGTTTTATGAAAAACTGGCAACAACGCACAGTCAGAAAAACGAAAACAATTTTTTTGAAATAATAAAAAATTCCTTAAATTAGATGAAAATATCATAAATTTTAAAATGTGTAAATTAAAATCTAATAGATTAATTATGAAATATATTCAAGTCATAAGTGCCTTTCTTGTGGGAGTGATTTTTAGTCATATATTCGGTGAAACATTTTGTGGTTCTAAGAATGTAGAAAAAATTGACGATCAAAATTATTTGCTTGTTGTTCTTATTCTAACCGCGCCTAAAAATATTCTGCAAAGAAATACAATTCGTGAGACGTGGTTAAACTTGAGACCTAGAGAGTTCAACGGAACTACATATCAAAATGAAATCATTTTTGTTCCTAAAACTTTGCCCAGTTCATTTCTGGAAGTTGAGAATGTAGAAAAGCAGAGAATTCATTTAATTAATTATCAAAAATGGCTCAAATCTTCTAAAATTCCTAATATTAAGAAACTTAACAACAAAATAAAACATTTGTTCGCTATTGGAACAGAAGCAATTGACGAGACTTTACTAAAAGAACTTGAAGCCGAACAAAAAGTTTATCACGATTTAATACTCATTAATGACTTAAAAGACTCGTATAGTAATTTGACTCTAAAACTTATTAAATCACTTCAAAAGCTTCTAATAACAACGCCAAATTTCAAATATCTTCTTAAATGTGACGATGACTCTTACGTGAAACTCGATTATTTGTCACAAGATTTAATAAATTATCATATGAAAGTTAACGAGATAAAGAACAAGAAGGAAACTTTAGAGAATCTTGGACTCTACTGGGGTTTCTTTAATGGAAGGGCGAATGTAAAAACGTCAGGTCAATGGAGAGAAACCAATTACAATCTCTGTGATCGATATCTTCCTTATGCACTTGGTGGTGGCTACGTTATCTCGAAGAACATTGCAACAACAGTTGCTACATTAGGAGACGATCTTATTCGATACACAAGTGAAGACATTTCAATGGGCGTTTGGCTTTCATCATTCAGAAATATTCATCGTCGACATGATCCTCGTTTCGACACAGCATATTTGCCAAGGCAATGTAAAAATTATCATTTGATATTACATAAAAAAACTCCAAACGATATGAGAGAAATTTTTAATGGAAATCAATGCTTTAGTGATGTTAATTACAATGAAAAGAAACGTCCACCCGAATATTTTTATGATTGGTCGAGCTTACCAATTAAATGTTGTGATAATAGAATTTAAGTTAATTTTTGAAGGTAGTTTAATTAATAATTCTAATTAAATATTATTAATTTACATTTCGTCTTCTTTTCTATCTCATTCACAGTATGTTTGAAAAAGCTTTAAACGTGATAACAGAAAAAGGTGGAAAATATACAAAAGTTCAAATAACTCGTCTCTACGTTGATCATTTGTTAAGCCAAGAGAAATACGAAGAAGCTGCAAAGCTTTGTCTTAGAATCTTTGAGAATAACAAAGATTTATGGGAGGAAGAAGTTTACAAGTTTGTGAAAGTCAAGCAATTGCGATCTGTTAGTCAATATCTTCCAAGAACCAACGACTGTAAGCTTAATCCTCAAGTTTATGAGATGGTCTTGTACGAGTATTTAAAATTGGATCGATTAGGATTTCTTGAGTTGATAAAGGAATGGCCGCCGAATCTTTACAACACCACAGCAGTCATCAATGCTATTCACGATCATTTCGAGAAAAAGGACAAGAATATCTTGCTTGAAGCACTCGCAATTCTTTATTCACATGAACAAGAATACGACAAAGCATTGACGATGTATTTAAAGCTTCAGCACAAAGATGTTTTTCAGTTAATTAAGAAACATAATCTTTATAATGCTATTCGTAACATGATTGTTGATTTAATTAAATTGGATTGCGAGAAAGCCATTTCAATGCTTTTGGAAAGAAATAAAATCTCACCGGAAATTGTTGTCGCTGAGTTGGAAAATCACGAAACATTTCTTTACATGTTTCTCGATGCTCTTGATAAAGTGGATAGTGTTGGGAAGTTTGATTGGAAGCTCATCAATTTATATGCAAAATATGATCGTGATAAGATGCTTTCATTCCTTAAAAGATCACGAACTTATCCGCTTCAAGATGCTTACGAGTTGTGTAAAGTGAATTTGTTTTATCCTGAAATGGTTTATTTACTTGATCGAATGGGAGACTCAACAGAAGCTCTGACGATCATCATTAAAAAGTTGAAAGATGTCACAAAAGCAATTGAATTTTGTCGCGAACATAATGATCTGGAATTATGGGAATATTTAGTGAATGAAAGTGTTGACAAACCCGAGGTCATCACAAAACTTCTCGATGGTATTGCTGGCTTTATCATAAATCCTGAAATGCTTATTGATAAAATTCAACAAGGACAAAAAATTCCAGGACTTAAAAATGCTTTGATGAAGATGCTCAATGGATTTAATCTGCAGGTAAATTAATTTTAATTCGATTCCTTCATTTTCCTTCAAGAGGAGAAATTATGTTAACGAAGTACTAGATTTCAATCTACTTCTTCCCCCTCTTAGTTCATTTCCGCTCCTTCTTCCTTCTTCTCATCAATTTCCAAATACTGATAATACAAATTACCTACTATTTTTTGTAGGTTTCCGTTCATGATGGCTGCAATCAAATCCTTCAAACTGATTATTTCAATCTACATGAGAAGTTGGTGAAGCAACAAGAGAAGGGAATTTACATCGGAACACAATCAAATTGTTGCTTATGTCAACGGGACATTTTAGTCAAAGATAAAGATTGTAGTAAAGCGTCTGATGTTATTGTCTTCAATTGTCATCATTTCTTCCATGAAAGTTGTGTTCCCGAGAAATTCAATCTTGACTTTTGCGCAATTTGCATGTCAAAAAATATTTAACGAATTGTCGCTGAGATTTTTTTTTTCAAAAACTATTCTGCTTGTTTTCTGCATAATTCAATATAATTATGAATGAAACAGCCATCATAAGCTTCTTAATCATTACAAATATTTATTTTTTAATCGAATAAAAACGTTAACACTGCTTTTTCATACAGAAATAAAAACGAAATTGTTTTAATTCTTATTAAAATCGATGACAACTTTACCACGAAGATGTCCATCTTGTACTTTTTGGTATGCAGCAGGAAGATTGTCATAAGAGAATGTTGAGTCGATGATTGGAAGGAGTTTTTGTTTCTCTGCTAATTTCTTCAGATATTGAATGCCTGTTTGAGCTGGCCAGAAATATCCCCATTTGACTCCTCCATTTCCAGTTATGTTGCTGCTTATCAGGTCACTAACATTTCTAAACCCACCACCAATAATTCCATGTGAATCGAAGTTCTTCAGTAAAGGAGATTTGAATGTGATGTATGAATTAAACGACCATGGAAGTGCCTTCGCATATTCCGATCCTTTTCCGGCGCAATCAAGGATGATGTCGTAAGGTGATTCTTGAATTAAAAGTTGATCACATTCCTGTTCTGTGTAGTCGATGACTTTTTGAATTCCAAGATTATGAAGAATTGAGATTGCGTCAGTTCCACAAGTTGCGCCCACCTCAACACCTTCAACTTGTAACATTTGTACAGCTAATGATCCAACGCCACCAGAAGCACCGATGACAAGAACTTTCTTTCCATTTCCACCCCCACCATCTGAACAAAGACCACCAATTAAGCCATTAAGCTGACCAGTTACAAACAATCCTGACCAAGCTGTTAATCCAGCATAAAGTACTGCACTTGCATCAATATCGTTGAGATTTTCAGGTTTCTTCGAGACATAAGATGAATCAATTGCGACATATTCACAATGACAACCTTGATGATGAACTGGAACAACTCCCCAAACTTTCTCTCCAACTTTGTAATCACTTGATTTGATTTCAAGCCCTTTGTGAATGATTTCACCGACGAAATCTCTTCCCAGTGTCAAAGGAAATTCAATGTCACTTGAATCACATCGCATTGTATTAAGAAGTGTTGATCCGTAGCCGTCTAAAATTGTGAAAGATATTAAAAAATGTTTTCATGTCAATTAAAGAATTTCAAGTAATTTACTCATCATTGCTACGTCAATAGGATTCACTGAGCTTGCCAAAACTTTTATCAACAGTTCTGTCGGTTTTCGAACGACGGGTTTCTTTAACTTCTCTGAATATTGCAATTCGCCGATGTTATCAGAATATGAATGAATTTGCCAGCCACTCATTCGACTGCGACATTTTTTGTCTTCATTAACAGCTGGTGCTTCAGATAAACTCGAAAAACTTCGTCCAATGATATGCCGTTGAAGTCTACGAAGTACAATTAAATTGCGCATTTTGTATCAACTTTTTTTACTGTCACTCCCTCTAACTTTGTTGTTTTGTTGATAAAATTTTAATCAGCTGTTGCGGCGAATTGAAAATTCAAATTTTTAACGTTTTTCCTTGCTTTACTAAATTTTAACTACACAAGCAATTGATTTTAATGGTGATACCTAAGTTAAACATCTTTCGAGCCTTTTAAGTTGTTTTGTGCTGAGCAAGCTTCAAAAATCGATTGCTTAATTAGTCAACTTTTGAGAAATAAGAATGAAATTACATACATAGTTTCAAGGTCATATTTTATTATTTTATTTTTATTATTCACACTACATACCTACCTACTTAGCTAATCTGCACTATTCTTTTTTTCGATTTGTTTGAAGATTATTTAGTTTCTTGGGGAATTAATTTGATTGAAGAATGGAATTTCAAGTAAACACTTTTTCTTTAAATTGTCTCGAATTTTTATTTAAGCAAGAAATTCTGAATTATAATAATTTCATTATAAGAATTTAAATTTTAGAACTCTGAATATGAGATTGATTCTAATAATATTGTTCGTGTTTTTGGCTCATTTTTAATGTTGAAGCATCCACATATGGGGAGCAACTTGAAATTAGGAAAAAATTAAGGCGTAAATGATGCCAAAAATGAAAATGCTGGAGACAAAAATTAAGAAGCCCTCAAAATTGCAGCTTATGTTGTTGGACATTAGACAAACAAAAAAATCCTTTATTGAATTTGGAGTTGGGCTCTTCTCATATCCAAACTTTTGCTTGACTTGATCAACAAAATAATTTCCTTGTTCCCAAGTAGCTTTTGTCATCGGAATAAAAATTCCTTTCTTTCTCATTTCTTCTTGCCATTGTTCTTTAGTTAATTTATAATCATATTCCGGTAGATCCATTATGCAATTGATACACATGGAATCATTGCCAGCATTTTTAGTATATTTCAAAACACATTGTTTATGATTAAAGCATCTAAAGTAATCGGATGCATAAAGGCAGCATGATGAAATTATAGAATTTGCTGGATCATATGAGGTTATGACATCGAAACAGATTAAGCAATATGCATTATCTTGGTGCTTTTTGCCATTGTTTGGATCCTTAAAATGTTTACCGCAGTATGATTTGAATTGTCCTGTGAATTCTGTAACACATGAGCCTGAAACAGTTCCACACGGATAATGCCAGGACCGTTCACAACCTTTCTCAGCACATTTTACCTGTCAAAATGAGAACAATAATGGAGATTAAATGAAATAAACATAGAATAAACATACAGCAGCTGATTCTCGACGACATAAATAGCATAAAGTAGATCGGTATGACTGAAGTGATGAAGCAATATCGTCCTTTGTAAAACCAAGTATTCCTTCTGGTTCTCCTTGCATTCTACCTGAAAAATAAAACAAAATGACAGGTTGATAAAATGAGGTTATGTTTGGATATAAATCAATATTTAACTATTTACCGGTTTGTTCAATAAAAGTTGCTGATAACAAACAAAAGTAGTGAGCATTGATCTCATTTAAAGTCATCATTTCTCCAAAAAGAATGTCATTTTGAACTTTATTAAGGCAAACGCAACAAGTTTCATTTGTTGAAGACATTTCTAATTAAACTTAATACTACGAAGTCTCGATTGCAACTGACACGAGTCACTCATTAGTAATTTAGTACTAGTACTAGCAGTTTTTGTCACTTCTAGTACTTTATTTTTAAATTGAATTTGTTGTCATTCGTTAACGAATTTCATTCTACATTTGATGTAACGAAGTTGATTTTTTTAACGAAACTTTAATGGGTCACAATGTCGTCATCAAACATTGTTTATTATTATTTTTTGGTAGACTTCTTAGTTCTGTAAGAACATAACATAGAAGAATAGACGATGATTGAGTTGTTTTTAAATCTTTTTTTTTTGTACCTGCTCACAGTAGATAATTTAGTTAAAAAATGTAAACAAATCAGTGATTTTTCTAACGAAGCAATAATTACTTATCTCAAGAGCTTTTTACTGACGAGTTCGTGTAGTCACCCATATGAAAAGAAACAAATTCACCCTCTGTGTGAGTGAAGAAAAAATATTTTCCAGCTTTTCTCTCAATCACTTCTGAATGGTCGAAGAGTGCAGTCAAACATTTTCCTATTAAGTGAGCTTTGAAAAGCCGGATAAATCAAATTGTCATTAACACCCACTTATTAGTCTACTAACACGAATAAATCATCAAAACAAATTATACAGACGAGAAAAGAAAAAAAAGCGAAAGGAAGAAAAATCATCAATCTCTGACGTTCATTGAATAACTCCTCGATATTATTTGAAAAATTATTCATTACGATTTGGGATCTCGAACCATCAAGTTGGAATAATTTGAGCTCCGGAAAAAAAAGAATATTTTAAAATTTGTGAAAAATTGTGAAAGTTTTGAGAAGAAAAAACTAAACTCGGGAAAATATTAAAATTCAGGTGAGTGTCACTGGAAAAATATTGAAATTCAATCATTGTTAATGTTAAGGGGAAATTAAATGTTTGATCATTTTTATCGTATGACATTTAATGAATAACTACAATAAATTGATACTCAGGGATTTAGTTAAGCGACATAGAGATTATTTCTAAATGCGGTTAGTGATATTAATAATTACCTTTAGTTAATTACTTTTCAAATCTCTCGACTGATAAGAAGTGACTAGAAAAAATATTAACTTTCATGTCAGAAAATCGTGATGATAAGCGGTCATGAATTTAGCAGACATCATAGCGACAAACGAGACATCAGCTCTCTACCGTGTGTTCCTGGTTTGATTTCGGGTTGGTTGGCACTAATTTTGAATGCTTAATTTTATTGCACATCTCGAGGAGATTCCCAAACATCAACAAACATTTTTAATTTAATTATTTTGAATGATAACACCACGACTTAGTTGGTGGGTCATTAATAAACATCATGTGAACAACAATTTATTTAATGAGTGAAATCACCTTTATATGGTGTGATCTTTTTCACAAAATAACTGAAAGCATTACTGATACTTTGTAAGATGCTTTGGCAACAAACATATAAGTTGAGACATGAACATATTTAATTCTCACATCTCCATGCAGCGACAACAAATAATTATCAATGATGATAACATGAAAATAACAACTACGATTAAATAAAATAATTTATAAAAATTGAAGATGAACTTGCACAAATAACATTGACAATGAATGAAATGGTGAATGAACGAATTGTCAAATGATTTCTTATCAGTTTCACATTTTCATAGAATTGTGCAAGGTCAGTTAATTTATTTAATAAATTGAATGAATGTTATTAATTAAAATCATCAGAATCGAGTCATATTTCACAACTTAATAGGGTTGAAAACGTGAGAATTAAACTGCAACAACAACAAGTTAAATTTCATGTTGTCTTCCAGCCAATACAAGCGCATACATTTTGAATCACCTGATAGTCGTACGATCATAATCGCCCTACAGCGCATGTACACACAACAAATGCCGGTTTCGCTTGTGTACTTCAATAAAAATTCGTATTTCTCATAACACTGTGCAAAATTTTCTTTTCGTATTCTCTTTGTCAAATAACGGATTGAAGAGAAATTTTCCGGCAGTGTTAATCATGTTTCGGTTTTGTTTTGTTGTCGGCATGGTCGGTTTTTCTTTTCTTCTTTTTGGCCCCATTCTGAATGCTTCCATTAAGTTGCAAAAAAGCCGTCAATTATATAGAGCACAACAAAGGGGAAAACATCGGATGATGCTCAGATGTTCCTTTTACTTCAATCTAACCAATCGCTTTCATTTCAAGTCAGTCGTCTGATGTTGTGATGCTGAATGCTATTGAAAAATATTTAACAAAAAAATTCTTTTCTTTTTTCTTGCTCATTTTAAGTTACTTCATGATCTTCATAAGTTCTTTTGATGACCCTCGTTAGTTTTGCTGTTGCTTCTCTCTAATTATTACGACTCGGATTATTTAAAAATAAGAAGTAAAAAATCATTTTAATTCTTGCTTCTGAACAACTTATTAGACAATTGCGACATCTAAAAATCTTGTGAGAAGGAATAACACGAAATAAGAAGAACATCGAATGTTTTGCCATCCATCCAATCCACGTTCAACTTCAAACTGACGTCAGAGATCTCACGTTTATATTTTACGAGTAGAGTAAGAAGCAAAAAGTAAACTAAAAAGATGACTTTTGTGGAGCTTTAAGTGGATATGAGAAGAAAAAATTAGTTTCGTATTTAGATAATCGAAACCTACCGCAACACGTTTCGTTTGTTCCCTTTGATTCTTTTATTTGATATTCCGTTCGATTAATTTTTTGCTTGTCTTTCTATTTTTAATAAATCGCTATAAGAAGTAAACAATGCTGTTAATGAACTACGATAATCATCAATGAAGAATCAATTAAAAAAATCTTTCTTGAACATGAACTCAAATCATGACAAATGATGGCCAATCTAATCATCATGTGGCACACGCCAACAAAAATAATTTCTCAAGGCTGATAACGAGTCATTTAATGTTATTTAATTTTATATAAACAAATTAAGTGATTACCGTCGTCAATTTCTCAGTTGTTTGTTTGTAACTTACGATTGACGATGAATGATGTTTGAATTGTTGTGAGAAATCTTTTTATTGATTTTCCACGATACATTTCAAAGGCTTCTTCACAACTGTGTGTGTGTTAATTAATTTTTGTTTGTTTCAATAAAATTACGATGAATTACCACGCTTTGAATGGTTTACAAGAAATTTTCTTTTTGTTTGTCTCTTTTCAGACTTCAGATTTTTGTTTAATCAAAACAATTTGACACGTGGGAGACAAATTATTAAGTAATTAAATAAAAAGAGAAGAAAAGTTCATAAGATATCCAACATTCCAAATCCCCAAAGAAAACGTTCAAATCAAAAGAAATCACGACGAAAGAATCAACAAAACAACAGCGCAATGCCAGCTCGTTTCGGAGAAGTTTCATCTGACAATCGTCGCAATGTTCCGCCATCTATGATGGACCTCAACACGAATGGGGATAACGATAGTGATGGTCGTTTCGTGCAACGTGTCACGCACGATGATGTTTGCATCACAGGCTTCTCAGGTCGTCTACCAGAAAGTTCAAACATCGAAGAGTTCAAGAAGAATTTATTTGAAGGCGTTGACATGGTCAACGATGACGCTCGTAGATGGCCATCTGGTCTCTACGATCTCCCAACCCGCATTGGAAAGATAAAAGATGACGACTTGAAGAATCTCGATGCACAATTCTTTAAACTTCATCAAAAGCAAGCTGAATGCATGGACCCACAACTGCGAATGTTGCTTGAAGCGACGTACGAAGCAATCGTCGATGCTGGCATAAATCCTCAAGATATTCGTGGAAGTCGCACTGGTGTCTACATTGGCGTCTCTAACTCTGAAACTGAACAATTCTGGTGTAATGATTCCGAAACTGTCAATGGTTATGGTTTAACAGGCTGCGCCCGTGCAATGTTTGCCAATCGTTTGTCATTCACTTTCGACTTCAAAGGTCCAAGTTATGCTGTTGACACTGCTTGTTCAAGTTCTTTATTTGCTATGGATCAAGCATTCAGGGACATCAAATCAGGACGATGTGATTCAGCAATTGTTGCTGGTGTTGGAATCATTTTAAAGCCCACAATGTCATTGCAATTTAAACGACTCAACATGTTGAGTCCCGATGGTGAGTTTCATTCTGTTTTAATTTCCTTAATTAATTTTTTATTTTATGTTTAGGAATGTGTAAAGCATTTGATGAATCTGGCAATGGTTATGTCAGATCCGATGGATGTGTCGTGACATTCCTTCAAAAGTCAACTGAATCACGTCGAATTTATGCGACAATTTTGAATGTCAGAACAAACACTGACGGTGCCAAAGACCAAGGAATTACATTTCCAAATGGTGAAATGCAAAAGCGTTTAATTCGTGAAACATACGAAGAGATTGGAATGAATCCCAATGATGTGACTTATGTTGAAGCACATGGAACGGGAACAAAAGTTGGCGATCCACAAGAAGTGAACGCAATTTGTGATTACTTTTGTAAGGATCGAAGGACTCCGCTGTTGATCGGATCAGTGAAGTCGAACATGGGACATTCAGAACCAGCGTCTGGTGTTTGTTCAATTGCGAAGCTATTGATTGCTATGGAAGCTGGAATATTGCCAGCTAATCTTCATTATAAAAATCCCAATCCTGATCTTTATGGTCTGATGGATGGTCGAATGAAAGTCGTTGATAAGAACATGGAATGGGATGGTGGAATAATCGGTTTGAATTCCTTTGGCTTTGGTGGTGCCAATGCTCATGTCATTCTTAAATCTAATAAGAAACCGAAGACGATCGGGACAATCAGTGACATCCCACGACTTGTCGTTTCATCAGGACGAACAGAAGAAGCTGTCGAGATGATGTTGGGAGAAGTTGAAGCAAATCGTAATGATGATGAGTTCAGTGGACTTGTTAATGAACTTCACGCGAGAAACATTCCATTGCATTATTATCGAGGCTATACAGTGATGGGTGCTGATGGAATAAATCAACGAGAAGTTGTTGAATATCGAGACGAGAAACGACCAATTTGGTTTATTTATGCTGGAATGGGATCGCAATGGGCAAGCATGGCAAAAGACATGATGCAAGTTGAATCATTTCGAACAGCAATTAATCGATGTGCTGACGCTCTTGCACCAGAAAATATTGATTTAATTGACATTCTTACGAAATCTGATGAAGAAAAGTTCGATAATATTCTCAATTCTTTCGTGTCGATTGCAGCTGTTCAAGTTGCACTCACAGATGTTTTAAAATCGATTGGAATTCAGCCGGATGGAATGATTGGACATTCAGTTGGTGAGTTGGGATGTGCTTATGCTGATGGTTGCTTTACACCTGAACAAACTGTTCTTGCTGCTTATTGGCGTGGTCGTTCGATTCTTGACACTGAACTTATGCCGGGACAAATGGCAGCTGTTGGATTAACTTGGGAAGAGTGTCAAGAACGGTTACCGAAAGATGTTATTCCAGCATGCCATAACAGTTCGGATAGTGTCACAATTTCCGGTCCAAAAGATTCCGTCGATAAAGTCGTCGCTGATCTTACCAATGAAGGAATTTTCGCGAAAGTTGTTAAGACAAGTGGGTACGCTTTTCACAGCAAATACATCGCTGAAGCTGCTCCAAAGTTACGTAAATCACTCGATAAGATTATTCCAACACCAAAGAATCGTTCAGATCGATGGATTAGTTCATCAATACCTGAATCAGCATGGAATTCAGCAATTGCAAAGCAAAGTTCTTCAGCCTATCATGTCAACAATTTATTGTCACCTGTTTTGTTCCATTCAGCACTTCAACATGTCCCAAAGCATGCAATTTGCATTGAAATCGCTCCAAATGGACTTCTTCAAGCAATTCTTAAGAGATCGTTAGGCAATGAATGCACAAATGTCAGTTTAATGAAACGACAACATGCAAACAACGTTCAATTTATGTTGATGAATATTGGAAAACTCTTTGCTGCTGGTGCACAACCAATTGTGTCACGTTTATACCGTCCAATCTCATATCCAGTTGGACGTGGAACGCCAATGCTTAATTCAAAAATTGGTTGGGATCACAGTCAAAAATGGCTTCTCTTTAATGTCAAAAACGAAAAAAGTTCAGCTGAGACAATTGTTGACATTAATTTGACGAAAGATGAAGACGCTTATCTTGCTGGTCATACAATTGATGGAAGAGTTCTCTTCCCAGCCACTGGTTACATGACACTCGCATGGAAAACTTTCGCAAAGATGCGTGGGACAACATTTGATCGCCTTCCTATCATTATGGAGAATGTTGTGTTCCATCGGGCAACAATTCTACCCAAGGAAGGTTCAGTCAAGTTCGGATTGAATTTCTTTGATGGTTCAGGAAAATTTGAGATTTGTGAAGGCGGGTCCTTGGCAATGTCAGGTGTTATTAAAGTCCCCGATGGAAATATTGAAATGGAAGAATTGCCACTTGATCCATTGCCATATGACACGAAGGCTGGCTTGATGCTTGAACGTGGTGACGTTTATAAAGAACTTCGTCTACGTGGTTATGACTACAGCGGAGTTTTTCGTGGCATTAATAAATCTGATTCATGTGCAAATGCTGGTGAACTTGAATGGACTGATAACTGGATAAGTTTCATGGATACAATGCTGCAATTCTCGATTATGGGTAAAGATTTACGTGAACTTTACTTACCAACAAGAATTGAACGAGTTGTCATTAACCCAGAGAAACATTTGAGTTTCTTAAAAGAAGATAAAAGTGAGAATAATTTCGATTGTTTCATGTACAAAGACATTAACGTGATTAAATGCGGGGGTGTTGAAATGCGTGGATTAAAAGCTTCACTTGCACCAAGACGATCGGGAACTCAAGCAGCACCAAAACTCGAACGTTACACATTTGTCGCCAACTCTAACAATCGTGGAATTGGAGATTCATCTGAGACTTGTAAGTTAAACGCCATTTCAGTTGCAACTCATTTGGTTGTTGAAAACAGTGGTGGAGCTTTGAAGTTGAAAGTTATTGAATATCTTGACAATCGACTACCTGAAGCATCAAACGCGATATTTATTCAAGACGTCATTGAAAGTGAACCAACATTAGCGAGTGATGTTGCGATTGTCACAACAGAAAAAAGTGAAAATTACTCACAATTTGTCGGCGATTCGGGTGTTCGTGTTATTATGAAAGATGCAACAAAAGATGCAGTTGAACAGAATTGTCATCTTGCTGTTGCATATGATTTATTGACTGTCAACAATGGATCAACAATCTTAAAGAATCTCAAAGATTCAATTAAAGAAGACGCTTTTATCTTGTTAGAAGAAACTTTGTCGATTTATGAACAAAACATGCAATCAACAAAAAATATTTTCAATGATCTTCAATTAATTGTTGTGAGTGAACAAGTTGTTGATAATCGTGTGTTTGTATTGTTGAGATCAGCAGTCGATATGAATGATCGTGAGATGCAAGTTGTCTTCGTCACCGAACAAAACTTTAAGTGGGTTGAAGAATTGAAAGAAGCACTCATTGATTCTGAGACAGGAAAGTTCACTTACATTGTCTGTCAGGGTGAAGAAAATTTCGGTGCTGTTGGTTTAATGAACTGCATAAAGAATGAAGCTGGCGGAAAACTCGCTAGAATGATTTTCATTCAAGACAAAAACATTGAAAAGTTTAACTTCACCAGCAGTTTCTTTACTCAACAATTGAAGAAAGATTTGATTCAAAATGTTTACAAAAATGGAACGTGGGGAACTTTCCGTCATTTGAAGCTTGATAATGTTGTTGGAGCGACATTACCAGTCGAACATGCTTATGTCAATGCATTGACGAAAGGCGATCTTGCATCTCTTAAATGGATTGAAGGTCCACTTTCATTTGATCGTCCAACCTCTGACGATAAACGTCATGATCTTTGCACTGTTTATTTTGCACCAATAAACTTCCGTGATGTCATGTTAAGTTCAGGAAAACTTGCAGCTGATGCACTTCCTGGTGATCTCGCACAACAAGATTGCATTTTGGGTTTGGAGTTCTCAGGACGTGATTCGAATGGAAGACGAATCATGGCAATGGTTCAAGCGAAATCATTAGCGACGACATGCGTTGCACAAAAGAACATGATGTGGGAGATTCCTGACAATTGGACAATGGAACAAGCATCGACAATTCCTTGCGTCTATTCGACAGTTTATTATGCGTTGGTTGTTCGTGGAAAAATGAAGAAAGGTGAAAGCATCTTAATTCATGCTGGTTCTGGTGGTGTTGGCCAAGCAGCAATTTCTGTTGCACTTCATGCTGGTCTTAAAGTTTTCACAACAGTTGGAAGCAAAGAGAAACGAGAATTCTTGAAGAAAACTTTCCCAAAAGTAATTCAATTATTTATTTTATTTATAGAATAATTATTAACTAAAACATTCCTTTAGCTTAATGATCGAAACATTGGAAACTCTCGTGATTGTTCATTCGAACAAATGATCATGCGTGAAACCAAAGGCAAAGGCGTTGATCTTGTTTTGAATTCATTGGCTGAAGAGAAACTTCAAGCTTCTATTCGATGTTTGGGTCTTAATGGTCGATTCTTGGAAATTGGAAAGTTTGATTTGAACAACAATTCACCTTTGGGAATGTCAGTGTTCCTCAAGAATACTTCATTTCATGGAATTCTTTTGGATTCAGTGATGGAAGGTGATGACGAGATGATCTCTGAAGTTGTTGGACTAGTTGCAGAAGGAATTAAAAATGGTGCAGTTCGTCCTCTTCCAACAAGTGTTTTCAATGATCAACAAATTGAGCAAGCTTTCCGGTGAGTCTTCTTTTTTTGAAAATATTTTCAATTGTTCTAGTACTTCACTTCTGTCATTAAATTTTGTGCTAGATTATTTAATCTAATCTGGAAATTAATCTAATCCAATCTTCATTAATCTTTTAGTTTTATGGCATCGGGAAAACACATTGGAAAAGTTGTAATTAAAGTTCGTGAAGAAGAAAAACAACGAACGTTACAACCATCAACAAAATTTGTCAACGCCATTTCAAGAACTTACATGCACAAAGAGAAAACTTATATTCTTGTTGGTGGCCTTGGTGGCTTTGGATTGGAGCTTGCTAATTGGCTTGTAGCCCGTGGTGCAAGAAAGATTGTGCTGACATCAAGAAGTGGAGTTAAAACAGGATATCAATCATTGATGATTCGTCGATGGAGAGAAAAGAATGTCCAAGTATCGATTGATACAAATGACGTGACAAGCATAAAAGGCGCACAAAAAATGCTTCGTGATGCTGCAAAAATGGGACCCATTGGTGGCATTTTCAATCTTGCTGCTGTTCTTCGTGATGGACTCATAGAAAATCAAACTGAAGATGATTATAAATCAGTTTGTGTGCCAAAAGTGGATGGAACAAAACACTTAGATGCAGCATCACGTGAACTTTGTCCAAATCTGGATTACTTTATTTGCTTCTCGAGTGTTTCATGTGGACGTGGAAATATTGGACAATCGAATTACGGTTTAGCTAACTCAACTATGGAGAGAATTTGTGAGGTTCGTCAAGCTTCAGGTTTGCCAGGACTTGCTATTCAATGGGGTGCCATTGGTGACACTGGTTTAGTGTTGGAGAATCTTGGCGATAATGACACAGTAATTGGTGGAACACTTCCACAAAGAATGACTTCATGCTTACAAACAATGGACTTGTTCATGCAACAACCACATCCAGTTCTTGCTTCAATGGTGATTGCTGAGAAACGCAAAGCAGATTCGTCAAGTGGTGTCAGTTTAATCTCATGTGTCGCTAATATTCTCGGCTTGAAAGACACAAAGAACATTAACGATTCATCATCGTTAGCTGACCTTGGAATGGATTCTCTCATGGGTGCTGAAATCAAGCAAACACTTGAACGAAACTTTGACATGGTTTTGAATGCACAAGAAATTCGTCAACTGACATTTGGAATGATTAAAAGTTTTGAATCTGGCACTGAAGCGATGACATCTGATGGAGGTTCACGACCAACTTCTCCATTGAAAAATGGTCCAAACTCGCCAACACCTGGTGATTTCAGTGGAGGGGACAACATGATTCAGTTCACTAATGAATTGATGCCAACGCAATGTCTGCTCAAGATGAAATCAAATGAAGGAAAGAATTCAAATGTGAATCCAATTTTCCTGATTCATCCAATTGAAGGTGTCGTGTCAGCACTTTTGCCATTGGCAGAAACATTGAATCGACCAGTTTATGGATTGCAATGTGTATCTCATGCACCATTAGATACGATTCAAGACTTGGCTGGTTATTACATCAAACAAATGCGAAGTGTTCAAACCATCGGACCATACACGATTACCGGTTATTCATATGGCGGTTGTGTTGCTTTCGAAATAGTCACACAACTTGAGAATTCCAATGAGAAATGCAATTTGGTGATGATTGACAGTTCACCGACTTATGTGAGTTGGTACACAGAAGCGCAATTGGCAAGAAATGCTTCTGGTCGATCACCAACTGGTCAAAATCCTTCTAAAGATGAAGCTTACGCTTTTGCATATTTTGGAATGGTTTGTGGAAGATTGGAATACAAAGCTGTAAGTAGAATTAATTAAATCTGTTTTGGAATCATTTTTAAATGGAGAAATTTAATTTAAAGACTGCAAAAGAGCTCGAGAAGTTGCCATCATTTGATGCTCGGGTTCAACGTGTTGCTGAACTTTTACATGAGAGAACTTCACATCCTATCGACTTAGTAAGTTGTTGAAGCAATTTAATAATCTTCTTTAATTAATGCTTTGAATCTTCAACAGCTCGCAATCACCGCTAAAAGTTTCCTTAAAAAATTATTTGCTGCTCATCACTACAGACCCGTAAATAAAATCAACGCTGATGTCTTGCTAATTAAACCATCAGAGAACTACGCAAAGCTCACAAACGATTATGGTCTTAACGCTGTAAGCAAATAAAATAATTAAATGAAATTGTCTTTTAATTAAAATCCTTTTTCAGTTATGCAGTAAACAAGTAAAGATTGAAGTTGTCGAAGGCGATCATCGCACGATTCTTGCAGGAGAATCAGTTAAGAAAATCTCAAATTTCATCAAACGCATCGAATAATTCGAATTTTCATTAAGTTAATTAAGTTATTTTAAGTTTTTGTCAACCTTTTTTGTAAATATTTTCTAAAACTCAAACTTTTTCATGTTTAAATTGGCGATCCAATCTGATGACGTTTTATTAATTCCATTCCAAGAATTTTTGAAAATAACAATAAATTAATTAAGCTAAATATCACATTAAACTTTAATTGGATATTGTGGTAGTAAATGATATTATGAACAAGTTCTTTAATGAATAAGTAAAGTTTAAGTGGCTTTGTCTCTAAGTTGACAGAATAAATATTCAAATAATAATAAAAAAGTTTCTTTTACTGTTGTTCTGAAAAGTTTTAACAAGAATGACGTCATTAAACTCTCCTTAATTTTATTGCTTTCAGAATCCTACAGTTTATGAGATCACCATGTTAATTAAAGAAACTGATAAACTTATCACAAAAGCACTCAATTCAAAGCTTTATTGTTACAGGAAAATGATAAAGTGACGAAGTAGTTTGCACCATTGACAATTTTCTCTAAGAAGTGCTTGTTCTCACTTCCAGCTGTATATCCAACAGTTCTTCCAGCTTTTCCTTCAACCACAAAATTCTTCTTCTTGTGATTCTCCATGTCAACGAAAATAAACTTTCCACCGTTAAAGTTCTTCTTGAATGTTGTTAAATAAATAATTAGCGTGTAGTGAATAGATTTGTTCGCTTCTTTATCGTAATGAAGTTGATGGGAATGTTCGGAAAATTCTGTTGTTAGGTTTGTGACTTTCGTGACGTATGATGGATTCGTGATTGATAACAAATCATGCGATGTCTTAAAACGTTGTGATAGCGTGTCGATAAGTTTCGGTTGAAGAGACTAAAAGAAATGAGAAAGAATGATTAGAATCTTTAGTAACAATAAAAATTCAGTTACCTTCAGAACATCAGCAACATTCTTTGATAGCGAATCGTATTTTGAAAGTTTCTCTGAAAGTAGGTCAAATGATAACGAAGCTTCATCGTCTTTCGGAAAGAATTTCTCAAAGATATTTATCGTCATATCTTTAAGTTTAATTAATTCTGCTTCAGAAATGACATTGTCACTGGCAAATCGTCCGCAATGTGCTGGAAGGCACGACGACAATTCTCGACCTTCTTCCTCTGTTTCAAAGGATTCCGGCGAACATTCGACTTTGTGTTCTCTCAAACTTAAGAATTCTTTAACTCCCGCTAATGTTGAAGTTTTTTCTTTTGCTGATGTGAAGTAAACTATGGCAAAGACTGCTGTTGATAAGACAGCACGTGCAAAAACTTTTTGATATCGAAATTGTGGTGGTCGTTCTTTATATTGTCTAAAAGATTTAAATTTAAACTATAAAAGATGAAAATTAAGAAGTTTCAGATAAACTCACGAAGATTTAGCAGAACTTCCATTGGCTTCTGTCGTCCCAGTTGCCGCTGGAGCTTCACTACTTTTTGTAATCTTCTTTCTCTGCACTAAAGAACTCATAATTCCCTTTTTTAATAATTCCTAATTCAACTTTTTACCTTAAAAACAAGAACTTGATGAAAACAACTTCAAACTTCATCAAGAGCATGCGCACTTCATTCGAATGGCAAATGATTTGTTACAATTCCACTCGTCTTCTTACCCATTTTCGTGCCGTGATGTGTTATAAAAATTCTCAACACAATAAACTAAAAAAGAAGAAATTTCGTGGTCGATGACGAGGTCAAAACTTCAAAGCAAAATTATATTTTATTGTCACCCTAAAAAACTTCGCTCATTCGTTGAAGTGCAAAAATAATGCCACGTAACCGTAAGACGACCATAAAGCCCTCGTCTTATCAATTATCGTACTTTATAATTTTATTCCTCGAAAATTCGGTCACCTCTTTAACCATTTCAACTTTTAATCCATCTACAAAATGTTGATATATTTTGTAATCAATTTTGATGATAACAAGCCTAGAAATTCACCTGAATATTTATTTTAACAAACGAGAATGTAGAGAGAATAAACCTCATCTAAACATTTCTCTTATCTTATCAGCTTGAAAAAAAACTGAAAAATATAAAAAAAGACGATAGCAAAAGTTGCTGTTGAAACGTGAATGAAACACATCGCATTAGTGTGCATAGTTGATGATGAAGGTGAATAAATTTTTTAATTATTTCATATTTCTTTAATGCTCTTTAAGCTGTCGTGTAAGAACTGATGATTAAATTTTTCCTTCATGGTGATAACGAGAAGGTAAGCTTAGGTAAGGTGAATCTATTTATTTAATAATTTCTGCCTCTTCTTACTTCTCTTCTTCTTTTTTTAATATTAATCCACCCTCGTCTCCTGCATGATATCAACAAAATTAAATTTTTCCATTGCTAACCATATGAGAAAGTTTCCATTTTTCTCATCGATATTTGTTTGTGCTTGACGCTTACAATTTAATTCTTATCTCTTATTTACTTTATTGGCATAATGATAACTTGCCAGCTAAATTCATGAAACTTCATGTTGTATTTGTTTGATCTATCATTGGATTTTTTATTATTAAGTGAGTTCACCGTGCCCACGAAATCGGCCGGAAATCATTGGGAAGGAAAGTTGATGAACTTTTATGTAGGTTGAGTGTTGATTTTTACATCAGATGAAGATCCGACGTGTACGAGGGTGGAATAAAGTTGACTTCATCAATTCAGTTTACTTTTAAATCTTTCCTTGAAATTTAATAATAATTCACTTGCTAACCGCGTTTTTTTTTGTCATCGAAATTACCAAAAATTGTTATCAGGAAAAATTGTCTTCTTATTCTTATTGACGAAGTTTATAAGTAGAATTGGAGTTCTTTTTTGTTGTTTGAAATGTGATAAGTTTCACTTTTTTGTCATATCGTAGTGTTGCGTATGCGATATGAAGTTTTTTTTATCAGTTAAATATTTTTTTAGGGAGCGTTTCTTCAAAAGAGATTTTCTTTAAGTATATAAAATCGACCGTACGAGTTCATTTATCGATTACAACTTGAAAATTGCTTGACGTGTTGACATGAAGATTGTGACAAAAGAAATAAAAGTGGAAATTTGTGTGTGGAAATTTAAATTGGATTTCATTTCGTGGATTTGCAGATGTTGGTCATGCTTTAATGTTATACAAGATACTCACAGATCAGATCTGTCCAAATCTACTTGAAATGCAGTTCAAATTCATCATCAAAAATGTATTTTCATTAAAATTAAAGGATGAAAAAAAAGAATTAGAATGGAATGGTGCAAGTGGAGAAGTAGTTCTCATCGCTTAGCTTCAAAAGTGAGATTCAACTTCTCCGACTTACAACCGTTTGTTCACTCAACGCGATTCTTTTTCTCTTGTCATGATAATCACATAATAAAAAAATCTGCTGTCAAAACTGGGATGAATTAGTCATAAAAATAAAACTTTATTTCACTATAAAGTCGAATAAGTTTAAGTACATAAAATTGTATATTTTTTTGTGTGTTGGACGGAATGGTAAAGTAGAATTTATTGCTTTAAAGAATGCTAATATTTGAGAGTTAAAAGAAATTTGTGCACTTTATCGACATGTGCATGTCATTTGTGAGTATTTTTAACAATTATTAATCAATTTAATAAAAAAAAGAATATTAAGGCACACAATCATCATCAAATGGCAACATCGACGAGATCCATCATCAATCTTATTGAATGGACGGTCTGAAAACGGGTAGCGAACTTGGATAGTGCGTATCAGGCTTAAGAACGGAGTCAGGCCAATTTGTCAAGACATCATTTGTCGATCGGAATGGATAAGTTGCAAGCACAATCGGCAGTTGAAGTTTTATCGCCTTCTCCATCGATTTTGGTTCAATCACCAACTTCAAATCAAAAAGAGACAAAAGAGAAAAATGAAAATTAATCAAACTAAAATAGAGACGAAGGGAATTATTGCTTGAATCATAACATGACGCAACCTGTAAATTAATCCTTCTTATCAAAGTAACGAGGCAAAATTATATTGTATGATATCATAAATTTCTTATCAGCACTCAAAAACGAAAAAAAAAGTGGAAAAAGCTTATGTCTGTGTTTTTATATTTCTTCTTTTTCTTCCCTTCCATCGAAAATTTAGAAGGCAAAATGTGAGAAAATCTTTTTTATTAAAGAAAGAAAAAAAGAATTCCTTCCTTGGGTTGACTTTTGGGTAAATATTCAGTAAGAAGATTGATAACTCTTTCAATTCTTAAATAAGCATAAGAAGAAAGAAACTTTACACTCACATAAACATCGTAGTTTAATCGGATTATGTTTGAATTTCGAATGTTTGTCGGAGGCAGGGGTGGCACATAAAGCTTCTTATTAATGAACTCATCTCTGCTACCAGGTCTTATTTTGGGAAATTTCATCTGTGCCAATTCCCGTTTCTCTGTTTGAATGATTTTCCCTCGAGAAAGATATTGAATGGTCTCGAGAAGAACGATTTTAGTATGTCGTATGGTGACTTTACTAAAGTTCTTAACGTAACCGTTGATGACGATATTTTCCCCTGACACATATCCTATACATTATAAATAACAAAAGCAGTAGCATTATTATCAAAAGAATCTTTTTTAAGCAGCTTGAATTCTTTATTTCTTTTACCTCCCCTGTCGAGTTCAATCTTACACTTCACTGTACCCGAAGAGATACAAGCAAGTCCACCTAAAGTCGGCTCAATCTCACAACGGAAAGGCTCAGCTAATGAAGGTTCTTCAATGTTCAAATCGATAGGGTTCATGATGATGAAAATTTGATGGTTTTTATGGATCAAACCAGAAGGCTCGCGAAGCGCACATTTGCAGTAATATTGGATCCAGCCATGACGACCCAGAAAGGTTGAAGGGAGCTGTATTTATGTTTGTGAATAAGTCATGATTTAAATCATTACCGTATACTATCACATTCATTGACTTACACCAAGCGGCAACCCTAGCTTAAAGGGAAAAGAATGAATTCCAGGGGAGAGAACTGTTGGTCCCGAATCGGCATCGCCCAAAAGACGCATACGAAAATCAATATAATTCTCCTTATCATAAGTACGCTCTTGACGAGCTGTTTTAGCTGTTACGACGCCCTCGCCCACGACATGAAAATGAAGGCCTTGCGTGGTCACGATGAAGCGAAAAATTGAAATTAATTAAGTAAATATTCAAATAATTTTCAATCTTCATATTTCTTATGAAATTTTTTGTGACAATAAAACAAAGAAAACAATTTTAGCTCAAAAGTGAAATCGAAAGTTTATTATTGAAGATTCAAAAGCGAAAAAAAAAGAAAATTGTCTTTCTTGTCTTGATTTATATTTCCATCTATGGATATATTGTGATGGATTGCATAACTGTGTTAAGCTTTCAATGATTAAATTTCCATGTTTGCTTAAATTCTCACCTAAAGCTGGTGTGTCTTCTTGCAGTTCTAATAAAACTCGTCCGCTCAAAAATTGTCCAGGGAAAAAAAGCAAATTCGTGTTGTCGAAAAGAATTAAAAATTTCATTAACTTTCGTGGCATTTTCCATAAATTTTCAGGCGATTAAATTTTTTTCAAGAATGTCGCCTTCAGTGTTTTTTCTATTCAATTCTTTTTTTTTTGTTCCACCTGTTGAATCTATGATAAAAAATGCACTTTACACTGGTGCTAATCACTTGATGGTGAGATTAGTGAACATTTTTGTAGCACGTCTTATCAGCTAGCCTCGAAATGATAAGAAAAGCGATTAGTTAACTTCACGAAAAAGCAAAAAAGTTAAAACTAAAATATCTACGATGTCAACTTTTTAATCTTTTCAAAGCAACAAAAATATAAAGAATTGAAGACTTTTTTAGTACAAGAAAAAATTTAACACACCAGCAACAAAGTCGCGATAATCCGATCTGCCAACTTTACACAGAAAACTGTTTTTCGAACAGCAACAGCACAGATGAGATGAAATAAGAAACAAAAAATGTTTTTCAACGGGAGATTTTTTTTCTTATAAGAAAACAAATATTATAATACGAAGACGACCTTCATTTCGATTTCAATTGTGTAACGAACAATTTAGAATGGAGCGATCAAAGAAAACAAGTTTTTTTTCTTTAAAGAACTTTAACATTGCGTGGGTGTATAAAATATTTATCTAGACAGTTATTTAACAAACAAACAAATGTTCACAATAACAATTTATTATATATTTAAAGACATATTCTATTTACTCTAAAATTCTCGCTCCAACATTTCGCCAATTTCTTAAATTATCTTCATTCACACGTCCCCATTTCCATTTTTGTCGCACTTCATTTTGGTCACAAGGCTTGACAGAAATCTTTTCAGAATTTTCACCAGCTTCAATACATTTCTTTTCACCAACACCATTTTTGATTTGTTGTGTGCTCAAGTCATAACGGAAATATTGAGCAGCTTGTTGATGGTGACATGCATGAAGCTGAAGGCGGTCACCACGCGGTTCAATGCAATATGCTGAGTCTGTGTAGAATTCAATATCGCGATGATGACCCAAGAAGTAATGTTGATGACCACCAGGGTGAATTTTATTCCGAGCACAGTAATATAATCCCATTGGCCTGTAAAAATGTCCCAACGAGTCAATACATTTACCGGAAAATGCAACACTTTCAATCTGAAAATTGGAATTTCCACTTCAATAATTATTCATTTAATTTTTTTTTATAAAAAATTTAAACTTACAACACCACTCGCAAATTCAATTTGTGTTGGTGGATACTTTTCAAGCATGTCAGGAGCAACAACCTCCAAAAAATACTTGAATGGTTTGCATTGCAAACGTTCTTTAACTTCCAACTGTTTGCTGATATCACCGACATCAATTTTATTGTATCGATCAGGTTTCCTCTGGTAAAGATACTCTTTGTATTCATCCTAAAATGTCAAATGTCATTTAAATAATTGGTGATTGAAGTTCAAAGATATTTCTTACCATCCAAACTTCAGCAACTCTTTTGAAATTCTTTGATAAGTAATCAACTCCCCGTCGAGGATCCGGGAATGGATTATGTTTGTAAATATGACCAATTCTTGAACATGGTGCATCCAACATTTGTCCACCACACAACCAAATTTTAAAGCTTAATTCATATTGTTCACCACCCCAAATGTCAAGACCAGGATCGTAACCGCCAAGTTCCCAAAAGAATTTTGTTGAGATCGCGAAAAGTCCACCAGCCATGACAGGTGAAGGGAAAGTGTCAGCGGGCGTTTCTTGATCACCCGGTCGAATGTCAATTCTTTTATATAAAAAGTTCCATTCGAATGCACCTCGGTTGCCTTCATCTTGTGCTCGATATTCATAATCGTGAGCGTCAATCACGTCAATGAATGGGCAGACACAAGTTCGATAATCTGACGCTATCGGATCAAGTAGAGGTGGCAACCAATTTGTATTTGCTTCTGTGTGTGAATCAAGAAAGACCAGAACATCAGCTGTTGCTGCCTGTGCACCAGCAATTCTCGCTGTTATCAAACCCGAACGTTCTGGAAGATGAATCACGTGTGCTTTACCTTCAAAATTATTCGACAAATATTCCTCCAGTTCTTCATAAAGTTCTGTTTTCGTTGAATGGTCGTTGACTAAAATAACTTCTTTTAAAAGATGTGCAGGTGCTCGATTAATTACACTGTGCACTGTTCGCATTAAAACTGACAAATGGTCATTGAAGAATGGAATAATCACAGACGTTGTTGGAAGTTCTTTGAAATAAATTTTCTTGTTGCATCTAAAATAAATAAATAAAAAAAGATTACAAAAGAAGAAAGAAAAGTTTGATAAAACTTACAATGGATGTCTGATGTCAGCTACTGAACGGTTAACTGAGATAATGTCACTAGCAACTGCATAATATCCATTGACTCGATTAAGCTCTTCATTTCTGCTTATATCTTTTGGATCTGTCAACACAAATTTCTTTCCCTGTTCACCAGGCCCCTTCCGACTCTTCTCAATTTCAATCAACGTCCAATTATGCCAATCGACACGCTTTTGAATAACATTATGCTTTTGTTTGAAGAACGAATCTGATGGCTCAACATAATGAAACTCATCTTCTGAGATTAACGGTAAAACAATTGGTCTTCGTTGCACAATGTGTTCGGCAGTCTTCTTTTCAAAAGTCGAATTGTCAAAAGATGTGGAATGTTTAAACAGTTGTGTTATCACGAACAATCCACATATTGCTAACAGCACAAAGTTGATAACTAATTTGAAAAGCGAGCTTCTTCCTCTACACTGAAATGGTAAATGAAATCTCATGATGATTACTTCTTCAACAATGAAATCACTGAATACGCAAACTAAATTCGATCAAAAACCACGAAGATGATCTTCTCATCTTATTTCCTTTCTCTCGACTAACAAAGCAACTCAAATGTGTGTAAGGTGAAGTAAGTGAAGCAACACAAAAAAAATTGATACGTGTGGTATTTTGGAAGAATTCTCACTAAAAAAAAACACTACAACGAGTCATTGAAACCTGTTTCAAGCCAACAACGTTTGATGATTTCAGAAGATTTCGATGTCTTGACACATGGCATTATCAGTATAAATAAACGATTTATTTTTTGTTGTTATTGTTATCAGTTGTTTCACATGTTAATACTTTTACACATTTATTTTGTGTTTTTATTTTTTTTCCGCTCATTTTTCGATAATGTCAGACAATAATTGGCAGTTTGACCAGCCAACAGTTTTGCAATAAAAATAAACTTACGTATCTTAAGAATAGTCGCTTGACACTGTGGGAGCTCATTGAAAGAATCGATAGAAAATATTTCTGGATGGGACAGTCTTTGTGTGATCACGAATCAATGTTTACTAAATGACTAAAAAGAGCTGTGAAGTATTTTTTTTTTCGGAAATTAAATGCGATAGTGCGATCCAATGCTGACGAGTGACAGGGTTTTGTGCGCGTGTTAGTAACTTCTATGAATGAACTCAAATGAAAACGATGATTTGGGAAGTAAATAAAAACTTGCTGTAACGATAATTTCAATGCTTTTAATTAGACATCAAGCCCTGATCTATGACGGTTAACAAAAAAAAACTTCAAAGTGAACTCACACAACCATCGACTTTGAATGGCTTCATAAACACATTTCAGTAACAAATTCTCTCTCTGGTTTGAGTTCCTCGCTTCTTTTTTTATTATTTTTTTAATACTGTAAAAAAGATGTTTAATATTTTTCGCAATTTCAACATAACATGGTCTATGATTAATTGTTGAATTATTTTGGGTCAGTGAGGTAAATTTACGGGAGATTTTTTTTCTGCTGTTGAAAGTTTAAACAAAGATGTGTTTTTTTTATAAAAAAGTTTCACTTTTTAGTGTCAACTAAATCACAACTTTCATGATGACATTAAATGAATATTTTCACAATTTTATTTCTCTAATCTTTTCTGTTTCTTTTTGTCGTTGCTAATATTGGAATGCTTTTGATAAGTCAGCAATTTCTTGTGCGTCGACAATTTTTGAACCATAATTTAGCCAATTTCTGACATTTGTCTCGTTAACAAAGCCCCATTCCCATTTCTGATTCACTTTGCTGACATCGCATGAGGTGACGTAGACTGATTGATTGTTGACATCAGCTTCAACGCAATGATTATTTCGTATTGGTCCGTGGAAGAGTTGCTTAGTGTCGAGATCATAACGAAAGTATTGATTACCTTGAGAGTTGTGGCACCCTTGAGTTTTAACCTCACGTTTCTCACCGTAACTATCCAAGCAGAGTTGCATGTCTGGAAGCGCAATGTCACGATAAAACCTCAGTGTAAAGTGTTGATTGTCTTGAGGTCGTTTTCGATTTTCTCCACAAAAGTACAAGCCTGATGAATTTGAAATATTCACTTTCAATTGAATTATTTATATTGAAAGGAACTTACCAATTGGCTGATCTTTAGCTCGATTCAATTTGTCAATGCAAAGACTGGGATTAGCCAATGTTTGAATAGCTCCGGATGCAAATTCCGGTGGCTCTTCGTATGGATATCTTTTCATGAAAATAATTAAATCTTGTCTTTATTATCAAATAATTGGAATTTGCAATTTATGTTAAAACTCACCTGTCAAGCATATCGGGTGCAACATGTTCCATAAAATATTTGAATGGCTTGCATTGCTGTCGTTCCTTCACATGAAGTTGATACGAAATATCCCCTAAATAATTAAATAATGTTTAATGACACAAACGTAAAATCTCTCAACACATGTAAATGCATTCAAACCTGTTTTAGTTTTTGCATATCGGACAGGATCGCGTTTGTAAAGAAATTCTTTGTATTCATCCATCCAAACTTCAGCAACACGTTTGTAATTAATGGCAATGAAATCAATTCCTTTGCGATCATTTGGGAATGGCATGCTGCCTCGATAAACATGGCCAATCCTTGAACATGGTGCATCGTACATTTTTCCATGACAAAGCCAAATCTTGAAGCTTAATTCAAATTGTTCGCCACCCCAAATGTCAAGACCCGGATCGTAACCGCCGAGTTCCCAAAAGAATTTTGCTGAAATTGCAAATAAACCACCGACCATCACAGGATTTTCGTAGAGATCCCATTTGTTCTCCTGATCTCCCGGTCTCAATGGAATGGAATGATAAGAAAGACGCCAATCAAAAACTCCCCGACTGCCTTCACCTTGTGGTCGATAAGCGAATGTCTTGAAGTCAATCACATCGATGAATGGACAAACACAAGTTCGATAATCTTTTGCAATTGGTTCGAGTAATGGTGGAAGGAAGTTTGTGCTGGCTTCTGTATGTGAATCAAGGAACAATAAAACATCACCAGTTGCAGCTCGTGCACCAGCAAGTCGAGCCCAAATAAGTCCGGATCTTCGTGGCAGTACAATGAGTTTAACTATGTGCTTTAAATGCTTGTTGATGTGATCTTCAAGTTCCTTGTAAAGAAAACTTTTCGTCGATTGATCATTGACTAGAATAACTTCTTTAAGAAGATGCTTCGGTGATCGATTGACAATACTGTAAACAGTTCTTAGTAACGTTGATAAATGATCATTGTAAAATGGAATCACAACACTGACATTAGGAAGATCAGCTAAATATTTAATTTTTTTACATTGTTTAAGTCGAAAATCAGCAACTGAGCGATTCAAAGCAATCTTATCAGATATCAATCCATAATATCCATTAGCGTCAAAGAGAACTTTATTCTCTTCTTCTTCCTCTGGTGAATAATAAACTGGCTGTCCATTTTCACCCGGAAGTCCGAATCTTGATTTCTCTCTCGCGAGATATTCGTAGTCGTGGTAATCGATTTTCTTTCTGAACTTATGATCTTTACGAAAGAATGAATTTATTGGCTCAATATAAATATAATTTGATGTGATTGCCAATGGATGATTATTCTGCTGAATAAATTTGTAAGTAACAACAACGACAAAGCAGAGAAACGAGATGATTGCTATGATAAATTTTAAAAAATTTCCAAAACTTCTTCGACTTCTCAAAATCTACAAGAAATATTTTATTAAATTAAAGTTTAATCGAATGTTATTCAATTTCACCTGCAGACGAATATTCGATTTTGCCTTGATCAAAATACGATTTAACGACATATCCAATCCACACGAAGTCTCGACGAAAATAAACAAGTCGAAGTGCAGTTGAACTCTGATTAACAAAATTCTCTGTTTATTAAATGTATCGAACACGTTGAGTCGTCTCTTCTCTCAGCTAACAAACTACTTGGTTGTGTCTGTCGCGATTATTAGCTCTTTTCGTTTCGTTTCGTTTTATTTTTTGGTTGAAAGAGCGTGAGATGTTAATTGTCCGAAAAACCGGATTTTATATGATGTTGAATGGTCTTTTGATATCTTACAAGAATTTTCTTTTTGTAATGTCTTTCTCTTTTATTGTTTTTAAAACTTCACACGGGTTTAAACTCTTCTCGTGAATTTTACGAGTAGAACTGTCGACGAAGTGAAAATTTTATTTTTCTTTCTGTGTTGATATCAAAAATTTTTGTTTTGCCAGCAAACGAATAACGATGGAAAGAAGTTTTTTTTCTGCTGTTGTTTCTGTGCCATATCTACAAGCTACACAAAAATTTTATCATTTTTATCAGTACGAAAAGCAGATGTTTTCACAATTTCAACGCGATTGAGTAATAACTCGTTACGCTTTAGAAACGTTTTTGTTTTCCTTTCTGCTTAGAAAGCCTTTCATGCTACATTTCAAATCTATAACATTGCATTGTTGAACAATGTTTTGCAATTTTTATCCCAGCTGCGATATGTTGCCAGAAGTTAATTATTGAAAATGAAAAACGAAACGAGAGAAAAATTCTTTTCAACTCGCATGAAATCTTAACTTTTCCCACCTACCAGTTGTCTTCCTTTTTTATTAGAATAATTTTTCATGTAACGTGACAACCCGACGATCCCCAATGACAGTCTTTTTTTCTTTCTCTTCCAATCTTGTCTTTCGTTAAAAGCCAAAGAAAAGAAAATACGACGAAGTAAGGTAAACTGAATGATCCACAGTTTAGACTCAAGTTGCCACGTTCGGTATAATAAATGACGATTCTTTCAACTTGCCTCTCGCCTCCTCTTTTTTGGGTACCCTGGATGAAAACGTGCTACATCAGTGTCACCATGTGCGATTGTCATTTAACTTTATGGATTTTTCTCACTTTTTAGTGTAACTTTGAGGAACTTCGGAAACTTTACATGAATGAACGATGAAAACAAAGCGAAAAAAAATCTGTCACCACTAACTATGGTACATAGTGTTCCACTCTGCTCATAGATGCATAGATGGGTAAGGAAAGCATGACAACCATAAAATCCTCTTTATTCTTACTCTTTTTTTTTTGTTTTTAAAAAATGGTTATTTCAACTTAAAATCACGTTTGACTTTCATTGATGATATTTTAAAGTCGATTTTAAGACCGAACGTAGAAAAGTGAACCTTTAATGGAAAACTTCACACTACAGCAGTTTCAAAAATTGCACTATGCGGATATCGTTTTATCATGGTGAAATTTTGGTTGATGATGGGATGATGATTGGGAGTGAAAATAACAAATTGTAAAAATGCTGATAAACGTTTTATAATGCTTTAAAAATTGGGTATCGTTGAGAGTTCATCGTGATTAATTATCCTTTGAGCTCTTTTCATGACTGTGATGACATTTGAAACTATCAGAAAATTTCTCTAAAGGGCAGAAGCGACATGTGAGATAGTAAAAGAATGAAAAAGAAAACATTTATGTGGAATTCGTTCGTTCTTGTATTGCAGTGATGGGCACAGTACAGCGAAAAGAAAATAAACTTCAACGATTTAATTTTTGTTAAATATTCTGCTAAATTCAATGCCGTTGACCACCACATGGACTCAGTTAAAGAAATATTTTATCAGGTCGATGATTTCATAATTTTCTGATAATATGTCTTCTTATCATTGCTTTATTTAGATATAAAAATTGAAGTTCAATTTCATTTTACTTTTGCTGCGAAAAGCAGAAAGTGTTTGAGAACACAGTTTTAAAGTTATACTCAAACTTGATATAAATTAAAATTTTGCACGATTAAGAAATGAGTGAGTTATTTTATTAATTAATTAAGTTTGTCAAATGTAGACCATCACAATTTTAATTTTTGAAACGGTACATTTGCTGAGACTTTTTCATCATTTAATGGAGAAGGAGAAATATTTATTCGTTAATAATTTGAAAGTTTGAAGGATTTTATTTATTTTCTTACATTTAATTTAATTTCTCTATTCAATTTTATTTAAGTTATCAATTAAATTAATGATAATTATTTCAGTAACTATGACATGGACATATAACGTTATAAATATCTGTTTCGTGATTCACTGAATTTTTATGAAAGTTTAAGTATTTCGATAAAAAAGATAAGATAATTAAAATTTTCAGATTATCATTGGATACCATCATCAACCCATCAGGGTCTTGCTACAGGTTCAGCTGTTTATGCAGGAAATGATGCTGATGGATCTCCTATATACGTTGGGCGGTAAGTCTGTGAAATATCTTCTTATCATGAAGTTATTCAATTTTTTAATGATTCTTAGCGCATTCCATGAAGGTGATCAAATACCAGCTAAAGTCATCCCTTCTAAGCAGGCATGTTATGTTTCACATAATGGTTTAGAACATTTCAAACCAACCTTTGAGGTTCTTAGCGGCACAGGCTTCACTTGGGTTGGTAGTTCTAATGGACATGTCCCGCCTGGAGCTGTTCTTGCAGGAAATCAAAGTACTGGAGAACCTCTTTATGTTGGACGGGCGCATCATGAAGGAAGCTTAACAGTAGGAAAAATTCTTCAGGGTCATGGTTGCATTTACATCCCTTTCAATGGACAAGAACATCCTATTTTGCATTATGAAGTTCTTGTAGGTCAAGCAAAGGGTAAGGTCTTTAATATTTATTATGATACTTTTAAGTCAAGCTTGCTTTAAGTAATAATTATTTTTTTATTTAACAAGCCCAATGGGTTCATGCTTCTTCCCATGGGCCAATGCCTCCGAATCCAATTTTTGCTGGAACTGAAACTGACGGAAGCCCCATTTACATTGGACGTTGTTTCCATAATGGAGATCAACTTCCAGCTAAAGTCATTCCAAATCAAAATGTTGCTTATGGTAAAGTCATGAAATTTGATATTGTTTAAAACATTAATTTAAATGTTCATAAACTTTTTAGTTACATTTGATGGTCAAGTGATACCAAAGTATAGTTACGAGGTTTTATGCGACGGAAATGTTCAATGGGTGCCTTCTGCACATGGTGCTGTTTTACCAAATGCTGTTGTTGGTGGTCGCACATCTACTGGGGAAACTCTTTATATTGGACGAGGACAATGGATGGGGTCTTTAACTCCAGGAAAAATTCATCCATCTCATGGAAATTTATATATTGCCTCCAATGGTATGGAATGTGCTGTTGGAAATTATGAAGTTTTAATTGAAAATTGACAAGACTTAAAAAAACGTTTTTTTGTACTATTTTCTTAAATGTTTTTTATATTTTCATCATGAAAAATATAAAATTCTTTGGGATTTTGAAGGATCAATTATTTAGTTTCTTGTCACGTTAAGATTTCAGGGAAAATTAAACTTTTTTTTTTTGCTTAATTAAGAACAAAAAAATATTTCAACGATTTTGTAACTATTGAAAACTTCGATTTTAAACATTTCTTCGGACAGGCAGAAAGTTCCCATCACTGCTTATGTACGTAATATAAGCTCCATCTTCTGTCCAAGTCGAGTCGAGGGCAGCATCATAAATTATACTGTTATCGTCGATAATTTTCCACAAATCTTCATTCCATTTGTCTTCTACGCTGGCCCCAAAGGCTCTTGAAACGTCCATGTGGAGAGGGAATGAAAGAAAAACTCTTCTTTCATTCTTCCTTTTCAATCTATTTTCTCATCATCGATATTCTTCTTGAAGGCTTTCGGTATTCATAAATATTTCGATGGCAATTTCCATAATGACATAAATTTGTTTTTAAAATGCGTTTGAGTCTGAAATCTTCTTCAGTTCCCATGTGGATTTGTTTTCCATCATGAAAATGAATGGAACTCAAGCAGAGAATACTGGATAGGGTAGAAATGACATTCAACCTTCCTTAAATCTCCAGAATATCGAATTGAGATTTTAGAAATATTTTAATGACGTTGTTTAAGGTTTATCTCTTTGAAAGCTCTTGAAAGCTTATTTCGGATATATACAAGAAAACAAATTTAGAAATTAAATTAAATTATATTTGACATCAATGTTATTGAAAAATTATCAGAACTATTCAATTACCTTCATACACTGTGACCAAACAATTTTCTTGAACTCTACAAGCTCTGCTTTGAACATAAAAAGCTTCGCAAAGTTACAGAAAGTCACTGCTTCATGAATAAATCAATTGCGAAATCAAGTTCGTGCATCTGAAGTCATTGAAATTATTTTCTTTCGATTATGTGCTTGTTGGAATATTTGGAATAGAAATTGAGAATAAGAAAGGAATGGTAGAAGCTCAAGATGATATTTTAGAATATTTTTCCATCGTCCCTGAAGGAAAATCAACCCGATTTTTCAATAAATGACCTCCATTTGATTTACAAAATACCGACTCACATGGGACGAATAATTTTGTGTCTGAAATTGTCCATTAGAATTCTTTTCTTTATTTTCTTTCTTTAAATTGTGCATTTAATAGATGGTGATACAATAGAGTAATCAAATCAGATGAAATTGTGCTCATTTTCTCGCATTCAAGATGCATTCTCAACATGATAAAACAGGAATTTATTTTGTCGAAGACAATTTCAGAATTGAAGTCAATCATTCCAACTGAATCTCAATTATGGTTGTGTTTGGCAGTGATTGACTGATACAGAATCGATAGAGCGAAGATGTCAAACAACTGTGTTTCTTTTTTCTTCCTTTTGCCTTCGAAGCACTGATGGTGGGATGTGATACAACAACGCCTGATGAATTAGTATTCATGGAATCGGTTCTGCCTTCAAAATGATGGCTAAGACAAATTGGAAATCATTCAACGATTTTTGTGATTAGATACTTGAGTTTTGGTTATTGATGGGGAAATGAATCTAAGTTTCCACTCACCACACTGTGACAGATTATAATGTGATTTTTACGATACATATCTCTCTCTTGATGATTGTTACAACAGATGATAAAGTGAAGCGAAGGGAAAAATGTTTGTTTTGGTTTTCAACGATTTTCATTTGACATCAATTCTATCTTCTTTCATTTTCAACTTGACTCGATTTCGTCCGTTGATCAAAACTTTTTTTTGTTGTCTCCATCTCGTGACACCACATCAGAGCTTTACATGAGAGACTGTAAGAGGAGAAGGAAACAAAAAGCCAACAAAACTTCTAATTCGACGACAAAAACAAGAAATATGAATCAGTGAAATATTTATTCAGAGTGTGATAGAAAAGGAAGAGTCATAAAAAACTTTTCGTACGTTTTCTGATTTCCATGGTATTACATTGTGACTTCCATTAAGCTATAATTTATGGAAAAAATGCTGTATGGTAAAATATCTGCATAGTTGTCTTGTTTGTCGTGAATAAAAGTTTTCAATCCGATTCGGTGTGGCGGTGGAGCAGTCGTTACACAATGGATGAACGAAAAGAAATGTTGGAAAAATATTCAAGAGTCGGAAGAAAAACGAAAGAAATAAAAAACCATCATCATCTATTACAACATTTCGCCCTCTTGCCAACTGCTCAACGCGATGTGCAAAAATTGGAAGAAAAACTCTCGAAGCTATCGAAATTGGAAATTTTTAATCGAAAAGATGGATTTCTATAATTTATGGCGAAAGTTTCGTTGCAGGATGAATAAAGCTATTTTCGCAATTTTCTCTCAAATCGCTTGGCGTTTTGCCTTCCTTTTCGTTTCGCTACGTTTCACTACCACCTTCTCTTAACTTTAGCCTCTTTCCTTCGGCGGCATGAGATTTGACATTCTTGATAGCTTTGAAATTGAATTGCCATATTCCGAAGTACACAAGTAATGTTTAATCTGACATGTGATTATTCATCGTTGAGTTCTTTTTCCTTTCCTAGAGATTTTTTTACTTTTTTAAATGTTACAACACTTAGCATGCATGCAAGAAACAGCAGGGAGGAGAGATACAGAACCATGAATTAAACATACGTTTAATAAAAGATCTCTTAGAGAGCTCCAAGCTTTCAGGAATGCACATGACACGTTCTTTAACAATCGTTCCCCATTACAGCTTTTTTTTTATCCTATCAGTTTTTTGCATCCTGCAATTTTAAATACATTCCGATATGTATTCAAGCGAGAAGGAACGAAGAGAAATGAGATTTCTATTTAAATATATTTTTAATTGCATTTTACCGCAAAGGCAAAAAAAAACATAACATGAAACATCGAAAAATCAATTTATGTGGTAAATTGCTGTATTGTTTGTGGATGAGGATGATTTCAGTTATCGTCCAATTTAATCAAAAATTACAGATAAATTATTGGTGGTGGGTATAATACAAACATTTAATACCAAACGAATAAATAAATTAACAAATTTCATAAAAGATAAAATGATGGTGCAATGGAGATCAAAATCAGTGGCAGGAAATTTGAATTTTGACACCAAATTTAATTCAAATTTATCTTAGAAATTCGAATGAAAACTCTGCTACATAGAATTGAACTTGAACTATAAATTATGATTCAATTTTACTCTCCGTTTCAGCATCAATTAAATGAAAGTATAATCAATCATTGTAGGTAATTGTTTGCAAAACGTTTGTTTGCTTATTAAGAAACAAAATTATCTAAAATTCTACTAAAATTCATTTTCATATAGAATTTTAATTTTATGATTTGATTTCATAAACAAGCTTAAAGCTAAATTATTGTCGGTTTATTTTGACTCATTTATTCCATTTTCCAAATTTCAGTAATCATCATTATAATGAGCAGAGTACAAGAGCTTTTAGCAGTTAACACTAAACGATAAAGATTTAAAGTACGATAATTATGTCATTTATATGAAAAATATTAAATGTCTACATACGCTTTAATCAAGCTTTTTTTTGTTTTGATTTTCCCCTCATGAGTCATGAAAATTAAAACTGTCTGTCACTTAATGAGATTCAAATAATGAACACAATGTTCGTGTAATAATTTAGACTCCAAATAAAAAAAATTAGTCACACTTTCGTCTTGTAAAAATTAATGGAAACACAAATCTAGGACGAACACGATACGGCGAAGCTCGCCAAGTCGCCACCGACACAACAATTATGTGAGACGAAGTCAATGATTAAATTATAAGTTTAATTGCTGTCAATTTATCACTTCTACAATACCATGCACGATAAATGAGTGTTCAGCGTAAATTCAATGTCGGAGAATGAATTGTGTCAAAAGCCGAAATGGAAAATGGCAATAGCATGCACTAACAATTTCGAGCGACAGTTTGTGTTTTTTATGTGAATAAAAGTAAAATATATTCGTGTAATAAAACATTTTCTCCCCTCGTAAAACTCCCATTACATTTATTCTTTTCCCTTTTTTTACTGCAGCAATGATGATTGAAAAAAATTGAATCAAATGATGCTTAAGTATATTTTCACTTGTATTTATGATCATGAATCGACTAATACATTAAAGTTAAGCTTCTTTAAATTGAGATTTGATTCATTCCGCTTTAGATTGAAAATTTCAAACCGAAAAATTAATCGCAATTCAAGAAAAAAAATAACAAAAGTAATTTCAGAACTATCTACATCTGTTGAAGACGTCTTCAAGCATGCACTTTTACGACTCTCTCACGATGAACTTTACAATTGAATTTGTTTAAAAAGACAATTCAAAAGTGATTAAGTCGCGAATATTTTTTCCATTATTTTGCATCACAACAAATGCAGTCGAGAAATTTCACATTAAAAATTTCAATGGAAAACTTTTTGATAACAAAAATATGTTTCAGATTGAAATGTTTGTGGTGAAGTCATCCATACTGGATGGATATTAATGTATTAAAATATTCATTTTTTCGCTTATCATGTAAAAGAGAAATCAAAAGTTGAACTCAGAAACGACAAAGGCAAAATAATGAGAAAAAAGACGAAAAATTTTCCGAAAGGATTGGCGGAAAAATTTATGATGAAAAACAAGATGAAAAATATGATGAAAAATATTATTTTTTATTTTACTGTTAAAGCAGCATAAGAATAGGATATGGAATATAATGAGATCACAAAAAATGGTTGATGCTTTGCAGCTGAATTCATTTTTATTGTATTTCGAAATGAGAAAATTCTTTCCACCGAAAATAATGATTTTCCTTTAATAACAATCATTTCAGGAGAACGAGAAAGAATAAAATTGAAGAGAAGAAAAGTAATTCGTTCTACCGCTTCGGTTTTCAAATATCTTCATTTACATTTAAAAGAAAATGAGATTTAACAATGGATCCATTATCTCATGCAAATTTTCACAGGATGGAGATATCAACGAATGGATATTAAATCTATTTATGACAGTATTCCGGATGCTAGAACATCTACTTAGTGTTTCATTTAAAGCGTCATTGCTACTTCTTATGCTATCACTGATACTCAACGATGGGTATGCTTCAAGTTACTTCTTTTTTTATTTCGCTACCTGCTTAACTCACCTGGTTTCAACATGCATTTTTAATCAACACTCGGTTGGAAGGGAAAAAAGGATTTCCGCGAATGTTACCAAGCAATTTACGATGCACAAATGCATTCTCGTTCTTTTTGCTTCATCCACTTCACGTAACAGAACACTCGCTACCTACTACAAGTACATACACCTATGTCTAGGAAGCAAGACATCCTTGAGTATCATAAATTATCAAGATTTATACGCTGCTCTTATAGTGTTTCTGGAATTTATTTTATGACTTACATACTTCGCAGCCATGGATGTTAAATCATAAATTCTGACTTTATTGAATTCGTTTTTCTGTTCTACTTTGCTTCCTTTCTTTACTGCTTTTATTTTTTATGAAAAACAACGAGAAAAAAAATCCTAAAATTTCGTTTTCGGCTTTTGTATGAAAGTTGCTGACGTCAGATGATGCCATTTCTACGCAAATTTCTAGTCGTAATTCTAAGCATTTGGAAGATTGCTGGTTTGTTCAAACTCGTAATCACATCCATGTTAATGTTGGCGAGAATGTTACAAACGTCTCAATTGCATGAGATTTAAATTTAGAACGACTTTCCCGTCACCAAGAATTAATCTTAACGATAGAAGAAAAGGTGAATGACATTATTACTATTTAAAGTGTCTACTTTTCTTTATCCTCTACACTTTTAATGAATTGAGAAATGTAGAAGGGAAAGCCATTTTGAGGAATTAATTCTTCTCGTTCTGTATCTAAATTTTCAATATTTTTTTCTTTACTTTCTCGGTGGAAAGAAAGATAAAAATAGATGAAAATAAAAAGAGAAAAATAAACGCAACGTGGTCGATGTGATGAGAAAGGCAACGACATACTACAGCCAACGAAATTCTCTGCATAATTATCATTTGAAATTGAAAATACACATTTATAGTGAACAGCAGAAAAGCGAGCAATTTTGAAAGTATTTGAACCTTATTGCCTGGAATGTTTCCTTTGATATGTAAACACAAGCTTGATTTAATATGAAAACAGGTGTAAAATGAGCGAAGGAAATATTCAATTTCAATCGTTGTCTGTGGCAACCAACTTGAAGTATTTAAGTGAGTGAAACTTTATTTCTTATCATGTGAAGATATTTACATTGTACGTTCGTTCATCTTCTTGCCGACATTCTCGGTTGGTGATGATTTCATAACCCATTCGCGGTTTGATGTTGAAATGAAAGAGAAATGTCGTCGTGAGGGGGAAACATGATTTTAAGATGATCCAAGGGAGTTCTATAAATGTGACAAACTCCCGGGCGCCGACTAGGGAAAGAAATGAACAAAAAATCTTTTTCGAAGAATCACTCATCTATGTAGCTCCCTTCAGCTTTCGCCTTCTCCAACATTCTCAAAATAGTTTTTTTTTCTTTAAACTCAAAGTGAGTGTGTTGTTGGCTTTTTGCGCCGACAAGCATCATGATTCACACATTTTCAAGTGATTTCATTTCTTTTTTTTCTCCTCCATAGTTTTTCACCGTCGAAAAGCAAACGATGAAAAAGAAGACCACATTTTCCTCCGTCAAACCTTTTTTCTTTCTTTCTTTTTTGTTTATTTCGAAAAGAAAAGTAATGAAAGAAAAGTCTGGAAACTCTTCGGCTGGTAAAGACTTCGGCCAAAATCTTCAGGAAGTTTAATGTTATTTAGGATAGAAGTTTTGGGTTTAAATACCTTTTATGTTTGTGGGTTGTTTGTTCTATTGAGACTGAGATAAGAATTGATTTCAAGTCATTTTTGTGAAGGAAAAAGAGGATCCAATTCAATTTCCCTAAAGACACAATAAATAAAGGTCACAAACAAACTTCACATCAGAATATTTAGTTCGACTTATCACCACTCATGGTGCATGCCGAATTTAAATGAAGGAAAAAAAAGACTCGACGTTTAGACATGAAATCTATTAATAAATGGTTAAGCATACGACGAGTCATGCTGTAATGTTACCATGAATTTATTGGCTTCTATACTCATTAGATTTTATGACTTTTCTTTCGCCACCAATTGAAAGAATTTCAACTTTTTCTTTTCATTCTCTTTGTTTTTTTCTTACTCTTCATAACTATACTATAGTAATGCAAAAAAACAGAATAAAATTGTGAACGTCAAACACATGTTCATTTAGCTGTAGTTATGATGTTTAGATATCCTACGTAGAAAATGTGCGTTGTTCCTTATGTGCGTGTGTATTTGTCATAATTGAGAAAAGAAATCTGATGAAACTTCCTCAATAAATATCAATTTTACATTTGACAGTTTAGTTAATCATGAATTTATTATCATCAGATGTGATCATGTTGGAAAGCATTTATCAAGCTTTTGATTTAATTTTGCATCGTCCAATGAGGTGTGAAATGATCGTGGGATTTGAGATGAAAAATTTGTGGAGGATTTAGCCTTTTTTTCCCCCTCAAAAGCAAAGAGAATTAATCAGTGAAGAAAATATTTTCATGACGAAAACCTACGGAGTGTGAGAATGAATGTGTATGGACACATCAGCGATCATGCTGTTAAAAATAAAATATTCATAAGATCTTCTCTGTGTTATTTTTGTATAATTTGTATTTTTTTTTCTCTTCACATTTTTTTTCCACCAGCCAATCGTTTTGCTGTATCCATTTTTAGACCCCTTCTAAGCTGAACAGATCTTCTAACTGAAAACAAAATATGCATCCCTAGCTGCATTATTCTGTGAGTTTTCAATTAGTGAACATCGTTTAAGTTTTGCTCAGTGATTTTTATTCTTTCATTCTGCTCATTCTCATATTTGAATTTATAATTTTTTTAATGTTCCATTGAAGTAAAATTAATAATCTTTGAATAGAAACGCGAAAAAAGGATTTTTAGTAGCATCGAAGTGAGGCGAAAATTATTTTTTATGTTAATAATTTTTATTTATCGCTCTTTTCATCGCTCGTTTTGAATGATCTTTTCATGTTTGATTAATTTTTGAAGTCGATTTTTGTTTGAAACTATGTTGCAGAATGAGAAAAATGTTTCAGTGATAAATGGACCGAACAAAAAATAAAAAGTATTTAAGCGAATTGATGATATCTAGTGAAAGAAAGTATAATAGAGAAAACGATTTCCCATCAGAGACGAAAGAGAAGTCGAGGAAAAAAATGCTTTGCGAGCTTAAAAACTTCTCCTTCATTTGTTTCAATTTTTCTTCTCTCCGCCATCTCCTGAAAGGTAATTTGATATCGTGAAACTTTATCTTCAATCTTGTTTATACGAAAACGCCAATATTCAAATTTTTAGCAATGTCAGCCTTTTTTTTTCTTCATCTCCTTAACGGGATGAGAAAAAAGAAAGAAATGAAGAAACGAGTAAGAGTCAGACATGATTTTTTGTAATATTTTCCACCGAGATCATTCCCAGATATTTTTTCGTTACGCAATGAGAGCTCATGTCTAAAAATATTTCCTTCGAACTTCTCCAACACACAGAAATTCTATCGTTACAAATTTATTTTTTCTTTCCATCTCCTCGTGGTTTTTTCTTTTCTTTTTTTTCTCATTTCGTGTGCTCGCCTAAAGTCACTTGAATATGTGCTGATGACGTAATGGTCTTTCAATTTAATACTTGCTCGATCGTGCACTGCCCTTTGTCGTGAAATGGTTTGGAAAACTTTTCTTCTTGTGTTAAATTGAATTCACATATTATTATTTTTTTATGGGAAACTTTCACATAAAATAATAGACAATATTGCACCGTTTAACTGTGAACACGAGGCGTGAAGGAAAAGACAAGAGACAGAGTAAGAAATTGTGAAACGAGGTGGGAACTATGGGGGAAAAGTAGTTGTATAAATAGTCTTTCGTGATGCGGGATCTTCATTTTGATTTTCTGCTGATTTCTAGGAAAGTTAAGCTGAGAAAGTATTTTTCGCTTACAAAAATAGATTGAAAACTCGTGACGGTCTTGAGAAGAAGAAAAGAGAAAAAAATGAAACTTATTCTGATAAACATTCCATCATAGATGTATGGGATGTGTGGATCCGTATGGATTTTCACATTTTTCATATTTCCAGACATTCAAAGAGCGTGAAGATAAAAGCAAAATTCCGCTAACTTTATGGAAGAAATTGTATGAAAATAAATTGAATGATATGCTTCCTGGTTCAAAGTCGATCGTCAAAGAAGCCTTCAACATCTCATCGAAAAGTTTCCTTTTTCCTATTCAAACTCAAACGATGTGAAAGTTAATGCTACTTCATCTCAATTTAGTCAATAACTTGAATGAAACTTATCTATAAAATCTCATTCTATTTTTTTTATCCGTCAAACGACGCAATCCAATTTTAAGATAAAATGAAACGAGTATTTTGTTCAACTCCTTCATCATCATGTTCCATCACTCAGTGAAGCGATGATAAAGAAAATATTTGGAAATCGAAATGAAAAAGTTTTTTCAACAAGCGAGTGAGTTGAATTTTAATTGAACGTCACTTTAGCGAAGCGGATGGAAACAAAGTCATTCATGGGTTTAATTTTATTTTATTTTCACTAACATTTCCAAACGCAAATAAGATGAAAACTCAATTGAAAAACTTTCAAAATGCATTGTGATGCATTCAATGAATTGTTCGTTGCCATACCAAATGTGATGTAGGAACATTGACGACAAGGACAAAGTCACAACGACGTCGACGACGATTACAAAGAGAAATAAAAATCTTTTTTATTCTTGTTCAGGAAAATTCAGAAAAATATTCGAAATGCTTTCACATGATGGCGAAATAAAAAAAATTATAAAGAAAAATGGAGCTTCGTTGTATTGCAGAATTGCCTTGGCAAAAGGAATTCCAACATTTCGCTCCATTATCAAAAAAAGGAAGAAAACGAAGAAGCACCACATGACAATGTTTCTTTTCCTTTTACATTCTCCTTCTTTCAACTTGGACGAATTTGCATACTTCTCCATTCCTTCTTGTGTGTGTCGCATAAGAGTTGGCAAGAGAAAGCAAAAGAAACGAATTTGTCTTGCATGAAAATATTTTTTTAAGAGAAAGTATCGACGAGTAGGGTAGTGATGAAGAAATGAGATCGAATTGAATGAGACAAATATTAGAAACAGAGACTTCAAACGATAAAGCAATTGAGGGTTTCGTTTCTTGTGAAGCACACACAAAAAAAATAAAAAAAAAAAGTTGAAACCAAAACATGTGACACACAGACTTCGAGACGTTCAACCATTATTCGAGTTGTATAAAGACATTTAAGACAGATCCCTTTAGACTTGAAGGGCAAGTGAGTCTCATTCCTTCATGTCCATGTCACGACCAAAGTTGAAGCTTATAACTTTTTTTTGTCTTCCTTTTTTTCTCATCTTCATCCATATTTCGCTTTGCCTCATTATTTCGAAAAAGAAAAAAAAAAGTTTCTTTTATTCCTACATCTTTTGCTCATTTTGATGGAAACATGTGGCTTTTGACTAGCAGAAATTTCTGCTATCAAACAAGAACTTCTTCTTTTCTTCACTAACTTCTCGTCTCATCTCTTCATAGCTCCACAAGAATTTTAATTGTAATTCTCTCCCTAAAGTATCTTGGCCTGATTAAGAATTCATGAGAGTGGCTTTTGAGGAAAAGATGGTAAAATCACCGTTTAAAACTCATGTATATTGGCATAAAACTTTTTCCCTCGTTCGTCTATTTTTTTCTGTTCTTTTCTGTTCTGTTATTACTTGAACAGAGTCAAATGAAACTGTGAAGAAAGAAAAACACTCTGAAGCTTCTTCAGCGAAGGAAAAATTAAGCAGATAAAAAGTTGGAAAATTTATTTATTTTTACATTCGCTTCATGTAACGGTTGTGTGTGGTGTACATAGTGGGTGTGTGCTTATGTGCTTGGGATTATGATGAAAAGCCATATTTTTTTTTGCTGTCTGCAATTCTTTTTATTATATTGAATGGTTCATAAATATTTACCATCTCGCTGGTATATTATCTCATCTGCCTTTTTCTGCTGCTGTTCCTTTACTAACAAACCATCTACGAAACAAACTCTCTCAAGCATTCATAAAATTCTACGATAAAATATAAAACGAGGAAAACTCATAGTCAAAAATATAATTCAAAGAAATCTCATAATTTTTGTTTTCCTTCTTCCTCTCGCCGGCATGAAAATGAAATCGAAACGTAAGGAAAGCAGATAAAGAAAGAAAGGAGAAGTCGAGAATGAAAAATGTTTTAATCCAAAACTTCGCCCACTCTTGTTGGCTTAGTTATTACACAATTGTTCCGAGCTTTTACTTCAATTTAGCGGCTTTATTCATTCCCTTCAACAAAAAAAGGAAGAAGTTATAGGGGAAAAAAATGAAAATAAAGAAAACTCGAAAAGATTATCTGTGAATTTTTTTTAACATTCTGTTATTAAGTAAGATGCGGCTAGAAGAGAGCATTGCTGATACCAAATTACCTTTCTGCGAAGCAACTGACCGTAAATAAAATTGCACGATGGAAATGGCTGAAGTGGATTTATGATGGTTGTCGGTAAAATAAAGTTTTTTAATGTTTTTAGAGAAAACGAGAATTTTCGTTTAATGTTTGTAAATTATGTAATTGAAGTAACGAGATTATCGCCATCAAAGCAGTGAAGCGTCTTCGATCAGTTATTTACAGACCGTTGAAGGTGGAAAAGAAATGAAAGCTTAGACAGTTCCATGCTTCCTTGCATTCGATAGTAAATCTTTTTCGCAAGAAGAAAATAAATCAACATATGGAATGTAAAGAAGTATGGAGCAATCTGGCAACGACATCGAAACAAAGTCGCAACGCAACGACACGGCGGTGTTTCAGAAGGTTTCAGAAGGAAGAAGAAAAACAAAATGAATAAAAATCATTTGAAATTTAATTCAAGTCGTCGCCAATCTTCGGATCATTAATCTGATTGAGTCGACAAAATATGTGCTTTGCAAGTGAAAAAAAAAAAGGAAGCATAAAAGAGCGCCCGGTGGTATGAAATGCGAGAGGTGAGTAATGTATATTTGCATAAATAATTTTTCATGTGATTTTCTCGGCTCCTTTTCTCTTTCCATTTTTATTCCAGAGACGGAAAGAAAACTGGCATGGATGGGATATTTGAGATGAGAATTAAATTAAGATAACAAGAATGGATTTGCGACAGCGAAAGCATGACAAAATTGAAATTTGTGTTCTTTCAGTTATATCTTGTCGCTTGTTCTCTCGCTCGTTCGCCCATAACGTTTGAATTAATGCCAAAAATTAAATGATCCGAATTCGCCATTAAAAAGAAATGGTCCCAAAAAATCATGAAAAATTATTCCTCTACCGGTGCCGTGAGCTCATTTCTACTTCTTTTTCTTTCCTTCTTTATTTATTTCATTCGCTCTTTTCTTCATTGCTTTTTTGGACACATCTCGAATTCGATTTTCTTTTATCCTCGACAACGAGACGAAACTTTAAGCGTTAAAAAACTTCCTTCAACGTTTAATGGCTTTTCTTGCTCCAAAACTTGATGGTGGCCAAGCTCTTTAAATGACATGATGCTTATTTAGAAGTTGTTTTCAATGTACAAAACGCAAACAAAAAAAAGAAAAGAAAAGATCACTGGCCCCGGAGATTGAATTTTAAAGATTTGCAGTTTCTATATTTTATTTTTTCTTCCTCCTGTCCTCCCTTTCATTGTCGCCCTCTGCAAACTTCTGGAATTGTGTTATGCTTCTGTTGTTGCTACGATATATCTGCTGCTAAAGAAAGCTTGTGAAGAAAAGAAAATTCCCGTCTCGGAAGAATGTCGCTTTAATTTACATTTTTATGTTAGATAAGAGTGAAAATATGCCACATACAATCTTCTTGTTTTCCTTCTCTCACTCACTCCCTCACTCCAAGGAACATAAGCATTGATATTGTTCTTATAATCTCTTGTTTTTTACTCTTTCGCATTCAATGCTGCTAGAGATCTGACTGCTGTGTCTGAATTTTATTGCCAGGAGGAGTCCTAAACATAAATATAACACGTGATTTACTTTTTCTCATCTTACGCTTAGATGAGCGCCCAATAAAAATAAAAGCAGGAAAGAATGAAAAGTTATTCTTTGAAATTGACTGTTTTCAAGTTATTCGAAAGAATTAAAATAATTCTTCGAGTTGTGCTTCGAGGCTGCAGATAAATTTCCATTGCAGTCGCTATCTCTCTTTCTCTTTCACGTTTTAAACATTTCATGTTGTTAAGATGAAAATTTATTCTGGGAAATGACTTCTAAGTACTTACAAGTACTCACTTCAGCTTGTTATTGAAGTAAACGAGAAAATGAAGAGAGAAAAATAAAATAAAAAGAAGCAATTGAAGTTTTCGCACCAGAAGATAATTTCAAAGTCTTTCTTTGAAATTTGATGCTATCAAAAAGGGAAACCAGCATGATTACAGTGCACTTTTGAAACATAAAGTCGTTAAACTTAATGTTTTCCACACTGTAATCACCATTCACTAACAATCGTTTCTAATTTGCTGCATCCGTTGCATTACACAAAATTTCTTTTCGATTGATTCAAGTGAATTGCAGCAGTAGCAGAATTGACTTGAATAAGAAACATTTGTAATTTATGTGCTTAATTAATGTTGGAAAACGTGCAAAAATTTTCTCTCTGGTAATTCATGCATTTAATTAAGTTTTCTTTGATTAATAGAATAGAGAGCAATGTGCAAAAGTAAAAATAAAAGAATTGTAGTTAGTAAATAGTTGGAAAGTTATTTTTAAAGCTTCATTACGATCTTTAATTGAATGTAAACTTTGGTCGTTTGTTTCTCGTGTGAGGTCTGAAGCTGCTGCTGTTCTTGTCGATATGAAGTTCTAATGAAAGAATTTACATTTCTCTCCAAAGAGTTTATTCCCTTTAATTAAATTTAATAAAGCCACATTATTAACATACCTTATGTTTTACGTTTATATTTTTTATTAAATTGCACAACTCTTTTACGACTGTTTTATGTATGCTCAAAGCTTCGGAGATATTTATATTTTTTTTGATAAATATTTACATAACAGTGAAGAAAAATTTCTTGTGCGATTCAATTGAAGTCTGGTAGAAGTGTATGCATCAGAAATTTACTTCTTCTAAAGTTTTCAAGTGAATATAAATTGCTTTTTAGTTGCACGATGAGAGAGTCTATAAACTACAGAGGCAGAAGCAAAAATTACAATGTTTTGTTGGAAAATTTCAAATTAAAACGAGATAATGTCGAAAGGAAATAAGAGCTTTCCTCATCATCATGTAAACAAACATTTTGTGATACATCTTTGGCTTCCCCACATGTCGACCAAAGCGAGTCTTGAAATTGTTTTTCAAGCTCATCATGAAAGGGTCGATTGTAGCATTAACAAAATATTACTGAAGGTCTGCATGTGCAAAATATGATGAAATGAATTTTCAATTTCTCTCATTTTTAAACATCCCAGACACACAAGGAAGATGAAACAATGTTGCTAGATCGAAAACTAAAAGGAATATTAAGCTGATGGTGCTCAGTAATAACCAGAAAGTTTCTCTCTTTTATCTTTTCTGTCGTTGGGTTGAAGGAAGGAAAGAAGTTTTAAACAAAAAATAAAGCATACATTTATTCAGAATTTCCATTAACCGATCTATGTTCATATTTGCTTGTGTCGTGGTGAGAGAGCGATAAATAAAATTTCATCGCTTCCAAAGGAGAAAAAAGGTTCACATCTGGCGACCACGTGTCTTAAAATATATATTACTTTACAATTTATCTCTCTTTTACGAATATTTTTAGCAAACATTACGAGTCCAGAAACACAAACACCGAGCAACACTTCATCAAGTGCAGAAAAGTACACAAAAATAAAATGTTAGAAGGGAAGTGAAATGAAACCAAAACTTGGTAAGTTTGAAATAGTTGCAACAACCACATGCACCACATAAACTCACATAATTTAATTATTTAATGCACTTTTAGTGAAAACATTTATGATGACTTTGACAGAGTTAAAAAGGCGGTAAAATGGAAAGTTTGGAATTAGTCAATTAGACATTCAATTCAGAAGTTGACAATATTTGCTCAAATGGAATGAACTCAAAAGTGATTTAAAACACAAGTCACTGGTTGATTTCATTATTCTCTTATTTACGGTTATTTATTATAATGATTGATATCAACACAGGTAGATATTTAGATATTTAAATAACTGACGACAGAAAGAGTTTTCATCTCATTTGTAAATTTATTCAAACTCAATGATGAAAATATTCTTTGATGTTCTTAAACTACAGTAAAGAATTTTCCTTTGATGATATTGTACCCGATCTCTTGTTTATACCTAATCATCTTTAAAGATTTGAGCTTTGAAACCTTTTTCGCTCACATAGCAACCTTTCTTTATTTTTTAACAACCATTAAAAAGGTTTTTCAATCGTAAGAAAATATTTTAAATAATTTCTCGACTTCTCTTAAAGTTGCCTTGCTGTTTGAATTAAAACTTTTAATCCTTAATGAAAGTTCATATCAATTGATGCAGTATGTTAAACACGTCAATTAATTAGTTGAATAATCGATAAATGATGGTAAGTTATGTCATCATGTCTGCTATATTGCAAATATCAATTAAGATATTCATTAATTTAAGATTATTAGAGATTTTGGATTCTAATTATCTACTTATGCAGTCAAGCATCGGTTTATGAGTCATTATTATAATCGAGTTTAAATTTAAATCATCTTGGTGAGGCTTTCAACTCTGTTGAGTAAATATAAATATTTTCAGTGTCAATCAATCATCAATTTGATATATGTTGTGCATACTTCAATTCACATCTACATATCTATGCCTATATTTACCCAAATATTATCATTTTAAACTCTTCCAGGCCTTTATATTCAAGTAGGCTAGAAGAAGAGATTTTCCTTGCATTAACATCAATCTTTCTTCATAATCTTATTATAATCGAGAAAGGGTAGTTTCGGATGTCTTTTCAATATCAAATACAAGTATTAAGTTAAAGTAAGAAAAGCTGATGTGTCGTAGCATAAAAAAAAAAGAAAGAACTTCACTTTCTTTTCTTCTTTTATGAAAGACGAATTATTGGTTGATCTCATAGATTGAGTGAGAGTTTCGAGAATAAAGTAATTTTAAAGTAAGCAACCTTATTTTGGCACTTGATGGATTGTGGTTGAGACAGTTATGTACCCAAGTCGATCAATTCGTCAATGTTTTTCACACGTACTCAGTTGTTCTATATAGATAGTTTTAGTTTTACGATAAAAACACTTTCTTTGATTAATCTCGATAGTATTCGATAATCAGGAAGTTTATTTCCAACGCCTACACTCACCCCCTCAAGCAATTTCATTTTACAAGCAAATATACATAACTTGATACAGAGGGAAAAGTTTCACCTTTGCTTCGTTTTCCTCCTTTTATTCTTCCCTTTCCACACACATTTTCATTCCCAATGTTTGCTTGAACAATTAATGAAGCAGCAAGTTTGGGAGGAAAAGTTCTATTTTATGAACATAGTATAATTTTCATTCAAAAGGTAAACTGTATAATTAAACACGATACTCTTGCTGGAAGGTGAAATTGTAGAGACATCGTGATATGAGATTAACATTTAAAGCAACATGATGTTGAGCTGTATCAAATAATTGTCGTTTTTTAAGCTTTAATTATAAATGGATTTGTTGTGTACGTCACTACTTATCTCATGTGTAGTAAAGTAAGTATATAAATACTTAAGTTTTCGACTCAATGCGATGTTTGAATCAAAATGTGAATTTTAGTGAACAGGAAACATTCCTCTTATAATTACAACTCGTAATGAAGCTTCCATTCCTCTGATATGTCATTGAATGAGTAAACACGATGTTAATTAATTAAAGGACTTCTTTTAGATTGCCAAAGCGAATAACTTGATGTTTGATTCTTTGAGTTTATTTTAATAATGAACAAATAAATGATTGCTACATGTTAAAGCTTTTCAGCGGATGCAAATAAATCATTTGAGATTTCTATGATTGAAAAGCGACGTCGGAAAGAAAAAAAAGTTGTTTTTCACCATCACGTTCTCTTGAGGGAAATGATGGTTGCAATAAAAAGCAAATAACGAAAATGATAATGAAAATCTGTTTTGCATAGACTGAAAAATATGTAAATGAATCTAAATTTGCAATTTTATGCTAGTGGCGTGTATTTGTTTGAAATTTCTGTGTTTGTAACTAAACGCAAAAGCACCCAACGGTGGTAAAAGAGAAAGAAAAAAATAATGTGAGAGAGAGAGGGGTGCAGAGTCAGAAAAGAAAAAGAAAATTTACCCTCGATGTAATTACGTGTTTGGAGAAACTTTCTTTTTTTATTTTTAATTCTTTCCTTTGAACCATATTTTTTCTTCCATGGCATTTGAAAAGGCAAAAATTTATCTGCGATAATGAAAAAGGCTGAAAGCGAAGTTTCAAAATAGGTTGCACAAAAGCTACAAATCATTTGCAACTGTAAAAAAAGTTTCTTTTCTTCTCTATGATGATGATAATAAAATTCCCTTACTTTGCATATTTTACACTTCAAAGTTAAAATTAGTTTTCCACGCTTAGTAATTACTTTCTTTTCTCATCGAGCAAAGTGAAAAACTCATCTTAAGCTCAAGAAGTTTTCTGTTTTGTATTTACATAAATAGTATTTTGTATTTGTTTGAGTTGAACATAAATTGAATTAAGACTTTGTTAAGGCGTTTTTAATTTTCTTCACATGATGCTGCGAAATATTCTTCAACATTGAAGAGAATATTTAAAAATTTTACGACGAATAAAATGGAAGAAAGTATGTTGAGAATTTAGTTAAATATGTCAAATGATGGGGAAACAGGTGAACAATTGTCGAATATCAAAAAATTTATAGTCAATCATAAAAATATATCGACATGAATTTATATGCCGTCCCAAAAAGAATTTTTTCATTTCATTCCTTCATGAAAATTTTCGCAGACTCTTAAGTCTCGTCTCGAGTGCAGATGGCAATAAACAGCTTTACAACACAACTCAATGCACAGCACTCGAAGAACTTATTGCCAAATGAAATGGGAAATTCATTCATTTTCCATTTTTCTTTTGTCTTTTCTTTCCTCGTTTTTCTTCGTTTCGCTCATTGTAAAGAAATTTAATTTTAGAAAGATTCGTTTCTCTCTTTGTGAATGACAAAATAATTAAACTTTTCCTCTTTCTAGTTTCTTTTTATTTTTTGCCATTTCATTGAAGCGACGACATGAGAGAAGAAAGACAGAAAAATAAAAAATCTTTTGATTGTTTCCTTAAAAGTGTAGAAGGAAAAACAGAAAATCAGCTCAAGCTTAGTCAGAGATGAGAGAGAAAAGAAAAATTGTCTAATAAATTTTTATTCTTTTACGGATGATAAAGTACTTAAGATGAAATTAAAGCAAGACTAAAGACGGAAATGTAAAGGTATTTCCATCTAATGAAATGAAATGGATTTTGGCTTATCTCGATCGAAAGGCATTTATCAAAACGACATCATGATAATCATTGACCCAAAAAATTTCTGCACACATTCGATGCTTCCGGATATTTATAAGAAATCGTATTATACTTCCAGCAAGTTATGTTGTCTTCTTTTGTGTTTGTCATTTTTAAGAGCAAACTTCGATATCATCTTCATTTGTTGTATAAATATATTACGACGGCTTACTTGTCTGTTCAATCGAAGCTGAAGAAAAAAAAAGATGGAAACGCTTCGGGATGTTTTTCCTTTTGCAAAATTGAATAAACTCATAACGATGTCGGTTTGATTGATTTTTCAAGAAGCTGACTGAACAATCTGTTGAAGATTGACGAAAAATAAATTTTCAGTTATCGAGATGAAAAATTGAGCTGATGATATTTAATGGCTTCATCAGATAACATGCATAAATCTCTCTTTAACTGATTGATTATAGTCAAAATTATTTAACTGATTGATATAATTTCATTTTCCAGTTATCTAAATTTGAAATTTCATAGATATGTCGGAAAATAAAGATAATTTCATTATAAAAATATTTCAAATTCTAGATATTAAGTTGGTGAACCCAGAATGAGTTTTTATTTTACATAAAATTCCAATAAAGTTTTTCATGCAAGTTATGTAACAAGATTCTGTTTCAACAATTTCACATTCAACTTATTAAATTATTTTTTAATAAAATTATCAGAAAATTTTCAAAAATCTTTCATCTCTCATGAAAGCACAAACTTAATCATTTCATTTGGATATTTATATTGGTCAGAAATATTCAAATTTCGACAGAAGATGGAAAGAAAAAGCGAACAAACCATTGCAATGCATATATGTATGAATATGAGAAATTAATTTATTAGTCTTGACTAGTTTTATTACACAATTATTTTAATAAAGTTTGTCTTGGATGGTTCAAAGAATTCTCTTTTTAGACTTTAATTCTAAATGAATCAGTTTGAAATTCTTCTCTGCTTCGTCTTTGATTCAATTCAAAAACTTATCTTGTTCTCTCTTTTTTTTATTGTACTGATTACAACAAAAGAAAAAATATTTTTTATTATTAATTTCCTCTGTGAATTGAAAAACTATTCAGGATCATCAAAGAAATTTTCATCATCGTCTTCATCGAACAATGAGAAGGAAGTTTCCGTTTCATGAGCTTCTTGAAGAATCTTCTCCGATCCACGAGGACTTCTTGATGTGACACGATAATCAAATGGAATATCATAACATTTACATATACAACAAGATGGGAATCGAAACCAGTCGGAAAATATTCCTCGACATGCATCCATCGGATTATAAGCAAGCAATCTATGCAGGCGATATTGTTGTTCGCATTTACATCCATGGCGACAGTACATCTGTTCATGTTCGTGTGTACATTTCTCCCAATTTATGTATTGTTCAAATGGATAAACGTTCAGTAGTGCCAGAATTTCGCCTCTCGTGTTATTTCCCCAAAACGGAGCTTTAAAAAAATAAAAATAAAATGAAAACATTTTCCAATTTTATCTAACGATGTCAACTCACCTACAACTTCTTCCTTCACTGGACATGCATTACTATAATTAAAAGAAGTTTATAATTAAAAAAATCTTCAAAAATTCTTTCAATTAAGTTTTATGAAATTTTCATTAATTAAAGTTGTGTTTTTTAATCATTTTGTTGAAAAGTTTAATTAAAAATCGAGCTCATATCTAAGAATTCTTGTTCTTAGCTTTGCAGTGATGAAAATAATCAGACTTTGAAAGCTACATAAATAAACGTTTGTGTAAGTAAATAATTAATTTCGACGTCATTGCCAAGTATAAAACCCTTTAAAATGATCTTAAAAGTTTTCAAATTAAACTTTAATGAGAGAAATTCTGTTAGTTTTACTTTAATTTATGTCAATAACATAATAAGCACTTACACTCCACGACGGTTAACGACTGGTGTTGGTTCTTTATCCTTTTGAACTGTATCTTGAAACAGCTGAGTCTCTGTGGTAGTGGTTTGTGGTTCTTTCGTATTTTTTCTGTCACCATCTTCATTTCCTAAGATGGGTTCACTTTCATTTTGTGTTAGTTGCTCAATATCGTTGAAAATTTCTTTCTCTAACTCTTCCACCTTCTCGAGAATGTCATTGCGCTCAGAGGTTGTGGAAAGTTTTTCATCATCTACAGATGAAGCGACAGGCGATGTTTTTAATGAACTTATTGTTGAAGTTGTTGATGATGATGACAAAGCCGATGATATGTTACTAAATAAGTTTATCACTATATTCTTAACATTCGTTGTTGCTGCTGTTGTATTTATTTCATTTAAATGATCTGACACTTCGTATTCGTCTTTGATTTTCTTGAGACTGGACGGCGTTGTTGAAGCTGATGGCACTGATGTTAATATTGTGGTTTTCACCGACTCCCCAGAACTTGATGAATTTTCATCTTTCATTTTGGCACCTTCTGTAATTGCGTCAACATTACTTTTAATCAAATTATCTAAGAGTAACTCAGTTTGTTCGTTAGAAGTTATTTTTGGTGGTTTTGTCTTCTGCTTTGAGTTGATTGCAGACGGTCTTTGTGCAGGTCGGAAATACGGTTCAGTTTCGCTTCTAAAGTTTTTCCTATCAATCGTATCTTTCTTTGCCTTCATCTGTCTCTGATTATGCATGTTGAACGCTTTTGAATATTTATCTGCTGTATGCTGGATATCATCATAATCGACTTCATTTGATAACTCTGATTGCATAACAAAAATATGTCGCATATCTCCATACATACGTCGAACCAATCCTTGGTTTTCATATACAAACTTTTTTACTGCATTCCTGTGAATCAATGTTGGAATGTGAAAAAAAGAAAACCAAAGAAAATTTAAGCACTCCAACTCACCAAGGATAAAATTCACCCGGGAGATTGCAATAAGATTGCTTAGTGAGATCACATGGTATTGAAGCTATTAACCGAGCTCGACCCGTTCTTGCTCGACTCGAGTGCGGATCACATTCGATACTGTCAAAGCCAGATGATGTTGAAGTTGTAATTAAGTTTGCCAAAAGCAATATACAGCAAACCAATTCAACAAACTATGAATGAAAGAAGAGTGAAACCCGTCAATGAGTGACCTTAGTAAAGGAAATGCTTTCATAAATAATTTCTCCAAATATTTTCGAGGGCGGAAAAAGTTTCCACTCGATGAATAATAGACCAATAAATAATCAATTTGCTCCATACTTGAACAAACTGAAGCAACAAAATTGAAATCAAACGTGTAATGAAACAGAAAGAAAGAAAGAAAGAAATAAAAGCAGAGAAAGAAATTTCACTTAAGCGAAATGAAGACGTTGAGCGAAGAGGTGAAACAGGTTTAAATAGGTATTGTGCTTTTAAGTCTTCACAATCTTTCACTTCCACTTTATTCATTCCTTTCATTTCACATTTCTTTTTCTGCAATAATCAAATACATTTAGCAGCGTGGTCTGAGAGAAGAGAAAAGAATATGAATTTTCAAATTTACTCCAATTTGTCTTTTTTTCTTTTACTTCTTCTTATTTATTTCTTCATTTTTTTTTATTTATGCTTCACAATCAGCTGTTTAGGAGACTGCTACTACTTATGATGTTCACAATCAATTATCTTGACTACTCACTTTCAACATATCTGATAACATCTCAGAAGATTATGAAATTGTTTTAATGATTTATTAAAGCAATGTTTATGCTGAGTGAAAATGATTTCTTTGCTACTTTCTCCTTTAATATTGAATCACACAGAACTGTATGTATGTGGTCAGGTATGACATTGTCACTTTCTTATTTATCAAAATTTACACTTTCAAGAATGTATTCAATTAAAAGATGATCTTTAATCATGTTCTTAACACAAAATCTTTTTAACAATATAAAATGATTTGATAAGTTCAATAACAGATGATTTATTAACTCAAAACAACAAAGCAAAGGCGCGTTAAAGAAACCTTTTGCTTCGGAGGAAAGTTTAAAACTGAGTAAAAGAAAACTAAAAGTCGGTCAAAAATTAACGCACTTATGTAGGTCACGTTTTAACTTGTTTCTTCAACCATCAGATGGCGCAAGATGCATGCCAACGTGACTTAAAGTGCTTACACATGCGCTCAATTAAAATAATGTTTTACGTCATAAAATCTATTCTTACGACTGCCATGGTGTGAATTATTTGACACTCTGACATTTGGGGTTTTTCTTCATCATCCAACGCCATTAACATCAGCCATCAGAAATCTTTCAAAGCTTAGGAGTTTAAATTTTATCACGAATACGCAAGACGATAGTTTAGAAAACTTTTCCATTAAAACCAAGACCTTTTTGACACTTTAAACTTTACGGATCGAGAAACTTTAAGGAAACCTTTTGATTAGCAGTTACGTCATTTACCTTGAGTAAGAGTAGAAATCTGAAAAGAAGAGAAGTAAAAAAGGTTGCGAATGTATGTAAAGATTTTTATTGACCCTTTTATCCCAAACAACCTGAATCGAATAAATCGGAAATCACGTGCCGTCTTGATAAGCAACAACTTAATTTCATACTCAAGTGATTGTGCAAATAAAATCGGGCTTTAATTTTATAAGAAAATATATTTCTCGCATAATATCAACACCATGCTGAGTAAGGTGAGTAATAAAAGTTTAAGAACATCGGAAGCTTCGTCTCTTTTCAGCGTAGGGCAGAAGGAATTTAACATGCAAAGGAAGAAAAAAAAATGCTCGTAACGAACCTTCCATTTATTGAGAAAATTGTTATCACCCTTCATTGTCCGTTTCAGAAGTTATAAAACTTATACTTTCGTTTTATACGAACGAAAAATTATCGCCCATACAACAACCAACAAACGAAACTTTCACCATTTGCAAATGCCTAAAAACAACTTTATTTTCGGACTCGTAATTCTTTTCTACTTATCCTCGATCGTGGAAGGGATTTATGTAATTCCTTTTCTTTCGCAAAAATAAAACGACAAGATATAACTTAGCCCCTTCGTTTAAATGCTTTTATAGACTTTCATGACCTATTTCAGGTGCTTCTTAACGTCTCAACTAGAAACTTTATGTGATTTCTACATCTTTTTAACAAAACGTAAGAAAATGTTTTCGAATGTTTCGGAACCTTCAATTCAATTAAGATTATTTAAACTTTTTCCATCTCAAAACAAACAATGGAACAAGAAGTGATTTTCGAGTAGGCTCATAAGACGCCCAAAAATTTAATTGATAATTAGATGAAAATTGAAATATATTTCTAAATATACGAATAAACATTTGCCTACACTTTAAAATTTTCCTCTCGAATGATTTATTACTGAACTTTATTTTTGACAACTTTAACTTAATTTTTTAATGCTTGTTAAAAAAGTTTATGTAGCGCAACCATTAGAGACGATTATTTTGATTTATGATTTCAGAAAAACGAAAATTAAATTTTAAATGGAAATAATTTTCATCGACTTTAATTAGAAAGTTCTTAAAACAATTAAAGGAAAGTTGGACATTCGAAATGAAAGTTGTTAGAGTTTTGTAATTAGCATAACGTGTCCTATGCATGCAAAATCTGCTTCATAAATAAATTTCACCCACACACTGTTCTAGTTTCAATTTGCATAATTTCTCAATTTAACTGTTACGTCTTCCAATAACACTTTCTCTGCCGCTTCCACTACAGAATCTCATATGTTTTAAAACCATTCATTCGTGTACACTTAGATACGATACCCCACTTGCGTTTGCCTTCGAGAGAAAGAGAATGTTATGGGATTTTTACATGCTATACAACGTAATAAAGGATATATGCCTTTAGAATGCCTCTTGTATAGCTTCAGTTATGATTTTCCCACATCATATAATTTCTTGTTTTATATATTTATCATATAATAGTCGTGTATTGCACATTTCTATATCGAGTTAATTGCTTTACATCAGATAACAAAAAGCCTTTCTACGTTCTAAACCTTCGCATAAATGGAACACACAATATTGAAGCGATAGCCTAAATACCTGAATCTGGCGATACGTAAACGAGAAGAAAAGGGGAAAATTGTCCGTTTTTAACAATAAATTTGTGGATTTTAATATGTACGGCGTGAAGCATAAATATGTATGGAAGCGAATACTTTGTGTTATGAATTCTAATGAGAACTGAAAACAGAAAGGTATGCTCGACCATAACTCATGGGTTTTATTAAAGAGAAAAGAAAAAATCTTTTCACAAGTGAAAATGATAAGGAAAGAAGAATAAAGAATGTGAATCTTAAAATTTATTTTCATTCTTTGCCAAAATTGAAGGGAGAAAGCGAAAATCTAGCCAAAACATGTTGTGGTTATCTTGTGAGCGAACAATAAGCCTCAAAAATAAATTCGATGATACATTTAAGTGAAGTATATCATTTTTCAAAACTCTCATACGCTTCATTAAGTTTAATACATCAAATATTGCGACGTTAGAGAAGGTAATAAATCAATATTTTAGAAATAGAAAGACACTAAGGCTAGATTACGCTATTTTTTCTGCTCTTTCTTCTCCTCGATTCAATGCGACATGATTCTGTAAAGGATGCTTCAATGTTATGTACATTTTTTTTTATGTTGCGTCTTAACATTAATTTAATGAAGCGAACGGAAATATTTTTATTCGTAAATTTTTTAAGCCATATTATAAATCACAATAAGAAGTCATTTCGTCTTTGCAGTAGTCATACATTGGAGAGTCGATTGAGGCGAAACATTCGGTCAGAAAATTCCTTTCCTTCTCCATGGCTTAGTCTGGAATGGATTTATGAAGATGAATTTATGTGGACATTTTCGATAATAAATGAAATGAAATCGTTTCATGATGAGATCGAGAAGTATTTGTTATTTTATTAGAAGCAAGAATTTATTGATTTAACAATTAAGTTTATAGCTCGTAAATAAATTGATTTTTAAGGAACGCAGAAAAACTGCTTACAAGCCTAGATTTAGATAAATGAACGTGGCTTTAAGGTTAGCTTTTATAATAATTGGAGGAATTTAAATTGATTGTTTGACCCAGTAAAAATTCTTTCAACACTCTTGACGCCTTTTTAATGAACCACTCTAAAATTATTTTTTTAAACCTTCTAGTTCTACATAATAAACACCAAAGCCTTTAATTAATGGAAAGCTAACATGGTACTTGTTCCGTGTTATTTAATAAAAAGCAAGAAAAACTTCAAATGGATAAAAGCTTTGAATATTATTCAATTAAAATTTTTATAGTAGAATGGAAAAGTGTAACGATTGTAAATACAACGACATGCTAGTGCTGAAACATGCTTAGCATAAAAAAAAGTTTTCGATAGCGCTAATTAGTTAAATTACGTTTAATACTATTTTCATTCATTTCGAATTTACATGCGCGCATTTCAGTGTTGACTACTACAATTATTCCATTTGGTTCAATTAGAATAAATTTCATGCATTAAATGTTTTCAACTATCGTACATAAGCAAACATAAATGCATTATAAATTGTTCCACCAGAGTTGAGCAGTTTCTAAATGCGATTTTATATGTTCATGCTCTTTAATTGCTTCGGCACGACTGTTATTATGGTTTTGGTTACTAAAGCAGGATATAAATTTAAAACTTTGATACTGGCTGCGCTTTTTTTTCCTTTTTTCCCAACCATCAACCTCACAATGAATTTTCATAACAATAAACGTCATGTGTGGAGTTATTTTTATGCCTTTTATGCTAATAATTCGATTGATTGAATGCAACGATTAGTTTATAAGCTGAGATTTTACCGCTTATTCATTTCCAAATTTACTTTGCAATAATTTCTGATGTTTATGAGACTATCAGGGATTTAATGTCGCTGTTCAATGTTTTTTTTTGTTGCTTTGTTTGTATGCCTTTCACTCTTATTGCGCAATGTCTCGGAATTTCATTTAAACATTCAGTGAAGCTGAACAGACTTTATCCCCACGTTCAATGTAAACATCATGCATAATAAAGCAGCGCGATTGAATTTTTGATAAATGTATTTCATTGCTCCTTTTTTCTTCTTCTTATGTGTCACGAAGTGCCTCAAGAATCCACACCATCATCATCTTATGTTGGTTAAAGGTGGATGATGTAATTATTGATGCTGGAGCGGAATTGATAAATTATAAATTGAATGATGCGTTATACATACTAAAATACATGATACCATACATAATTTTTTCCCCGTCGTTCTCAAGAAGAAAATGTAAAGTGGGAAGGGAACAAGAGTGACAATGTTGAAAAAAAGAAGATAACTACGATGTGTACATGTGCGTAAAGTGTATCAAGACCTCCCTCATTCCTACATCGTTTCATAACACATCTTTGTATCACTGCGGAAAGAGAGTTGTTGCGTTGTAGATCCGGATCATCCATTGGAAATGATAAAGAACTGAAGTAAGAATTTTTGATGATGATTTTTAAAAAATCGATAAAATCACCTTTTCGCACAAAGTATACAAATAAAGAAGAAAATTTATCATCAGAAGGGTTTTCATTTGATTCTCTTCGATCTTTTATTGAGGTGTCAATTAGACAAAAGGTGATGTGAAGTGAATAGTGTGCCAGATGTTGAAACCTAATAAACACTTACATAAAGTTTAAAATCAATCGTGAAGAATATAAATTTCTACTTTCGTGGTGGAAGGAGGAAAAGCTTTTGCTTTTCTCACAGAATAAACGAAGCATCGGTACAGGGATTAAGATTTGAAGATTAAGGAAGGAAGAGAAAGAAATGGAAGGAAAAACGAACAGGCTACAATAGGATTTCTTTCTTTAGCTGTCTTCAAACTTTGTTTGAGTTCTGTTCCGTAAATACATTTCTTGGCAAAACGTGTTCAAAATCAACAAAAAAGAGCATACACACACCCTAATGAACCAGCATGATTCAAAGTTCCTTTTTATTATTTTTCTTTTATGTATGCTTTCCACAGCGTATTCTCAGACTATAGAAAGATGTGCTGAACAAATACTAATGTTGCAATACGTCGGTGGGACAGGAATGAACTGAAGAAGAAGGAAGCATAGAAGAAGCGAAAGCGCTCATAATGTTGAGACTGTAAAACAATATGACTGATTTTTATGTGCTTGACTGACGATGATGACGGCATAGTAGATGAAAGAAGAGAACTTGCAGCGAGTATGAGAAGCACAATGTAAGTTGAGAGAATGGAAATATGCTGATTAAAGAGCATGTTATCAAACATTGATTTTTACATATGTACATATATCTACATAAATATATATGTACAAAACATGCAGCATGATTAAGATGACAAAAGATTTTCTGCTTTCAAAGAAAACATGAATACAAAATAAGAAAATTTTCTTAACACCAACACACAGCCTCAAACCACTCGACTGCCTAAATATTGGATAAGTGTTTTCACTCAAAAACAAAAAAGATTTTAAATTAAAACTTTTGTTACCCATAAAAAACTAATTTAGACGAAACTTTGGGTAAATTAAACTTCAATTATCGATAAAAACGTGAACAGAAAGCATTATAAGACCGATAATATTCATTCCGTGCTTGCTACGTTGTAAAATATTCTTCCCTGGATAAAAAGAAAGAAAAGAAATAAAGAAGGAAAAAGTTTCTCACTCAACGTGTAGGGGATAAGTACGGCATTATAGAACTATAAAAGCTAATATCTGATAATATCTTAAAAGTATTATTTACGCTTTAGAATTTATGCGGGTTTTCGGTGAAGAGATTTAAATTTTAAATTTCAAAAGCTTTTACATAGCTTAAGACGATACGCCTTTTACTTAATTCGTTTCTCTTATCTCAAAGCGCATATTTTTCAAAAACAAAAAAAAATAAGAAAGGAAATCTTGTAATAAGAAGTAAAAGACATTCGTTTACCTTTCTTGATTATCAAGCATCGTATATTATTGTAGAGAAAATGTTTATTGTCAACAGAGGATTTGAATTTTCCAACATATTCATGGTAAATTGATGTCGTATTAATAAAGCGAAGACATTTGAAATTTATTTAAAGGAAAGCCGATTCGATTTACATTTAAAACACATTTTTTTGTTGATAAATTGGCTGCTTCCGTTACTTGTTTTCTTATCTTTTGTCTCGCACGAGGCACATTTCTCAATGTCTTCTCAATTGAAATGCAGGCAATATGCTGTAGATCGAAGCAATTTCTTTATATTCTGTTTAGTATTCTTCTTCTTCACTACATTGCAAATTTATTTCGAAGTTTGATTAATGAATGAAGCAGAAGCTTTGGAAATTGTTTATTCATCAAATAATTTTCTTCTTGAATATCAAGCGTGAAAAAGAGAAGACAATGTCGTTTTCAGCCTAAATAATGATCATAATATCCAATAAAGTTGAGAAAACAAATTTTCACCTTATAATTAGTTTGAAGGAAGAATAGAAGCTTAATAATGTAAGAATTGCTTCTCAACTTTAAGCTTTTCTGTCGGAAGGCGATGGAAGAGCAAAAAGGAAAATTCGTTTTTGCCTTCGCTATGAAGTTTACAATTTTATGTAAAATTTGCTTTTCCTTCAATACTTTGTCGCTCCACCGAACTCATGTTAACGAACTTTCCGAATTTCCCCTTCACATGACATGCGCTTTTGAAAGCATCTCTCGGACTCTTTTCCGAACATTTTCAGCTCTCTTTCTTCTCTCGACCCGTTGCCGAGTTCATGAGAACTTAACTGAATTTTCCTGCAATAAAATGAATGTTTGCAGCTGAGCTGTTACATTTTACGGAATTTTCTCACCAATTTTCACAGCCGTGCACACGAAGCTCCACTTCACCCTCATGCTGTCTCGTTTCAACATTGAGAAGAATTTTCGCGAATTCAAAAATTTATTTTGCTTTATATTCGAGTCTCATTCAAAGCCGAACAGTTTCTAAATAGAACGACTCCTCGTCTACTCAATTTTCCTTCTTCTTTTTGTTTCTTTTTTTTTCGAGCATTTTCAAATTTTATCAGAAGAAAAACATCTCGTGTTATTCTGCTTTAGCCTGGGCTTAGTCTTGCAAAAATCGTTGAGAGAGTCGGTGGTTTCAAAGTTTATTTTTAAAACTGTAAAAAATATTTAATATAAGTAATAGTCTAGTGGAGAGTTGTGTTTTTATTTTAATTTCTTTGATTTCCTTTCATTTTTATTTCGATGATTCATTTTATTACAATGAGTTATTAGTGCCTTTCATAACCAAACATTTTACAATCGCAAACATAAAAATATTACAGTAGAAAAATTATACAACAAATAAAAAGCGGTTCGGGGGAGAAGAAGAAGAAGAAGGAAAAAAATGGGATGAAGAAAGTTAAAGAAAAAATATCAACTGGGTGTAGTGATGAGAAGAAGAAAAGAAAAAAAAAGTGCTTTTATTGCTTCTCCCTCTCGAAATCAAATTATTGGCATTAGCTGTAGTTTAGAACAAATTTATCGCTGTAGAAATCGTACAAGTTATAGCTTGTAACTCCATTTCAATCCGGACTGAACTTTTCTCTTATATGATTTCTCTCTACAATTTGCTTTATGTTTTGGAAAAGGTCGTTTAATGACACACAATAAAATGAAAAGCGACAATAAAATTCAGCTCATTTCGCTGCTCTCCTTGATTTAATTGTATTAATTAAAATTGGAAATAAAACGCTAATAAAAGTTGAGCTGCTTCCGTGAATACTTAAAGATTTCAATTTGCTTTTCGTTTACAAACTGAAAATTCCTTCTTTTTCTTTCATCCACCCCCTCCTCTAAATCAACCAACAAAATACAAACTTCTTGTTTAGAAAACATGGCAATGTTTATTCAGTGTTAACAGAGAATTCATTTGAAACTTCTTTTTTTGTTGCTGCTGCTGCTATTGTCATTTCTCTTGAGCAAACACGAGAAGGAAGGCAAGCTTAAACTTTTTAATAGCTTTCAAGCATCTAACAGCAGAGCAACAAAAGGCCCCGTAAAATGTTTATAGAGTACTTTCGTTTGTCTTTCACAAAAAAAAAAACCCTAAAAACTAAGCATGCCAACAAGCACCAAGTCGAAAGAAATGATTCTTAAAAATTTATGCTACGCCATGCTATTGATTTAGTGGCTTTCAAATCAATATATGCAGACTCGGCTTTGCCAACAACTGCTGAGACATCAAAAAAAAAATATATAAGAAAAAATAAGAAAAAAAACATTCAAAAGACTCGTGCACAAAATAAATACGAAGGAAGATGAAAAATTCAGTCACATTAACACAAAACACATAAAAGTATTTATAAAGAAAAAGACTCGCTACATAACTAAATGTTTATACACACAAGAAGATTATCACTTGGTTTTATTTGAACAAGAAAAACAAAAAATTTTCTTTTGAGTATCATCTAAATATCGTCGTCGGAAGGAGAAAAATGAAAAGAGAAAAAAAGCAATTTTCTGAAATCAAACTCCGAATCATGACAACATCAAAAAAGCAAAATAAACCAAGGCGATACAGCTCAACTAATTTCCATACAAACAAACCAAAACGCAGGCACAAAAAAAATGAACGTAAAAGCATTTCATTGTCGAAAGCTGATTATCATAATGAGAGAGGATAATTTATGACAAGCGGTAGAGAGGAAAATGTGGAAAAAGGACGAACGGCATTAAGCTAAAGAAGGACAGGAAAAAAATGAGAAACATTTTTTGAAACAATAAGCAGTTCATCTTTTCCGCTCAACTTCACTAACGTAGATAACAACTTTTGACTCTAATGAAAAGGTAAGTCATTGAGACTGAATTTTCTTCTACCTTTTTTAACTCCCACCAAGAGTTTACCTTTTGAATGATAAATGGGAAGCCCTCATCGTTATCATTAATAACGGAGATTTACCTCCGCATGGAATAAATGATTTTTAATATTATTAATATTTTTTATTTTGTAAAAAGAAAAGAAGATAAGCAAAGTTTAACATTTCATTCTGTTTGCCTTTCCTTTTTCTTTTATACTTTTGCCTATTCTATGTCGCTTTTCCGCATTGATATTCTCATTAAATATTGGATTACTCTTTTTTTCATTCTTTTCTTGATGCCAGATGTAGACAGGAAAAGAAAGGAAAAATGTAGAAGTTTAATAAAAAAAAAATCCCTCGTTACGATAAATATGAAACAAAACAAGAAAAAGGATTTTTGTGTCTGGCTTAATGTTTAAGTCATGGTATATTTTCGGTGAACATTGTAAATATATATACAAGTTTTGCATCCGCTCATCTTTGAAAGTTTATTAGATGGAAAATATGATTAATGTGTTTTTTATGAAAAATATGAGAAGGCTGGTGGATGAAAATCTGACTGAATTTCATAAACACACTCGCATTCGTTTCTACAATATTGATAATAAAGTTATTCTGCTTCTTTTCTTTTTGCTATGCTCTTCCATGTTCTAATATATCATGTGTTTCTTCAGGAAAAAAATGGCAACATTCTTTAGAAATGGCAAAAGATTTTTCTTACTTTTATCCATCGACTGTTGGCTACATGTTTGGAATTTTGTATATTGCGATATATCCAAGTAGATATTTTTTTCGCTTTCTACATTCATTCGCATTATTATCACAAACATTAAATCACATGTAGAAAAGAAGAAGAAGAATGAAAAAAAATTGTTCTCTGGTGAAAGAGTAAAAAGATATTTCCATTGAGATATCGTATGAACAGATTCATAATAAGAGCAATTTGTTACATAACTTGGGAAAAACAAGAACATAAGAGAGAAAAATGGAAACTAACAAAAATATGATGGAGAAAAATTGTAGGGTAATCTTTATTACAGAGTCGTAAGATCTTAATGGATACAAATAATACATCGAGCAAATGACACTAGAATCGAAAAGGCTTCTTAATTCGTTAAGCTTTCAGTTAATATTTTTACGTTAATGACTTTTTCTTTCGGTAGACGCAAGTAAATATTTCGGAAGAAGCTTTTTCATGAATTAATTTCCTTTCCTTACTATTTTAATTAATCTTCTTAATCTCTTATTTTCACTTCTTTATGCTTCGGGTAACTTTGTCAGAACTGATAATGAATTTGAATTGAACAATTTGAATAAAAGACAAAAGATAAAAAGATTCTTGAAGATAACTTTTTGTTGTCACTTTTAATTTTATTAACTTTCAAGACTCTAAACTTGGACTTTTGTGTAAATACATAAATATGTATTAGAAAATTAGATATTTAAATCTTATTATCAGCAAATAATAATCTTCAACTTTTAATCTTTTAATGAAGCTATCAAAAATCCTATTAAACTTTGAATGTTGAACTGAAAAAACAAAACAGAGAGAAAATATGTAAGCAGACTCAACCTAACTGAGTAATAATCAATATCAATATCTTACTAACGATACATACATATTTAATATTCAAACATCGAATGTGAGGCAAATGCCCATGATAAAATCTATCATGTACTTCATTGTTATCATTATTGTTATTTTTATTAGCTTTGCCTGCGTTTTCATTGTGTTATAAAAAGTGTACATGAGCAAGATGTTGTGTTTGAAGATAAAAGGCAGAATGACTGGTTATGCATTCAAGAAGTGAACTATTGAATAGAAGAGACAATAAAAGTGCCATATAGACTTCTAAATATAGCATATTCTGATAATATTATCAACTCCCAACAGCGTCTGCAACTTTTTTCCACTTCCTTTATGTAGAAGAACAAACATAATGATCATCTCTCGCCTTTCGTTGAAGCATGTAATGTAATGTAATTAAAATCAATGATTATCTGTATTGGGTTTTGTTTTTCAACTTATTCTATTGTTATACTGACAATTATTTTTATCTATGGTTTCATAATGACAGAGCTTTTTGAGAAGCAATGCAATGGAATGGAAATTACTCTAATTAAATATCTATTCGACAATGCTGGAAAGGGGTAAATATGAATGTTCAAGTATCAAACATAACAAAAACAGAAAAATATTGAAGCTAGAGCGACGATGTTAAGTAACTTTCAAGTGAGATTATTTAAACACAAATGCCTTAATGACTTTGAGAGAAGTTTATGCCCGTAAACACTATTATTTTAAATTAATGTTAATTTTGTGTAACAGACAGGGAAAGAATCGTCATCTGCCGCAAATCGTTTTAACAGTTGCCGCTTTCTCAAACAACACTCTTCGCTTAAATGCTTCTTTTAATTTTGCCTTTTTCAACGTGCTTTCAACATTAAATGGCATAATTAACTAAATTCTTGAGGTTAAATGTTGAACAAAATCAAAGGTGGAAGGGAATGAGATTACTGTTGATAATTTGTATAATTTATGCAAATCAAGAAATCCTTTCAAAACTTTTGAAACCGCTTTGACTAAGCAGCTTTGCATGCAATATTCCTTTATTGCTCATCGTAGATAAACTTTTTCCTTCCAATATCACATAAAAGCTCGACATGACTTGTACATAAAGACAACTCTTGATATTCGCTTAATTCAAAGAAATTGATTTTTTATTAAAATTTTATCATTCCAAACGTGTAATTGCATTTGTTCTCTGTCAGAATGAAATTTCTTCTCTTCAAAGAGTATTTTTGTGATTCAATTTCAAGAAACAAGACGTAAACAATCTATACATAAAATCAATATTTAATCTAATCGAATCGATGTGATGTTGTTTTGTCGCTGTTGAACTACAAAATGATTCTTTTGCTTTTGTTTCACAAATCAATTGTAGATATACAAAAAGAAATAAAAATAAAGAATTGAAACTTTTTTTTTCTTCTTTTTTTTTGAAGCAACTTTTATGAAAGTCAAACGCTTATTCCAACTTCATTGTTACGTGCTGGATATTTCGGTCCTTTAACCATAAATTATTTATCTCGAAGCATTTTATATTCGCTTTCATGGTTTCTAGTTGCAAATGATAACAGAAAAATGAGAAATCATATGTTTTATATTTGCTTTTCTCTGTACATTTTCGTATCTAAATATTTATTTATGAATATTTAAGTCGACTTGTGTGCTCGAAGATTTATTTTGTTTGACATCAAAATGTGTATGCTCGAGTTGTTTTTTAATACTTTGGGAAAACTCTGCATACATATTAGTTTCGTCGTACAAGAAAGTATCTGAAAAAATCTTTTTTTCTATCGCAATGTTGGGAGTATCCGAAAACATTTCTCATGTGATTTTGGCTTTTAGCTCGCCTAAAATAGCATGATCGATATATTTATATGCTTTTTTTTTGTCTCTCGGACTTTTTAATTTTCAATCGCTTTACGAAAATGTGTTAAAATTTACATTAATTCAACTTTCTTTTAAGTGGAGAGTAAAAAATAATCAACGTCGTCAATAATTTAAAAATAGAATCTGTTGATGTTGTTGCTTCTCTCAAATATTTCTTTCTGTACAATATTAAACGTCAACTTCCTTTTGCATACCGTTTTCAGTGCTTGCTGTCGTTGAAATTATACATTGTCAAGTTCTCGTAATAATAATCAGGAAAAAGTAATAAATGTTAAGAGCGACACGAATGAAATCTAATATCATCACATGGGCGTGTTGCTTAATAAATTCTTTAGCTCAGCACCCTTTTCCGAAACAAAATTGGAGTCTAAATTAATTTTTGATGAAAATTATTGCCATTTCATATCCATCAATAGAGGGTGGGTTTGTAAGCGAAAAATTCTTTATTAAAAGGAAAAAAAAGTCAGGAAAATCAGTTTTCCGTTCTTTTCCCTTGTGATTTCATCTGATCATATTGAAGCTATTACGGATATATTTTTTTTATTCACTCTTAACACGAACACCTTACGATTTATGGATTTTTTCCGCTTCGGTATTTTGTTTGTGGCCGGAAAAAATATTCATATTGAAAGCTTTTCGAATGAATGAAGTCAAAAGGTTTAATACTTCAAATAGACTGAGCCGCCTTCTTCTGCCCCACACTCAAGCTCATGCTTTAATGTTTGACCGAAGTTTTCGTTTTCGTTTTCACAACATTGAATTAGACGTTTAGCTTTATACTTCTTACGTCTACTCCACCTCCGCATTCTTTAATCTTTTATAATCATTGGTATTTCTTTTCCTTTGCTTCTTCTCTCTATATGTTTTAGATTTTATTTTTTCCACTGACAGAAAGGAATTCGTGGAACTTTTTGATTAAAAAATGTAAGAAAAAAGGGGTTCGGAGAAACATTTCGAGTGAGGTATGAATTGTAACGACAATGCGGAGGAGAGACGTTTTCAACAAAAAGTTATGCAAACAATTTAGCGTTTAAATTCACATTAATCATTCTACTTAAATAATAAGCTCTGGAATACATTCGCGTATATTTTTTTAGTTGTTTGTTGTTTTTATTTTAATTTTTTTTTTGGCCAAAATAAATTTCTCCATAACAAAAACATAAACTTAGTACTAAAAGCAATTCGATGATTCTCAACTTTTAGTTGATTTACGGAAAAGTTTTGTGTTTTGATGAGTATGAAGAGTGGAGAAAAACATCACAAGCAGAAGGATCTGAAATATGTTAAGAGAGTTTTTCCAAAAGAAAGACAAAAAAAAAGTTTTTTTATGTGATGAAAAATAGTTTTGCCTTCGAAATGGCGCCTCAGTGCCTAGATCGCCTGGGTGGTAAGCTGGATTGTACGTTTAGAGTAATTTATTTAATTGTTTTCAGTTGTTTTTGAACAAATAAATTTATTTTTCTCTACCATTCTAATATGAACGGAAGAGGAAAAGCCAAAATAAAACGGTCGAGGGAAAAATTTATCTCATGAAGTTTTTTTTTAACTCAACTCAATGAAAAGAACCGAAACCGTATTTTCCTTCCATAAATCAGCTGCATAAAATGTTGAAAGCAAACGATTTTGAAACCGTGAATGACTGCGAAAGTTTTATAATTATTTTTTTCTTCATTCAAGCCAAAGCAGCTTAAATATAATAAAAGCCCCATGATTTCGGTCTCGATTTCAAACATATCAATTCGTTCTGCAAAGGGGAAAAAAAGTCAACGTCATGGTAACAGCAAAGCGTCTGATATTAAATGCTTTTTTTGAAATCAAAAGCTATAATGGCAGAAAATTAATTAACTTTATAAGAAGCATGAATGTACAACACGAAAATTTATTTGTTCAAGTTTCCAATTAAGCATTAATCAATATACGCATCATTAATTTTCTATTATTGAGATGGCATGCATTCAATAAACATCCGAGTGAAAAGAAATTCGATCATGCTTTCACGTAAAGTGAAATAAATAAATTGAATTGAATTTTAGCTTTTTCTTCATTTTGTTGTTTCTGGAGTGTTAAAGAACGTGGCGGCGAGAACATCATCAGACGAAGGTACAAATATTCTGATGCGGTTCCACATCACTTCACTTTAATGACATTCTCTTGATATCAGGAAAAAAATTACTTCATAAAAGCTGTCAAACTTTATATTTTAATTTTCCCACAGCACCTTACGCGAGAGAAAAACGACCATAAAGTAAAAAGATGTCTACGTAAGGTTAAAGTCATGTTGCATCATAAAAAGATAATTTATCAGCAAATATTTCCCTTACTAACATGATGCTCATGCATGAGTGTGTGAATGAAATTGGATAATATAAACCCCTCGAGAAATTCAACCTTTCAAGGTTGCAGACCGTAAAATCTTAAGAAGCGAAACAGAATATCAGAAAAGAACAAGAGGTTAAAGTTCTCCAAACCCAAAACACAAACTTACAAGGAAATGAAAAAAAATAAAGAGCATCAATAAAGCTATAAATGAAATTTTAACATTCAAATCATGAGTTGATAATAAATCAAGAAATAAGAAGAAGAAAAGCTTTAACGTCACCTCAAAGCGTGAAGAGAATTCTCTTTCAAAGACGCCCCACGAATATTGTCACCCTCATACGTTTACCTTGCCAACTTTCACGTCTCTATAATTTTTCACTTCCTTTTATTGCTTTCAATTTTTTTTTGGCTAGGCTGAGAGTTGATAGAAGTAGAAGAAGAAGAATAAGGAGGAAATATATGTAGCGAATCGAATGATGATAAAAAAAAGTTCGACATTGCAGTCGCTTGTTCTATGATCGTTTAGGGGGCTTTACTTAAAATCATCAAGTCGAATGGAAAATTAAATTTGTAATGAATTTCAGCTTAACACGATGCGGAAAGCTCGCTGTCAACAAGCATTTTCGTAAAAGCGGATGTATGTTGAGTGATGGTTAAAAATTACATTTGTGTATTTATTTGGTAAGACAAGCAGGATGGAAGACCCAGTGGTATTAAACGGCTGGTTTGAGAGTGATTATGTTGCGTGTTTATTCCAAAAAGTGATTCATCAACACTGTAATATTTAGACACCAGAATAAAGTGAAGTTTAATGATACATCAGCTGTATGGCTGCATCGAAATGATTCAATCAAAGGATTATTCAAAGCAGTTAAATCATGAATATGATTACAAAACGTTGTATGTAGCTGGTTGACTTCGGGTCAAATCGATTAATTGTTAAGCATTTGGTCCCCTTCAACCAGCTGTTTTACAGCGTTCCATCCATCACGCAAAAAGCTATTAACCAGTAAATCAATAACAGCCGCGACCTCATGAATAGCAAAGAAGGATAATTTTAGTGTTGTGTGTTGTTGTAAAGATTTTACATCAGTTTCAGATGGTATTTTAGCTCTAGAAATGTGAAAATGAAAACACAAAATGATTTTATGGGCTAGGCCACCATCAATGGAGTAGTGAAAAGATAAATTAAATGTAAAATGGCGAAGCGATTTTTATTTTTGTCAGTAAACTTCCATTAATTGTTTCGTTAACAACGTCCCAAAAGACTAAATCCGATTAGTTTAACTAAACTGAATAGTTTGCTAACGCTTTTCATGAACACATAAAGCTTTGAAAGTTCAAATCGAATGATAATTACAGCGTCAGGTAAATTGAGGATCAAAAGACTTTTGTATTGCTTTTTTTTTATTGATGAAATAAATTTTACACTCGAACTATTCGCTTTAGGTTTTCATTGTTTTGTTAGGACATCGAAATGCTCAAAGCAAAACTTTAATAAAAAAGGAGAGATTTGAACAATGGTAAATTTTAATAACAAAAGAGGAAACCGAATCAAAGCTTGGCTAAACAAAAAGGCATTTATACTCCCGTTTGATGTCCTAATGAGTGGTGGGGCTTAGTCAAATAACATAAATAAACATAAAACAAATCCGTGCAAAAACAATTAAATAGGAATTAAACAACGAAATATACAAAAATCCTATTGCATATTCTGCCAGCATAAAATATGAAAACGTGGAAAAACATGACCAAAGTGAACACTTTTTGTCATGATGTCAAAATACAAAGCAAAACAATGCAAAACAAAACAAAAAAATGTTTTTGTGGGAAGAGAACTCTTTTTATTACCGCTGTGCGAACCTTTTTGCAGTTGAGGTGAAAGCACAATAAATTTATAGCTTTAAATGTTCTTCCACTTTAAAAATGTTGGAATCATCTGCTAAAGGAAATTTGATTATGCTTTAAAATGAATTATGCATAAGGTGCTTCGCCCTCCACAATGAGCGAATAATTTCTGTTATGGAAGTTTGTTTGACTGAAGTATCTTTTCATGAAAACGAATAAATAAAGAAGAAATATTTAACACCAATGGACTTGTTTTAATTCTTTTGTATATTTTTTTAAGAACTTTTTTTAGGGTATTTTTCTTTTACAGGATTGTTAAATGATGTGGAAAAATTTTGAATTGGAAATTGTTCATGTTTATTGTGTTGGAGGAAGGAAAAGTTGCATCTGTTTCAAGTGATCAATCAATTTATCAGTCAACTAGAACAAATATCTTCGTAATGAGATTAACATCTCTGGAAGCACGTTTCAAAAGCAGAGAAAGCCAACATCGTTTGAGAATCATTTCTTTTCCAGGAAGTCGACTTCTTAATTCAGCATACGTCCCTTTAGGATAATAAAAACTTCTTTCTCCTTCTCCAGCCTTGAGGGAAAATGTTTAAATTAAATTTGAAGAACAATTGGCCAATTTTCTCAGAATACGCATTTTCGAGTATCTCCCAAAGGACGAGACGATAAATGTTAAGAAATTATTAAACATTATTTGTCGAGGAGGATTTCTGCTTCTCGGACAGATAATTTTCATCTCATACTTCGCCTTCATCGGAATTTTTATGTCTTAGTTTTGGAGAGCTAATATTAGGTGCTGACAATGTAATCTCGAATGGTTTTTATATCTTTGTTATTTTGATAAATTAGCTGGCTAAATCTTCAATGCCATGTTTGCAATACAAAACTTCCTTCAATACGTATTTCCTGATGTCACCTGCATACTAATCAACACTCAGCTATTTGCTTCACTTTCCTCATTCCACGTTCGTTCTTCATGCTCTCGCAATTTATTTCATTTACTTTATCATTCCCTGCACATACGTAAACTTTTTTTACATGGAACAAAGCCAACCACTCTTCTTCCATAGATAGAACATGAGACCGATTTTTCCACTCCATTAGCTCTATCAGTATCTTGCCTTTCATTGTGATCAGTTCATAGGCCAATACAATTCAATGAATTGATGTTGAATGGCAATTATTTTTAAATAAATGTTGAATTTGTATGCAAGGTTTAGAGTGATTCAGAACGATGATAAAAAAGAAAGTAAATTTATCTGTTGAATTGACTCGAAACTCGAGTCATTCAATCAATGTAGCAGAAAGCTTATTCGATATCCATGAGTTTCTTCTATAAACAACATTCTCACTAAGCTTCATCTAATGAATATTTATGTCTTCAATTATAATAGAGATTAATAAGAACTTTGCGATGTGTGTAAAAATAATTAAGTAAAAGGCTGATTAATTGTTCGATATGTGTTTTTCTTCTTTCTTTTAGTTAATCCATCTTATCTTACAGCGTATTTGAATCGACATCGTTGCGGCTTCATATCCGGACAAATGTCTACGCACAACTGTTCCATTTGATTAAGAAAAATTTCTTTACCGTATGTTCGTTCAGAGGTTAAATTACTTTGTTATGGTCAGTGAAAGTTAACGGCCACTAAAGATCGTCGACCATCATTTTTGATATCACCTTGAAGCGTCAACATCATGTTTCTCCCATAACATTCCATGAAATAGCTTTCATCACTTCGATTAGTTTCACCTTTTCAACTTTCATCTTTTATATTTATTATTGAGACGATATTGAGTTAAGCAGATAAATGTGAAACAAAAAAAGGCTCTCAGCATGAGAACCAGTAAAATTTGGTATCTTTAGAAAATAACTTTAGTGAATAGATCTCTAAACTACATTCCAAAATGCTCCGAATGAATATAATTTATTGCCAAAAATGCTATAAATAAATTAATGTTTATGTAAATGAAATTTCTGTCCATTCCATTTCCTTTTACGAAATGTTTTATTCCATATTCACAGATATATCCCTTTTATTTCATTTATGGTCTGCATTGAATCATCAAACATCATACCACCATAGAAGCAAGAAAGAAAAGTAGAACATTTTGGCATTACTTTGAATTCATAAATAAAGATTTGGTCAAGCTCGAGAATGCTTTTCTATCTCGTTTTCCTCAGCATGACGCATGTGTAAGGCAATTTAAATCTGCATTTTTCTCTATTTAAATGCTTAACATTCTCTGCTCGTTTTAATTTTTACAACAATTGTGTTTCAAAGCTAGATTATTTCATTATGTGCAAAGTTCAGAAAAGTTAAAATCACATCAATTTAACAAAATGAATGAAGAATTCAAGAGAGAAAGAAAAATTCTTTCTCGAGGCTGAAAAACGTGTTCAAATAAAAAGTCACATGGAAAAATCTTTCCTTTTATTCCTTTTGATACGATAAAGCACGTAGAAAATTTGAATAAGAGTCAGTGCTATAAATCAGCAATTTCAATCTCATTTAGCTGTATAAAATAACTACAAAATTCACTACGTTTGTATGGAATGATAATTTCTATATCATGTCGGATGTTTAACCATCAGGCTAGCAGTTTGGGGAGACATTAGAATAATCATCATAACAATTCATTTAAATAACTTAGATTAGGAAAAATTGTTATGAAAATTCATAACTAAAACTTTTCACATTTCACAGACCCAAATGCATTGTGCAGAATGCAAGAATATCTTAACAAGCACAGATTATACTTAAATTTCATTTACTTTCCTCTATTTTTTTACATTATTTTGAGTGCTGAAAGTTGTAAGCTTATACTTTTCAGCTTCCTAGTAAAAACTAAGCATATGAATGCATTTTAATATGAAATGTATTCCCCTGTGTCGAATACAATATTATGAAAGCTTTTCTTTCATTTGCATTTTTCATTTTCCCTCATGGAAGTATTCATGAAATGTAAAACAAAGTCTTTGTTCTCGCTGAACGAAGTTGTTCTTGGTCGATATTGAAAGTGTATGTTTATGTTTGCAATTTCCTTGAAATTCAAACTATGTTGAGTAGATTTTTATGAAACTTTTATAATCAAACAACATTTTTGATAGGTACGAGTTAGATGAAATTTTTATTGTGTTTGCGTTTCAATTTGTATTCTTGTTTGTTTGCTTCGTTTTCACTGATGCATTTAATTTATGTTTATTTGTTTTTTAATCAAAAGATCAAAGAACGGTTAATAATTAAGTGTTCAAATGACAATGATTGTGATATTCAATTCAAACATTTTGCTTTACTTTCATGAATCATGGCGAATGAATAAAAACGAAATGTAATCCCACTTATCAAAATGAGAAACGAAGGGAATTCTCATCATAAAAAATGTGTAAGAGCATTAAGGTTCAATACAAATAAAATGTGACTTTGTTCAACAACTTCATCCATCTACGTAATTTGTTCCTGTTTTCAGATAAAAATTCTATAAAAGATCAAGAAGTTTTCTCTCACGTTCTCGCGTTAAGCAGAAAAGAATTTCAATTCGAAGCACAATCACGAAGGAAATTTTCAACTTTTATATTGAACTTCTTTTCAACTTTCATTCTTTTTCTTTATTTATGTCGCTGGAATTTTAATTTATAGCTTTCAAGCAGGATTCTTATGACAATACGCTTTGCTGATAAATTAATGCGAAATTAATTAAAAGTGTGTTTGTTTGCGATCCGAAAGCTCATTCACGTTATTGACCAAAGACTTAGAAAGGAAAAAAAAGGCTCAAACAGCAAGCACGTTCAATGTAATTAAATAAGAGAAAGGGAAAAATCTTGAAGGAAATCTTTAGTAATTAATTATTTTTTTTCTTTGTTCTTGTTGTTATTTATGGTTTGAATCGGATTTTTTTCTCCTGAATTTATATCAATTAAGGCAAAAAACCATACAATTATAAGAGATTGATGTAAAGGTTAACTGAAGAGAATGCGGCGCTTTTTTCAGGGAAAATAAATTTAATTTCATTGCACTATGTTCAAATCGAGAATTTGAGATAAATTGACATTCCTTTAATTCATTAGATGATATTTTTCATCATCCCCCGCAATCTCCAGCAGAACAATTACTGATTAAAGATGAATGCTCAATTAATATCGTTAATAAAAGCGGATAAGAATTTCTTAAGCTTCATGGACAAGCATAATTCTCCCTTCAGAAAATTCATTTAGATATTGCTGAATAAATGTTTCAATTAGAATTGTTTCTGACAATAAAATTCGAGTGGATTTCACTCTACCACCAGTTTCACTTTGAGCATGAAAATTTTCTCTGAAGATTTTTTTGAAAAACAAATAAATTGATTTTCCATCATCAGATTTTCACAGCTCTTTAAGAGTTTAAAGTGCCATTAGTGTTAATTGTAATTCATTGCTAGCATTTAATTCACTCTTTCGTTATGATTGTTAAAAGCTTTTGAAGTCCAGATATAGAAGCTATCTGTAGATGGAAAGTAATCTTGTAAAGTGGAATGAAGCTAAAAATTAAGGGAAAAGTTTGTTCGTTCCCTAAAAGCTTCATTTGTAAGGTCTTCCACTTCCGAGGCTAAAAGAACATTGTTGGCTCATAGCACAGTCTGTTTGCGCTCATCTTTTTTTATTTTCCATCTGATTTTAACAACTTCAGATGAAGACGAAACTTTATGTGAACCATCAAAATCATTTTGAAATTTTGAGAGACAGAAAAGGAAATTCTAGTGGAAGGGAAAATACTCAAAACGAGGAAACGAAATGTTTCAATAAAGGAAATTCCCAAGAAACGTTTTTCTTGCCTTTGTATACATATTTTTTCAAATTGAATTTGAATGAAAACTGGCACTTGCGACAAAAAATCTCTGAAAAGAAAATTGTGTAAGACAAAAAAAAATCTTTTTTCATTTTATCCTTCATCGAGAGCGGAAAATTCTTTCTGTAAACTTTTTGATTAATGTCAGTTAATATTTTAAGTTTTCGTTATCTTCTTCATGTGATGGAACTGTGAAAGAGGCAATTTAACCCTTTTGGGCCTTTGAGTGTTAGTGAGGAAGAAAAAATTTCATCCTCGATGTCACTCGAATTCATCCCTCAACTGAAGAGGATTTCATGCTCAAAAGAAATTCCTTTTCGTTTTTTTTCTTTCTCTTTTGATGATGTTGTTATTTTTGATGCTTCCCACTGTTCAGCATTTGCTTCTAATGGGCTTGTTTATGTTGTTTTCGTTCATTAATGTTTCTAGATTTACAGAAGAAAATAGGAATTTAGGAGAATGAATTGAACTGTAAACTGCTGACCCTTGAAAGTTAAACTTTAATTATAATTGAGTTGTTTCGGTTGTAATTATAAGTTTATGTGACGATACTGATGAAAACTCACATTTTTCTAAATCAAATACTAAAGCAGAGTGTGAGAAGATGAAGAGCGAGTGAAAAAAACTTTTAATCGAAAGTGACGCTGGATTTTTTCTTTTTCTTTTTTATTCCATCACCACCAGCATTAAAAATGACACTTTTCGAGCCCTTTTTTCCATCTCACTCGTAGTTCTGTCTCGCTCAAAGCTGACTTTCTTTAATTTCTCCCGTTTATTTCTATCTTGACACTGCAGCTCATGGAAAATGTGAGAAAAATGATGACAAGAGTGAAAATAATTGCTTTAATTAGTTTTCCAATGTTTAAGGTTATTTTTATATCCTCCTCGAGGTAAAAAAGCGAAAGGTTAAAGATTCTTTGTTGACTACAGCCACAAGAGGGGGCCAATTTCATGCCTCCACATACAATGTGCCGTTCTTGTTAGCTTTATTTATGACGGTTATATATGACGCCTACACCTCTGAGAGAAACATAATAATTTTACCTTTTCCTTCTTCATCTTCCTTATATTCTTTTTTCTCATTCGTTCTTGTACCTTCCACTCAAAGTTTCACGATGTAAAAAATTTTCAATTTTCCATTCAAGCCTGAAGATTGAATAGATGACTTTGAAAAGTATGAGAAGGGGCTGGCAAACAGCACTAAACCTTATGATATGTTATATGAGTGGAGCTAAAAATAGGTGACAATAATGTATAACGAAACCCTTTTTTTGTGTCGTTGAGATTCTAAAGAAAAAGCTCTAAAACAAAAGTCGAGCGATGTTATGAATTTGTGTGGTACAACCTTTGAATATTTCACCTTCTTCTTCTTTCAACACTTCTCACACTCGCTCCCCAACCCCACCTGAAGAAATATAAATTATTCTGATGATGAAATTGATTATTCGCTTTTTTCCCCTTAAAGATTTTAGCTTTCTCTTCGACAACAAAAGGATTCTTTGTAAAAAGGGAAGAAAGAGAAGCAAAGGAATGCTTTGAAGGCATTTACCGCTTTTTTTGTGTGTAAAAACTTGATATGAACACATAAGGAAATGTTTCACAATGTTTCACTTCTTTCTGATTGTTGTTGAAACCAAAATAAATTGCTGGTGATTTGTTGACTTGGCTTTTCGTGAATCAAGAAAAGTTTTTAAAACACATACGATTGTGTAATGTTATGTTGAATTATGTTGATGAAGGTGAATGTATATCCGGGGATTATATTTATCATCAAAGAATCATCATATACATGTGTGGGTGTTTGTAATGCTAGTTTTGGGACCGAAAATGTGTAGAAAGGATCGTGTGTGTGTATGTAGACATAATATTAAGTAACAGGTCTCTCGTACACCGGAAAACAACTCCGGGTTTTGCTTTTGATTCGAATCGATGACAGCTCAATACATAATGGGATATTTATTCAATAAAAACCAATTCAGGATGTCATAAATCATGAGCGGATCATAAATAAATTTATAAATTAGTCATTTGCACATGCCAGAGACATTTAGTATTGAAGTTCATTGAAAAATGACGTAACAATGTGAGCTTTCTGATTGTTATGTCAAAAATGTAAGGAAATGCAATATTGAATATTTGGCATGAATATATTAATCATAAATTTGTTAATCATAAAGACAATACCAACATATTGAGATGTGCATGAGTAGGCATGTCTCGCAAATCTAACTGCGAATAGCATTCATTTGATTTCATAATGGAAAATATTTCAATTCATTCGACTGCTCTTATTTCCATCAGATTTCCATTTGTTTCGATTGTTTTTATTTAGAGATTGGGATTTTGAATTTTCAAAAACCAAAAACCTATTTGTACATATGAGAACAAAACATTAAAATTTTCCGATGTGAAAAGATAAAAGAATTTGATGAAATATTTCCATTTTAAGTCATAAATGTCACTCACACCAATCCAACTGGTTCTATCCGCCCAGTCAATCTCAGACTCAGTCATTTCCATCATCAATAAAAATGCTACATCTGCTTCGCTTTGCTACTTCATTAATTTTATTTTTCATTTTATATTATAAAAGTCAAATTTTTCATTCAATTCAACATTTCATAACGGGATAAAGCTTTCTCTCTTTTTTTTTTTTGGACCATTTAAGTAACATTGTAAATGACATCAATTTATGAGCTTTTATACGTAGGAATAAAATTCACCATTTACAATTTGCCTTGAAGGCGAATAAAGAAAAATAAAATGTAAAAACGGAAAACCATCCCGAATTATTTCAAAAGCTTTTCCTACGTTTACAAGCTGACCGATTGAGTTTCTATTCATCACAGATAGAAATAGAAAAAAATAAAGAAGGAAAAGGGAATTCACCTCGAGTCTTTTAGGTAAAATTTCATAGCTGAAAAAAGAATTGAAAAGCAGAAAGAATATCAATCTACGAGTCCAATATCTAAAGAATGTAGTAAAAGAATTTTTACCGTGTACGAGACGTGAATTCAATTGAATTAAATCGCTTTGATATTTATTTGTTTGAAATCTCATCTTAGTCAATGCGATAGAATGAAAAATACAAACTTTTGCTTCTGCTTCCGTCAGGGAAAGTTCATCCGATAAAAAATCATTCTCGTTGTTCAGTTGTGCGTGAATGTAAAATTACATAATAAAGAACAGAAGTAAAGAAAAATTCATACAATTCAAAAACCAATAATTTTTTTCTCAATCTTATTTTACTTTATTCATTAAAGTCATCTACGTGATTAGCATTCAAACGATTGCTTCAGGCAGCGACTGATCGAGGTTTCTCACAATATGATAATGTTTTCTATCTTAATTCACAATTGATTTCATTTCGAGAAAAGAATAAACGAAGACGAAGAAAATCTTTTGTTGACGTGGACATTTTCCACGGTTTAAGAATAAGAAAGAAAAATTTGTGAGCTCATCAAAATAACTTATTTAATTTTAATCCTAATAGAAATTGAAATCGAAAAATGCTTTCCATAATGATGAATTTTGCTTCTCTTTTCAAATATCTGCAGTAGCAAGTTTCATAATTATTTTCTTTGTCTAAAGCGGATTTTGAAATTACCAAAAATTTAATTGGAAAAACTTTTCCAGTGCTTCAAATAATGACATTAGAAAAAACAAAAATGAGACAAATGTGGAGAAAACATTTTTGTTTTTATATTTTCATTGCTTTCTTTAAAAAATTTAGCGGAAAAAATTATCAGGGAAATTGCCGGGGCGAAAAATATGAGCTGATGGGACGCGTTTCTTTCTCATTTAATGTGTTTAATATTTAAATTGCCAGCAGATTCCTATTCAGTCTACAGAGAGTGGTCTGTCGGTGGAAATCTGCACAGCTCGTTTAGCAGTTGCGGTTGGCAACTTTTCTTTTCATTTCCAGGGACGGAAGGTCTTTGAATAATACTTTGTGCATAAAAATAACTTTTACCACCCTCGCAAATGAATAAATAAGGAAAGTATAATTTACAGCATCGCAGATAATTGTTTAGCTTTTCGCAATCAACACCGCATCCATGAAATTAGAGGGCAAATCTGCGTATAAATCTCAAAGTGCTAATTCCACAGCGTTTTTAAATTTGATCTCATCAACAAAACGACTTTGCTTCCGCTGTTTATATTAATCCATGAAAAATTTGCTTAAGAGCTTTTTTTCTTAACTTCTCCACCCCCAATAACGAAAGGGAGGGAAGCCGAGTGACTTCATTTCATTTTATTTTATATTATGCCAGTCAATTGATTTGAGTGAAAAATATTCAAAACTATTTCGCAACATTGAGATAATGTTGAAACCCTTTTCTGCTTTCTGTTTAAACATCGTCGTCTTCTTGAAATGAATTTGTTTTGTAAACTGTGACGATTATGCGAACCCTTGTTAAGAGGCTCCGCTCCTAAGGGCACAACGAAAAGTTTGATAAAAGAAGAAAAAAAAATATGTAAAAGAGAAAAGAATAAAAAAAAGAAAAAAAAGCAAACAATCACTAAAAGCCCAAAGCAGCAAGAGGAGAAAATATTTAATGCGTTTTGTTGCCTCTTGCTCCCCGAGTAAATACTCTCGAAATAAATTTGATAAAGTGAAATAATGAAAAAACACATTAAATTTTATTTGGAAACTTGAAGTTTTTCTGTTCTCGTCTTTACAACAGCGGCATTGTACTTAAGAAGTTTATTTTGAGAATTTTCTTTTCTCTCTTTCATGCAATTTAGATTGTTATTGTCAAAGCCATCATCAAATATATTTCTTGTATTCAATGCAGGATTTTCTGTTCATCCTTTCCTCAGTTATTTCCACTCCACTGCAGCTTCTTAGATTTAGAAAAGGGGAAGAAAAGACGAAAAATCATTTCCTAGTTGTATCGCACAGCATGTGTAGAAGCTTCAAATTGAGCTTTTAAGATTTTTAAGCTGTATTAGAGCTTAAAATAAAGCTCTAAAAAAGTTTAATAGTAAATTGAAGGAACAATGAAAGCAATACTCTCGCTTCAAGGAAATATTTAAGACAGAAACGTGAAAAACAGAAAATTTCATACTAAGTAAATATAATTTATGATGAAGTTTAAAACTTTTAAAAGCTTTCAATCGAAGTATTTTCAATAAGAAAACTTTTTTTTTCTACCGAAATATCTCAAAAACATTCCATGATTTTTATGTCATAAACGAATCTTGTAAACGACTCTCATTCGAGAAAAAAGAAGAAACCCGACAAAATATACATCCAGTGGATTCAATATTGTTTTCTCAACTATTATTGCTGAAGTTTTCTATTCAGAAAAAGAAAATATCTGTATCTATGTACTTTTATTGTTGTCGGGAGAAGAAAATAAAATTGAGGGACTAAAAGAAATTTCATCGAGGTAATGTTAAGACTTGTCTTATCTGATTTGTTTCGTACATGATGACGCTTCGATCTTTTCACAATTTGCCCTTCCGAAGATGTCGAGCAACTGTTTGTCCCATTCTTGCTTCGTTCTAAACAGTTACGAAGTGAATAGATGGGAAAAGTTTGTAATTCTAAAAGACAAACTTTATCCACTCGCATCTGGCAAAACGGAAATTTATTTTTTTTCTGTGCTTTCGCCTATTCTCCGTTAGCTTTCCAACTAACAAAAATTGTTATTTCATTGCTAAACCATATTTATATATTTTCTTGCTGTTGCAAGTAAGGAACTCGTTGTTATGTGTGGCATGGTTGATGTTTCGAACAATTCATTTATTTCATTTTACGATGTGCATGCTTTTCGAACGCTTCCTTCGAAGCATTACTCCTCGAAAGCCCTTTTTCCCGTTTTCTTTCACTCGACAGCTTATGTGTCGTGGGTGGTGGTAGCGATGGAAGTATAAGAAGCAATGCAGCGTTGGAAAGAAAGAAAAATAAATTCAATAACAATTTCATGACTCTTTGGCAATCAACTCACAGTAACTTTTTCAGTGCTCTTCTTTCATACATGAAATGAAAATACTTTGAAGAAAACTTTTCACATTTCTTTTAGTTTATCTGACTTTTCATTTCCTCTCTCGCAAAAATATTTATTCACTTCGTTTTTCTGCTTTCCCCACAAAAGATACAAATAGAAAATTAAATTTTATTTCGCTCATTTAAAGTGCTTTTTCTTCTTTTCTGTAATTTTCTAAATAAAAAGTAGCACTTGGAAATAGTTATTGAATTGAGAATGAAATTAAATGAAAACTTTTTCCCTCGAGTTTCTTCCAACTTCAGCGGATTCATCGAGATTCATATGTGAAGTTTATAAATTTTCACTACGAACATGCATGCAAGTTGGGAACAGAAATATTGATTGGTAAACTTTTTGATTTTGCCAAACTCATTCCACTCCACTCGTATGAGGATTTTCCAATCATCAAATGATTGATGTTGAGTGAAAGCTAAAATTAATGCACAGAAACTTTGATTGTGCAGTGCGCTGGAAAAAACATTTTTAATGATTTTTCAATGCTCCATTAAGTAAAGCATTAAACGAATGGCGAACATGTTTGCTTTCTATCTTTTTACAAAATTGATTTGAATTTTCATGGGAAGCATTTTAAATAATAATATTGACTTAAAACTATTTTCTTTTGTAGTCATTTGATATTAGAATGAGAGTCTCTTGAGGATAGAGAGTTGTCGATTGTAAACATGTCAATTTTTTATAAAACAATAAAACTTTTGCATGAAACAACTATTGATAAAATCCTCAACATAATTGATAATCGACATCTACACTTTGGTAATTTAAACTTCCTCCATGAAGTTTCAATATCAGCTGCTGAAAATGACGCAACATGCAAATTTTACGTTTCAAAAAACAAACTTGCATTCACTTTAAAACTGAGGTGAAGAAAATGTCGGAAAATTTAACGTTTTAATTTAGGTTTTCCCAAGGGAAACTCATTTGCCGTTTATCAAGTCTTTTCATCGCTCGAACACTGAACGGTGATTTAGTGCAAACTTTGTCTTTCTCTTTTACCCACTGCACTAAATCACTTTGTCAAATTTAAGTTTGGGAAAAGTTTTCCATTAATTTATCTTATCTTGTATTTAGTTTCTGCTTGTTGTGTAATGAAAAGGCTTTTTTACGTCACAAAGATACAAAAACTTCTCTCGCCATTTTTTTGTTCCTTCGTTTTTAATGATGATATTGCATTAAATATCTCAACTATTTTCTTTTTTCGTTCTTTATTTAGTTTACCATTCTATTCATAACTTTATGTTTCGTATTCATTGGACGGAAAAGAGAGCAAAGGAAATGTTCTTGTCCTCTGCTGTTGATGATGTCGACAGTTCTCTTATACATTTTTTAATGACAGCTGCATAGTCAAGTAGCAGGAAGAATTTTTATTTAGTTAGTTGCTGTTGATTTTTTATGCATAAAAATTATTTAAAAAGGAAAAAGTTTTTCCTGTCTGTCCTCGGGGTATGCCATAATCAAATTTACCGCTTCTACCAACTTGCATGACAATTTTTGCTTTCTTCACGTCTCTCTTTAGACAGAAAAGTTGACTCCAATGACCAACCGCAGTTACTAAGTTCAAGTTTCTTGATCCAGCAAAAAAGATAAGATAAGGGAAAAGGAAGGAAGAAACGAGAATGTTTTAATGTTTTTTTAATCCTTTAAATAAATATGACTTTTGTGACTCAAGATTTTTTCCTTAAACTTTTAATTTTATCTTTTACGAAGCCATAAATTGCAGGTGGTTTTGATGGTATCTTTATCTTCAGTTGCTTCTTTTTTTCCCTCCAACCTTTAAATGGCACGCTATATGTGGCAAAGTCACTAAAGATCTAAGCTTCGCTTGGATAAACTTTTAGTGGAAAAGCTTTCGTAATTACACTCATTTAAAAGATTTAATTGCTGAGGTGAGCAGTTTTGTTGCTTGTTCATTCTACTCAAGCTCATGGGGGTTTGTGTTTCTTTTACATTTATGTATTTTTATTTTCTCATTTTTGAAACGAACGTTGTGCTGTCAGAAACATAACATTGTGCAGCAGTTGCAGTAGTCGGTTCTTAGCTAAATTAAGCCAATTTCAAAATGTCTTGTAAACGCAAAATGATAAAGTTCATGAGATTTCTCCATTCATGTTCTTGTTTGGTATATAAAATACATTTTTGCTTCCTGTGCTTTATCTCTTATGTTTTATGTAGCAAAACGAGATTCATTTTGTGTTTTCCTTTTTTTCCTCTCCTTCTTTTTGGTGTCTTCAAATGTAGACATTAGCAAAAGTATAAATAATTAAGCATTTCATCATAATTAAGTATCTTCAATTTGTGTTTGGTTCTTTTCCTGTTCTCTCCATCGCTAATTAGCGCATTAAAATGCTGCTATTTATTCCATTTTCATTTCTGTTCACATCTTTTTCATTAGCAGCGCTTTCTTTTCTCTCCCTCTACGCTTTTAAACATTAACATTGAAATTAGAAAAATCATCGTTACATCAACAGAATGTCAAATTCTGAGCATAAGGGGCGAGATGCGAAATGTGAGATGACGATGAGAATAATCCCATGCAGTATGAGAATCAACGTTCATGAGTATCAAAGTCAAACATTTGGATGAGCTGCCAGTTCATTTTAAAAGAAAATTAATTTTGAGAAGAAGTTTCATGGCTAGTTGAAAGCAACGCGTGAGACAAAACAAAACGAGTTTGGTATTATTGTTTGCAGCTAAGTCTTCGGCGTGAAATGAAAGATTTTCTTTGTCATTGTGAGTAAGCTTTACGATGGAAGACGTTCGGAAGAAAAATGAATTTCCATGTAGAAAAATAACAATTTTCCGTCTCTGATAATAACTCAAGATAATCCCTTTCAATGGATGCTGATGTTCCATTTAATTTTCCTCGAAGAAGCTTTCATTTCATTATTCGACGTCGAGTTGGATAAGAGAAGTTCGCTAAACTAGTTTTATTGTTCAATAATGTTACAAATTCTCCCGGGACGACTGTCAGAAATGAAACAAAGAAAATTTTTCCGTCGATTTCAATCGACGATGTCAAATTAAAGAATGACGACGCACTTGAAGAAATATCCCAACAAACACTTACACAAAAAAAAGAGGAAAGAATTGCTGAGTTGTGAAAGAAATCGCTGAAGGACGAAAATGAGTGAAGAGAAGAAAACACAACAATTATAAACAATTTTGATTTCCACTTAAAGATAGCACAAATGCTGAAGAAGATTTCACTTGAAATTCTTGAAAAAACAAGAAAAGTTTTTGCATCTTTCCAAAAATAAAAGTTCTCGAAAAAAAAGTCTAATTAATGAAAATAAAACAAAATCTTCTTTCAAAAAGAGTTTCCATTGCTTCATTTCACACGAGTGGTAGGTAGGAGTTAAACAAAACTTAATTCATAACTCAATGATGATAAGAAGAAATGAAAGAAATATGAAAAGAGAAATCTCTGATTATTAAACAAAACACCGTGAAAGTTTCCCCCGCAAAACTTTTGAATGAACTTATTTCATAAGAGCTTCTTCTCCTTCAAAATGAATGGTGAGTGATGAGCCAGTAATCCAAAGGTCTTAGACGATTTCTACATTCATTTACTTATTTACCTTTGTGCACCTCTGCTTAACATTCAGTAACATTTCCATTTCAATTATGTAATTTCGTATACAAGATAAAACTTATTTCTTTTCCTTTTCTTACAACAAAACAAAAATCTTTTTTTCCTTCTTCATTCTTCCATTCTTCTCCCATTGCCAAACATATTTTTTTCGTCTTCAGCATGGTCGGAGGGTTGCTGTTTTCTTTTCTGGTCTTGTCGACAACAGGATGTTAAAGAAACAGGAAAAAAGAAAAATAAATAATTTGAACATAAGATGAAATAAAGTTTTGTTATTATTATTTTACTACAGCGCTTGGATACTTAAACATTGTTGTGGGTGTGCACAACAAATTGTTAAGTTATGGACCATTTATTATACAGAAGAGTCTAATTAGTACGTCTACCAATAATTCACGTTTATGAAGTTTAACAATACAATCAACCACTTCAGCATCTTTTCGCAGCAACTTTGATATTTTTTATGCTTGTTTGAGCAAATTAAGCTTCTTTAAAGATAAGGTTTTCATCTTGCGCAGTATTAAACGAAGGATTTTCAACATCTGAAGAAGCATCTTGTATTCATTTAATTACAGAAAAGTTTCTGTAAATAAATTAAAATATTATATTCAGACTTCAATCATTTCTTAGCGTCCGCAAACAATTTTTTCTCTCTTCAGTATTTATTTATTAAAGTCGTCGATGTTCAAGTTGAAGGAGTTGTCGGAATTGTTGAAAGTTGTAGCATAAACTTTTTGAGATTCACATTGAAAAGAATCAAACAAAATTGTAAGCATTTTCTATCTTCATTAGATATTTGAGAATTTTAATAAATACGAAAGTTTTTGTAGCAAATTTCTATGCAAACACTTCGGTCCATCATTTATCATTCTTTAAATACAAACCGATGTTGATTGAGTTTTCAAATGAAAATTGATATCAACTTGAAACATGATATTTATTACGTCTTCAAAGCACTTATAGGATATCAACTATTACAAAAGTAAAGACAATGAAGTTAAATTAAGTTTCGCTTTGAACTTTTTATTCGGATAGTTTGGATGATAAACTGAAGGTACGCGACATTGTCATATGATCAAGTTGTCTGACACAATGAGAAATTACTTCAACAAATTCAAGTGAACAGAAGTCAACATCTTTGAAATACTTTAACTATTTATTCACAGAAAGTTGTCGTCATGAAAACTCATGACGCATTGTTTTAATCTCATCTAATTTACGTCATTTGATGAACACAAAATTGAATTCTTATCTGAAGTTCAGAAACTTTTCCATTCTATTGAAAAAACCTTTAGGAAAATTGTTCGAAAAATTTTGTTTATTGTTTATTTCCACCAAACAATTTTTTGCATTCTCGACTCTTTTCAAAAAGCAAGTCAAGAATAAAAAAAAAACTTCTTGTTATCAGTGCGCTGTCGTAAACATTTCTTATTTTTCTTATACTTTTTCATTTTAGAATCGAAACACTGCCAAAAAAAGCGAAATTACGAAAGAAGGAAAACAAATTCCTTCGTGACATTTGAAATGACGCTAAGAGTCTTCCTCATAAGTTAAATTCTTCAAACTTTTAGACTTCAAGAAGAAAGAAAGCCAAAAACCGCATCGAAAACGAGCGTAAAAGCATTTTAATAAGTTAAAAGCAAATCAGATGAAGAGAGAATTTAAATTTACACCCCGTCGTCTTTAAAAATGAAAAACAACACCAAAATGCAAAATAATTCCGACCCATCAATTTCTTCTCGCTCTCAGAGTTTGTTTTCTCGATGTTGATGATGCCTCTGTTGTTGTTATTGCCGAATAATAGCTCGAGGGAAGCTACAAGAACATAAAAAGAAAAAGAAAACTTTTTCTTCACCGTCATTTTCCATCAGTCTTATCGCATAAACTTTTCTTCCTTCGAAAACAAATTGGAGGTAATTATTCTCGAGTATTGATCAGAATGATTTTCTTTTACTTTCGTACCTTCCTCGTTCCCAACTCGTCGTCGTCGTGGGGTTGTGTTTCTCGAATATAAAGTATGCTGTTATCATATTGATAATTTCCTTCTCTTAAGTCGATTTATTAAACGAGAAACGTTGACATGAAAGATTGACAGGGGGGCGGACGGCGATGCTTCAGATGGAAAAGAATGAGTTGAGATGAAAGAGACATGATGGCAGATATATGAAGTGTCTTCACATTATCAGCTGGTACGACATGTTTTATTGAACAGACTCTTCATCTGATATAATTTTTATATTCCTTCTTTAAAGTGAAATATTTTTTGTCTTCCATCAAATGACATCGCAATAAAAATCAATGTGCACAAAAATATACAGAAATGATTTCTAAATCTGATAACATTTGTTCTCCTTTTTCCCATTCAATTGACAATCTTTCCTTTTTCATATAAAAGTAAAATCCCCAGCAGCTCTATAAAACACATACACACCACACTAAACGATTATTCACTCTTTCAATCACTTTTATGTCAGGGATTTTCTCGTATTCTCTTATGCTATTGCTGGTGGTGCAAAGTGGCTTAAATGTTTGTGTAGAGATCAAGCTTATGCCACACAAATCGAATATGATGGTGATGATGACGACAGTAAAAATGGGTAAACAATTAGCTTGCTTTTGCTTGCAAACGCTGAAAAGCGGCATGAAATAACTGACGACATGACAAGAACGAAAGAACATCCAATCTCACTTACAATAAATGGCGGATTTTTACACCAAATCATTTTTTTATGCTTCGATATGCTGTTTTGTTGATTTCCTCTTTCGATCCATAACATAACACACAATAACCAAATAAAATGTCAGCAATAATAGTAAAAAAAAAATAGTTTTTTTCTTCCTCTACTGCAATTTCTCTCGAAAAACTTTTGCGCTGTCATAATATTTTCTGCTTGTTGGTGTTTTACCACCCTCGCACTCGCAAAGCTTGCTTCTCGTTTTCTGGCAATATGTCGGATTTTAGTTGTTTTTTTCGTACTTTTCCCTGCTTTATTTCATAGCATCACCCTCTACACGAAAGTCACAACAGCAGATATGATAGAACTGAAATATTGTTTTATCAAATTGGTTAGATGTTTTCTTTTTTTCTTTTTATGGTTTGCATCAGAGTTGAGGGTGATGATGATGTTGAAAGCCAGAGGAAAACATTTTTCTACAGTCACATAATCGCACAAACATGAAGTAGAAATACTTTTATAACTTAGCGCACATATCTTTGTTATGCTAGAATTTTCTCCTAAAATCATCACTCTTACGTGTCATGAAAATTTTATAAGGAAATGCTTTTTCCAGTTAGTTATAACTTATAACTATGCCATAACTTTTACGAAATACGAAAAGCAAATATTTATTTTTTTATTTAAATTTACAGCTAGCTTCATGATTAAATTAAATTCAATAATATTCATGTACATAAATCGAATCGATAGATTTTTTGCTGCAGAATTATCAACTTTTCAAAGCAAATATTTGCTCTGACGTAATTGTGAGTTATCTCAATGTATCTTCCATTAGGTTTGAAGCTGACTGTTCGAATGAATTTTTTTTTTTAATTTTCCTATTCGCATTTATTTTGAGAACTTTTCTATGAATTCAACTATGACTGTTCATGTTACAGGGTTACGGATTAAGTGAAGTGAAAATAGAAATCATTTGAGATACTCGCCTCGTTTTTCTTGACATTTAATCCCTGGTTATAACATTCACGTAGGTATATACACCAAAGACGTAAACAACGAAACGAATATGACAGTCGAAAAGTTACATAGCAACCATAAAAAACTTTTTCTTCCCAGTTTTATTGAGCACGCTGAATTTTCTATTACATTACGGAAAGTTGAAACAAAAAGAAAGAAGAATTATCATCAGAAAAAATATTGTTATTTTCACTCGTACTGACCTCTCACACGCTATGCATGTAGCATCACAAAACATAACAAGCGAGTGAATGAATGAATGAACATGTGCCTCACAGCACCGGCAGAATCCGAAGAATCATAAAAAGAATCTCCTTCTTTTACACGCTGTCGATTGTTTTGGTGAAAGCCTTAATTGTGCACGTTGTTTAATGATACGAAGCAAGGAACAAATAAGTGCTGCTGTTTAAACGTGAACTTGCTGCTGTGTACATACAAAACGAAGAGAACTGTTTGCACAACTGGTACGAGTAGTCAATTAATATTGTACTCGAAATATACATATTTTTCTTCATTTATACGACCTGAAAAGATGAGTACGAGTAAACGATGGAGAGTGGTAAGTAAATGTATTTAAGTGAGCTTTCATATGATGTTCTTCATCACCACAATTCTTCGAGTTTCAACAACTGTAAGCTCAGAGAGAGTAAAAATAAACAAGAAAATATCATAAGTGACGATTTACATAAAAAAGTATGAAGTGCAATAAAAATGAAGTTCACTGCACATCCATTAGCCTAATAACATCTCCTCTCAGTTTCTGATGTGTTCTCATCTTCACATTTCTTCCTTTCAACTTTTTCTTATGTCTCTCAAATGCCGTATGGTTAACGGTAATGGCGAGCTTGCAGAAATGCCAATTCAGTTGGATAAATAAATAATTTTTTATGTCTATGTGCAAACATTGACGACTGAAGAAGAGAAGGGAAGAAGAAAAAAGCAAGGAAAAAAGGCAGAGGAATAAACAGATTCAGTAACATTGGTAAATAATAACCAGGAGATAAAACAGCCCTCGAGCTTAGACATCGATACGAAATTTGACCTCTTAACTGAAATACAAAAGCAAACATAAAACGAACCACCTTCCTCTCGATATCATTAGATACAGAAGTATTTTGACGGTATTGAAAATATTTTTATAAGCTTCTCCATCATTCGGCAGCAGATTTTATTGATTTTTGTATTCATTTCAACTTTTTTTATTTCAACTTTTAAGAAAGTATGTAGATAAACATTTGAAAGCTTTTATTTTATATAAATTTTATTTGCTAGCATTTTTGTGGCATTTCAGGGTTAATTTAGTAACCTTTTCGGTTTTTATTCTGAAACATTCAAAGTCACGATTTCAATTTGGTTCTGTTCTTATAAGCATTTATGTAAATTCACGTACAATTCAAGTAGAAGATAAATTCCCAACTCTGATCGCAATGTTGTAAAAAATACCATACAATGTTCTCATCTTGACTTTTACATTTTGCATTCACGTTGCAACTGACATATCGTACCGAGACTGAGAATTAAATAAATAAAAAATTTCTGATATTTTTTATATTAAAGGAATTGAAGTTTTATTTATATTTATTTACATTTTATTTTCATTCGATTGTTCATTCGTCTTCTATTATTGAAAATTTTATGTTTGCAGAATCTGAAAAGATATCTAAATGAACAATTGTTTGATGACAAAAAGGAGAAAAAAAACGACTTGAATTTACAATTCCTGCATTCAAAAGATGAAGAAATAATTTGACGTCTCAAAATCTCGGGTTTATCAAATTCAATTGCATTTAGCAAACACTTTTCCGTTTCTTCATTTTATCGTCTCATTCATTCAACCACTTAATCGTCTGCTCATCAACTCAGGTGATACTTCTCGTCTTCATTTCTCATTTCGTCGTTTGTCGTCGTTAAAAATGATCATAGAAGCAGGAAAGAATGGAAATCTGATGATTCAAGTACTATGGTTCTTTTGGTTGTTGTCGTTCTTGTTTTTTTGTCGTTCCTGACAGTTTAATGTCAAGCAAAAAAAAAGCACCTCGCTTCGAAATCTTCTCCTTTTATTTCAAGAGGGACAACAAGATGGTAAAAAGAAATAAAAATCAAAATGACTGCCAATTGTGTTGTGCTTAAAGATTCTTCTTCACTTCCTTTTCTTCTTAAGAAGTATTTTCTAACCACTTCACAGGTCTTCAAGTGTCCTAATGCTGGTACTAATCACCGGACGTCTTGTAATCTCAAGTAGTTAACAAAGCGTGTCTGTCAACGATAAATAACGAGTCAGTTTTATAACAAAAACAATCACAAGAGAAAAAAAAGTAAAAACATTACATTACTGAAGATTCATGAGCTGGTTTAGGTGAAAGGAGAGTGAGGTGAAAAAGGGATGAAAAACTGTTTTCAGTTCCAGCTTTTAATTTTAGCCTCACGAAGAATTTCAAACAAATATCATTTATTTTGAGCTTTGAATAAATAATTTACATAAGTCTGTTAAGACTCAGAGGGGACAAACGAGTTAAATTCAAATATTTAATGTTTGAGATGGAAATCTTCTCTTCGCCATTCATTCCTTTCATTATTGTAATCATTCATCATGTTTTTTCCTCTTTAAAAAATCATTTTGCGTTCAACTTTTTTCGAGACTCAAACGCTTTTAGTTTTGTAATTATAAACCAAAGGAAAGATAAACGATGAATTAATTTTTTTTTTGTTGTTATATTTATTTTTTTATTGGATTTGAAACAAAAGCCAATGCTTGGAGCGCTTCAACACAAAAGCGAACGTAGAAATTTTTACTGCTCTTGCCCCAAGTTCTGTTGCATAATTAATTATAAAAATCAACATCCATCTTCTTCAGATTTATTTTCATGAGTAAAATGCTTTGGGAAAGTTGATACTTGCTCATCATAAAAATTGTTAAAGCAATTTGAATCACATAGAGTAAAATGTTTTATGAGTGCGAGAGAGAAGATAATTTCATTAATGATTTATATTAAGGTTTCTTCAGAACTGCTGTGCTTATCCCTTTATTTAACAAATGATTACGTTCAGGTGACAATGAGATCACGAAAAGTCTTTAATAATCTAAAAGTTTTATCCGAATTTCAACACATTGAAATTCCCTTAGCAAACCTTCCTCATGATTTTTTAACAGCACCAAGTACAAATGATCTCAATCTCAACTTTTTCCAATTTATTTCTCCTAATTTAAAGCAAAAACTCGTCGCATTACATCATGGTCCAATGAAAAATTCATTTTATTTATGAACTTTCTCTTTGTAAACCAAGACAAATCCATTTCCAAGCGCTTAAATCATTCTTATGAAATTTTTCACTTTTCCTGTTTTTCAATTTTGTGACACCAACAAACTTTTGTCTTTTATAAACTTTGAGAAATGTTTCATTTCAGTTCGTTATTTCCGATTTCGAGTTCAGAACGAAGAGAAAAGAAAATTAATTTCATCGCCTCTTGAAGACAGTTGCAGTGCCATGAGGAATTTTAAAATGTCATGATAAAAGTTTCTTTGGAAAATTATATCGCGTTTATATTCAAGTAGGAAATTCTTCTTTTTTATTGTTTAGTTAAAGAAAAGAATAACTTTTGTGTTTATTGAAACCCTCAACCGCTGGTATTTTTTGTCGTTATTCTGCTCATTATGAAACTTCAGATATCAACGAAATTCTACTAAAATTCATTTGTTATTTGTAACTTTTAAGCTTCAGCAGAAATTGAAAATTCGATATTAATTACGAATTCTTTACTTAAAGAGCTCAATTAAAGACTGAAAACTTTCAAAACTGATCACCCTTAAGCTATTCTGAATTTTGACAACTTTAAATTCTTTCTTAAAGCAATTAGCATAACTTGCTATTTGTAAATATTTTTTAGTTAACTTTTGTAATTCTTGTATGAAATTATCAAATTGATGGTCTGCTTAAATTCTTAGCTTTTAAGTTTTTCCTTGGGGAAAATAATATTTTCATGCTAGAAATTCATCGTAGAAAGCTCAAATAGAAGTCAGCAAGTATTCTTAATAAGATAAACTTTCGTCTTGGAATATTTGTGAGAAATCTTTTTGTTGATGCATGGAATAAGAAACCTAACGATAAAAGCATTTGAAGCTAAGCTGATTATTCAGACAGTTGTTGATATAAAGCGAGTAAATGTTCTCGCTGAAATTCAATATCCTAAAACGATCAACGAAAGAGGTTTCAATTTCTGCTTCTTCTAAATATTCAAAGCTGCTCTTCCTATTTTACTCCCTTTCGTTCGCAATCAACTGATTCAAGGCAGAATAAACCATTTTCATCGATGTCAACACCATGGAAACGTCTTTCTCCATACTTTGATATAATTAATACTTGATTTTCTGGTTTTCATAAAGCATATCAATTTGCAGAAATTATATTAAAACAAGAAACAACATTGTAATGTAAGAAAACAACAAACAATATGGAAGAAATATTTCCATAAATTTGAATTTTCGCAAACGTCATTTATGAGTAAATTAAATGGAACATTTTATGGAATCTATAACAAAAATAATCTGAACAGGAAATTAATGAAATTTCAAAATTTCGTTTCAAAACATGTAATTTATTGTGGACGGAGAGGTTGCTAAGAATGAAATCAATTTTATTTAGCCTTTGAACTCACCTTGAAGAAATATTTTCTTGGCTATTTGACTTCTGTTTGTTTTCTATGTTTAAGAACGCATTTTGAAATAGATAATTTAATTCATTTCATGAAATATTGCATATTTATTCGGAATATTTGCCATTAGAAACTTTGTTTGAGAAAGTTATCAGAAATGTCTTCAGGGGGGCTAACAACTTATGCCAAATCTACTAAACTCTACAAAAAGTTTAGAACTCGTCAAATTCGTTAAAAAGCTTTATGCAGAGATTACCAAGAAAGTTTTTTTTTAAGTGGGGAATTTTATGGGTGGATATCTGCTTATAAGCATAAATGCTAAAAGTTATTTAAATATACATGCATATTTAACTTCATTCGATTCATTTACAATGGTAAAAATTTATTCTTGAATATAGATACATCGAGTAGAAAAAATATAAAAATTTATCGAGCAAATTATCTATTAAAGAAAATGGTATCTGGTTGCTATTGTGTTCCTTGATTAAAAATGTTTCTACGGTTCAACCTCCAGTAACTAATTAAAAATGCATTACCACAAAAACTCTGATTTATTAATTATGCCAAGCGTTCATTAAAATCATTGAACAATTGCCGATTGTTCAGCACCATTGATGAACACAATGATTTATCTTCTCAAATTTCCACCTTCCGGCATTTATAAATAGGTAAAAAGGATTCTTGAATCTCTTTCTTCATTTCATGCTCGCCCATTTTCTCAAGCTATTGTAAACAATCAGAGAAATTTAATTAGGAAAGAACTCAAAGTTTTTCCAACGTGATGAACTCAACAATTACCACTCATTCTGCTTTTTTTTGTGTTCTGTTTTTGGGGGAAAAATACGAAGAAAAGAAGCTTTAATAATAAATTTTAATGCGCTAGAGTAACAGAGCGAACTAAATGAGCTTTCTCATACAGACGAAAAAAGAAAAAAAAAATAATTGATGAAAATTTTAATTAATTCTTCAGTCTTTTAATGTTCAGTTTCATTTTCATATAATTTAATTTCTCTAGATTTTTTTTATCATCCTTGCACGCTCTCACTTACGCTGGATAATTAAAAATTAATTAATTATTTTGCAAGAAAACGCTTACAAGCTTGGATATTAATGTGGGTGAAAAGGCGGTGTTTACGCAACTGTTCTTATGTCCCTAAAAAAAACTCATATTAGCAGTTTTTTCTCCTTTTTTTACCAACTCACATCTCCACATCATTCTTAATTTATGTGAGCTGGCAAAAGACCATGAGAGAAATTAAAAGGGTTTCATCATGTCTATCATTTTACGCACATCAAAAAGCATTTCTCACATCCCAACCCATATTAAATTGGATGAAGGATTATCGTTAAAAAGTCCATTTCTACAGATGAGTGAAGTGAATTCAAGCGTCGATTTAAATGCTTTGAGAATTAAAGTTTTCTCTTGTTTTTCCTTTCCAACACTAAATCCCTTAATGAAATGATTTCAAAGTGGCTGTAACCGATTTCTGGGTACGAGAAACTTGTTCTTTCCAGCTCCTACTTTTTTTTATCCTTCCTTTCGGACGATAATCCTTGGGTGCATGTAAATTTCTATCCTAGCCATTGGATTGCTCTTAATCCTCTTTCAGTGTAATTAGATGGAACAAAAACCTCCTAAACTTTATCCCAAAATGACTTTTACACATACAGCAATAACGATGAAAGCATCATATTGTTGTACTACAAAATATGCTATGTTAGTGTTTTGAAGCATTTGAAAATATTTTCTTAGAAGAAGAATAAGTTAGGAAATACGAATCGTACAGTAATCACTGACATTGCCCTTAAATGGATCTCTTGGGGATAAGATTTTAAGGATCATTTCCATTCAGTTGTGTTTTGAGTTGTTGTTAACAAAAGAAGTAAAGTTGGCAGGTACGTGAACAACTACTAGCCACAGACCAAAGATTTCAAAGCTCTAGGACATCAATGAATGTAAATATGTCTATAAAATTGGCCAACAGTTTTTTGTGTTTAATGGAAATCCAACTGTAACTTTACCAACTGAAACCAGATTGACCACAAAACTCTCAAAATTTTCCTTTTTTTTAATCCTATTTCCTTTCAGATTTTCAAATTTATTCATGTTTTGGTTTTGTCATGCACAAAGGAAGAGAACAAAAAGTTGTAAAAAGTCCTAGCAACAAATTCATTTACAGTCGAGATGGAGAAAAAATTTCCTATCCAATTTATTTTATATTATAATATTAACGTGGTGACTTTTTGGCCACAATAATGTGTAAAGTGAATTTAAAATAATTCCCATTCAGAACGATGAAGGCGTTTTATTTTTATTCTTTTCCTGGAGAGGGTGAAAGAGACTTTGGATCGTGACCGGTAGATACGAATTACCAAAAAGTTTAATAAATCAAATTTTTGAACGAGACAAAATAAATTTAATAACTTTTTTTTGCTTCTGAATGTTGTTGAAGCATTAGCTGAGTGTCGAGAGGGAAACAAAATGAAATGGGAAAAAACTCCTCTAAACTTTTTCATCACTGCTTAATGCAGAAATAACAGAGAAAAGAAATTAACAACAGGAAAAATATTGTAATTAAAGTCACAACTCACAACCTCACTCAACTTTAACAAAATTATTTTTACATCAAATTTAGATTTCAGAGCGATGAATGAGAAAGTGTTGTGTCCCTCACATTACCACCCAAAAAATGAGGTCTGGAAAATTATTTAACGATTTAATGAGTTACGAATGCGATGTAATAGTGCGATAGACTTAATACATGTTTCACATGCGACAATCAAACTGAACTAACTAAATTGTGGGTGAGACTATGTTGTGTGATATTTTCTCATCTCCGGATTTATTTGTCGTTTTATTAAATTGTTATTTCTTCTACTTGTTTCGTCTTCCAAAAACCCTAAATAAAAACGGAATTATTTATCTCCCTTCTCATATTAATGAAATTAAGTCAAAAATCTTCAGGATTTTCATCATGAATACGATAATAAAATGGATATAAGTTGAATTGTAATTGTGAATGTAAATAAATGTGAGTGTGTGTGTGTGCGTTGTGTCATTATGTGGGGAGAAAATTTTTCGAAAAGGATTATAAGGGTATCAGCATTTTTCAACTCTTATAGGCTTTATGAGCTTTTAGTATTGTTAATTGGTGGGAGTGTAAAACGAGATGACTGAGCGAGAAAGGGCGTCTAGGGAGAGACCAAAAATTTGATTGTTTGATGATTTGGAAAATTAACATAAAACGCTCGACATCAACTTTGATCTTATTACTCACTCGACCGATTTTGAATCCAAAGGAAATGGAAAAAAAGTCGTAAATTTGCTTCTTTCTTTTTTGTTAAATTAAACTTTTTGATGTGGAAATTACTTGCTGCATGGTACATAAACATATCGAAACTTAAAGAGTTTATATTAAGTTAACATTAAAAGTTGCTTTAATTTAACTCACAATCAAAAGTTGTTCATAATGCTGAAATCTTCTTTGTGATATAATAAAAATTTCCACTCACCCCAGGGCTTTAGAAATGAAACTTTTCATTAAAATAATTGAGTCTGTCTTTAAATACAGACACAGAGAGACTTAAAAGTTTCGTGAAGTGCTTCACCATCAATTAACCCTATCCACCTTCTCTCAACCTGTTCTCCTGAGCCATCCACTCATAATTTGCGGGAATAATTTTGCGAAAATTTTACTCCGCAAACGAGGCGAGAAACTTTATCGTTGTACTCGCTAAAGCTTTTTAAATTGAGTACAACATGAGAGATCATCAATGCATGTGAATTTGAGACTTGAAGCCCTTCGTTGTGTTTTTTTGTTTCATTTTGTTCTTCCCCGTCTCCTTCAATAAATACCACAAAATTGTTTTTCGTATATTTAAGGATAAAAAAAAATGAAAATAAAATAGTTTCAAGTAAGATGAGACGGGAAAATTGCTTCGAATGAAAAGTGTTTGCTTCGTGTAAACTGAATTGCAAATCATTCACTTGGGATCGTTTATTGATTGTAAGCGTGACTAAAATAAAATTGCTTTGCATCTGAGAGTATTCAAATGACATTGTTCATGGATGCATCATTGGTTGCATGGTAATGAACTATTAATGAATTATTTTGCCAATGACAACAACTTTTCCATTATCTTCTCTTTTATATTTCATCTTCATAGTAAAATAATGAGCTCGGTTCTTATTTTACTACTTCATACCAACTTTATTTTTACTTTTTCTAGATGAAAGTACTTGCTACCTATTTACGAATTTATGTCTGCAGAACTTTCTTGAGAATTTCATTAAAATTCAGTATCAATTTTGATGACTCAAAAAGAGTTCATTTACCATCATAAATTCTCTCGAAGCATAAAAAGCAGCAAATTATCTTTCTATACGAAGAACGTTGTGGAAAGTAACAGAAAAATTAGTTTGAAATAACACATAAAACGTATGATTCTCATTTGATAACATTGGATTTTCCCATCATTATTTCATTGAAGTAAATCATCGGCTTGTAAAATATCTCAATGTAAACTCATAATTAATTACGAAATATGGAGAGAAAAAAACTCTTTGATGGTTTTCGTTCAATCTTTTAAAAGCTTTTAAGGCTCTCAACCACAAATATTTGGTTTTTTTGGGGAAACATTTTATAAAACTTTAAGTTCTCAGGCTTTTTCAGGGATAACGTTTCAATATTTTACATCTAAATAAGTCAACAGAAAACTTAATTGAAAAAAATATCTCAATAAAGGATATTTTTTAATTAAAATTATCTTATCCATTTAGTTCCGACTATACAAAAGCTGGCAACAATGTCCATAACTATGAAAGTTTTTTTTTATTTCCTATGCCAATAATCGAAGCGACATAAAAATTTAAAAATATTGTCATAATAAATAAAAATTAAAAAAAGCAATCAAGTTATTTTTTCTATTAACGAATGAAATCACGGGTTGATAAAAGCCTAGATTAAAATTTTCCGAGGAAATTTTGAGAAATAATCCCTAAACAATTTTGCTATCTCATTCCACCTCGATAGTCAACGACGATACTTTCGATAAATAATTGGATTCATCGTACTTTATTTGATCAGATTTAATGAAATATTATCAGAAGGAAATTTCCATAATATACGTCGGAATATTTAGCTTGAGAAAGCGAGAAAAACATGACACCAGTGCGACAACGCCAGAAATTATCATAGTTTGATTTTTGGATTAAAATTTTTCGGTGTTGAGTGACTTATGGAAGCGAACGGGTGGGAGGATGAAGGGTGGATAATAGATGTGATAAAACCATGTTGGGTGTGAGAAAATGAGGAAATCAAATTCAGATAGTATCATGTTTCCCGTTTTCACACACCCCCACACTCTATACTTTACCCTTATCACTCAAGTCTCACTCATTGCTTGTTCTTCTTCTTCTTAACTTTTTCAGCAAACACTTTTTCACCTCCATTCATGAATTCATTCTTTCACCTTTCACACCCACTGCAATCACAAATAAATCTTTATTAATCATTTTTCAATTTGCATAAAGATAAATTTATGTTGATTACCGAATTGTACATTTCCGTTTCTAATGTTGCGTCGCTGCCATTTTTCTTTCTTCGACTGATTCGATATTTTCTCCCACTACGTGTTTATGTTCCGTTAACTTTTCTGAAACAAAAAAATAAAATAAATTCGCAAAAAAAGTCTGAAGTAAAGTATCTGAAAGAGAAAAAGAAAGAAAAAAATTATTTGACGCCTGACAAATGAATTTTACGTGATTTTTTTTTCTTTCTTCTTCAAGAACAATATTTTTCGCTATCAATTCAACCATTCTCGACCAAATATCTAACTAGCGAATGAGCATCAGCAAGAATTTCTTCTCATTCCGTTAGATTAAAATAAATAAATCAGAAAGCGAAAATATCTCGGCAAATTTGTTCGTATTTTCTTTTCCTTCTTTGTGCCCTTTTATCTTTTTTTCTTTCCTTCAAATCGTTCGAATGCCATAAATCATTGAACTCAAATCATTGGCATTCTACTTAGGAGCTTTAATGATTTCAGTTTGTGGAGCAGAGTGAAAGATGATATTGGAAGGCAGTTTAACGTAAAATTTAGAAAATGTTGCAAGTTGGATATAAATGTTCATCGCTTATCGTCGAAAGTACTAATTAATTTTAATATTTCAGCTTCATGGATATTTTTAACGAGCTTCATTTGTTGTTCTTTCTTTCGATAATTTCATTTAATTATCGGAGATACTTCTGGGAATTGGTTGGAGAAGTCTTTCTTTGCTTCGCCTTCTCTCTTTCTCGAGAAGTATGAAATTGATGTAAATGTATCGGTTACTCGTTCATTTCATGACTCCTACGAAATCCGCTTTAAATGTCACTGCTATGAATTCGTAAGAAACTTCTTAGCAACTTTGAACAATGTTTAATTATCCGGAAAAAAATTATTTCTTTCTTCGTTAAAAGCAGTTTAAAAACGTGAACTTTGTTGATTTCCCAAAAGGTAAAAAACAAAGAAAAAACTCAAAAACATTTAGAAAAAAATAAAAAAATGATGAAATGTTCCCAGGCATATTGAGGATTACGACTTGTGGACTTAAGAGATGATCGTAATTTACGTTTATTGTCTGATTCTAGATGAAGTCTCTTAATTTTTAACGTAAATTGTGAATATCTCCCCATCATTGTAAATCTTTCAAATTTATTCATGACGATGAATTGTTTTTCCAAGTTGTTTTTCATTTCTTCTTGAACATTATAAATATAACAAAATATCTTAAAGCAAAATCGTTGGAATCGTGATTCGATTCCAATAATTTAATGCTGCAATTTATTCTCGAGCACTTTTACACATTTCAAGCAGATCTGTTAGTCACGTTGAGTCGATTAAAACTTACTTCAGCAAGAAACTGTTTGACAGTCTTCTTCCTCTTTATTCTCAAGTCATATTAAATGTAAAATAAGAAATTAAATCACCTAAAAGATTCAAACTTCTGTAAATAATTTCTTCCACTTTACTTTTATTATATTTCAAAGAAAAATTAAAAACAAGTTTTAAAAATCATCTCATTAAAAGTTTATTGTTGATGTTAAAAGAAACTTCAAAAAGCTCTCGACATTTGTGATTTCTTTTTAATTTAATTTTATTTATTTCAAATATTTGCGTTCATAAGATCATTTTCCCATTCTCGTGTTTTAATTATTCTTAAAGAGCTTCGAGAAAAACATTTCCAAGAATTTTCCATGTCGTTGCAGCAATGAAAACCTTTAATGTGTTAAATCAACTAAAAATGTTTTTTATTTTTATTCTTTTAATATTTTGAGAGATAAAAAAGGATAATTGGAGGCAACAAAAGATCATAAAAAAACAGAATCATCAAAGATAAAGTAAAACAATTTTTTCAAAGGTTTTCTCTTCATTCGCATCGTTGAGAAAGAAGAAAACAAAGTCTTTCACCTTTTTAATTAATAATTAGCGGTATTTTCGCTTTTTACCACCCTTTGACTTGTTGTTGACTTTTCGTTTCTTGCCAGAAGAGCTCACGCCACTAAAGCTTGTCAGTTCATCGCCAAGTACTCCCATCGTACTTAATCGTTTCTGGCGATGTTTCTCTGCTTTTGACATCGGCAATCTTGTGAAGTTTTCTTCTTCATAACGTTCTCGTTCTCTCATTGCCTTTGATACCATTTGTTGTGCTCTTGAACTGCCAGTAATTTCTACTGGTGTATCGAGGAATTCTTCCTTCCACTCGTCAATCATTGCTGAACTAATCGCGCGTTTTCTCGCTCGTTCTCGTAATTTCTCTTCCTTTTCAGCTGCTGTTTCGTCTGCATCGTAAGGCATTGATGTAAGCTTTGGTGGAACATATTTTGGAATCTCTTCGTTCTCTGTCAAATCCAACTTTGACTTCTTTTTTATTTTCTGAGTTATTTTCTCATCCTCTGATTCATCGCTCTCTGTTTCATCGTCAGTTTCGTTGCTGGGACCTGATAAGAAGTTTTTAGGATTTGCTTTGAAGTTTAATGGATCGGAAGGATTTGTTGTTCCAGTCACAGCTGTCTTAACAAGTTTATCAATTTGATAACGTAATTTATAGTCTATTGGTCGAATCTTCTCGAGAACTGTTCGAATCTCAATAAGTCGATCAATCGCTGGATCTTTTTCTATTCTTTGTCCTAAAAGTAAATGAGAAATAAATTAAATTAAACCAAATTTAGAAATTAAAATACCAGAAACAAACCTGAACATTTCCTCAGTACAACATAAGTTAAATTTATAAGATAATTGAGAAGCATGTGATATTTGACTTCAAGGAAACTCAAACCACTCTCGGTTGACATCTCTCCTGATTTTACTCGTTGCAACATGTTTCCAACAACATCCGAAACCTGTTTTACGTTGTCGTTCATTTCATCAATCAAACGCAGGGCTTGTGGAAGGTCCGGCTTTTGAACGCCATAGTCGTCATCTGTCGCCTATAATGAAGAATGAAAAAGTTAGAAAATGTTTAAATTTCCTCGTACAAATTCAGCATCTGACAAAAATCAGAGATAGGAGTTTGAAGTATTAGCAATTTGAATCCAAAAATAGAATTCTGCAAGCTTTTTAAACATTGTAAGGGAAGTATCATAAATGAGAATGAAGAACAAAAAATTTTACAATTTATATGTTGGTAAAAAACAGAACGTGTTGGTTTGAGCACGAGAAGGAAAACGAGAAAAAAATCGGTTGCAGGATTTACACAACGAATTGTTACAGCAGGTATTGATTTATTTTCATTAATTTTCAATATTTCTTCTTTTCGCGAGTAGAATTTAAAAACCTTTTTTTGAATGGACAATTTATTATGACGGGCGAGACGAGAATAGAAGAATGTCGTTGGTTTAATTAGTGTTTAAATAAATCGAATAACCTCACTGGATCTTTTGGAATTTTATAAATGACGCATTTAATCAAACTGGCTTCACTTGAAGCTATTGCTTTGTATAACTATTTATGTTTTATTGTTAAGGGTTGATTCATTCAAGAAAATTCATCCCCTTTCTAAAATTATTTTTATGTTTCACCCTTCTCGAAATTTTATTTGAATTTTTATTTATCAGCTTAAATTTAAAGTATTAAACTTTCTTTCATATTACACAAACACTAAAACTTAAGATTCTTACCTGTACCATATTTTTAATGTTTTTAATTCCCTATATTCAATACAATTAATAATAAACTTTTTTCAAGTCTATGAATGTAAAAATGCTCGAATAATAAACAAAACGTGCACAATATTCGGCGTTTGACTTTACATTCGCGGGGCTTTCAACTAACATAAACAAAAAAATCGGCAAACGATTGAAACAAATCAAATCAATTTCAAAATATATTCATCAAACGATTAAATAAATAAAAATGGCAGAAGAATATGAAAGATTTGAGATTACTGATTACGATCTTGACAATGAGTTTAATCCAAATAGAAACAGAAGGAGACCAACAAAGAAACAACAAATTTATGGTAAGTTTATAAAATTAAAATGTTTTCATTTGTTTTTCATTACTCTTCTTTATTTAATAGGAATTTGGGCAGATGACAGTGATGAAGATGAAGGACAGGGATCAGAATTTAAGCAATCATCACGGAAAGGAGCCAAAGATTATACAGCACCAGTTAGTTTTATATCTGGTGGTGTTCAGCAATCCGGAAAAAAGAAAGAAAAAGTCGAAGAGAAAATGTCTGACGATGATGACGACGAAGAGGATGATAGGAGATCTGGACTAAAATCAAATACAATAAAGCATTCAAGTGAATCTGAAGAAGAAGTTCGACCGTCGTTTAAACCTCAACAGACAGCTGGAATGAGACAAAGTCACAGGGGATTGTCAAACAAAGGTAAAATTTCAAACAATTCTTTCTCAATTATAAATATTTGACATGAAACCTTTCTAGGACTTGGTGATTGGGAACAGCACACAAGAGGCATTGGAGCTAAACTTTTACTTCAAATGGGTTACCAACCAGGCAAAGGTTTGGGTAAAACTCTCCAAGGTATCGCAGCTCCTGTTGAAGCACATGTAAGAAAAGGTCGTGGAGCCATCGGTGCTTATGGTCCTGAGAAAAAGACAAAACCATCCGACTTAAAAGCATCAACAACAAAGAAACAAGAAAATAAAAACGAAATTGAATCAGGTGAAGGTGGGAAGAAGCAATGGTCGAAAAGTACTCGAAATAATAAACGTCACAAGTATAAAAGTGTTGAAGATGTTATAGAGAAAGGGAAGAAACCTGAATACGTCTTCTATGATACAATGAGTAGTAAAGCTGATAAAGTTACAGTCATCGACATGACCGGACCAGAAAAGCGAGTTTTAAGCGGTTATCATGCATTAAGACAGTCAAAAGTATCAAATGAAGATTCTCTCGATTCCAAGTCAGCCTCTGATTTGAAATACTTTCAATTGCCTGAACTTATGCACAATTTAAATATTATTGTGAATATTTGCGAGCAAGATATCATTGCAAATGATAAACGTCAACGTAATGCTGAAGATCGTCATAAAAGTTTGAAAAATGAACAAGAACAATTGGAGAGAATTGTGACACTTGAAAGAAAATATATTGAGACATTAGAAGATGTGATGGAGCTTGTTGAACGTCTTACGAATGCAGACGATCCACCAACACTTGAAGAAGCTGAAAAAATCTTCATTGAAGTCAAAGTTAATCATCCAAACGAGTTTAAAGAGTTTAATTTGGGTGATTTAGCATCTGGCGTGATTGCACCGTTGATCAGTGCTAAATTAAAGAATTGGAACGCATTAAGACAACCAACAGAGCCAGTAAGTGTTATTAAGAAATGGGCAGACCTTCTTGGTTACTCAAAACTCAATTCATCATCAACAACTGTCTTTGATCCTTATCCAGCTCTCATCTGGTCGTGTATCATTCCATTCTTTCGTGTTGCTGCAGCTGAATGGAATCCTCGTAGTCACGCACCAATGGCAGCACTTTTAGACACTTGGTCATCTCTTATTCCCGATTGGATGCTTGATAATGTTCTCGAACAAATCATTCTTCTTCGTTTAGCACAAACTGTCAATGATTGGGATCCATTAACTGACATTTGTCCAATCCACACATGGATTCATCCATGGACAAATATTCTCGGAACAAAAATGGAAGAAAATATTTATAAGACGATTTGTGAGAAGTTAAGCAAAGCTTTGCGTGCTTGGAACCCTCAAGATCGCTCAGCATACGCGATGATTCTTCCTTGGAAGAATGTTTTTCGTGATGAAGACCTTCAAATGTTCCTTCATAAAAACGTTGTTCCCAAATTAGAACATCGGATGTCGGAGATCGTCTTCAATCCAATACAACAAGATTTAGAAATCTTCAATCAAGTGTGGGAATGGAATGAATTGGTGTCATCACTTGTCATGGCAAATATTCTCGATAAATATTTCTTTCCTAAATGGATGCAAACACTTGTACTTTGGTTGAATCAATCACCGAATTTTGATGAAGTTTCACGATGGTATTCAGGATGGAAAGGAATGTTTAGTGACGCGGTGTTAAAGCAAACAAATGTCAGTGAACATTTTCGAAGAGCTTTGGAATTGATGCAACGTGCAACGGGAATGCCGATTTCTATATCTTCTGAATCAGCTGATTTGAAACCGCCGCCTTTGATGGATCTCAACATTCTTCCACCACCTAATTTAGAATTCAAAGAAATGGTGTCGCAAAAATGTGCTGAACGTGAAATTATTTTCGCACCAATGCCTGGACGGAGAGAAAAAGGGAAACAAGTTTACAGAATTGGAAAACTTTTCTGTTACATTGAGAAGTCAGTTTGTTTTGTCAGTCTTGATGGTGGAATTAATTGGATGCCTATTTCACTTAATACTTTACTTGATAAAGCAATCACAGGTTAAACCAGTGGTTCTCAAACTTTTCTCGATTCCCGATTTTAATTGAATTGAATATGAGAGGATTTTAAAAGATGTTTTATGTGTCATTTTCAATTATAACAACCGCGAATAACAATGTTAATAAAGAAAGCAAAATAAACTACAATTTAAATTCAAATCTTGTTTATTGTACAAATAATTCAATCTCTATGGGAATAAATAATTCAAGTGGATTAAAGTTATCAACGCGCTTTGTTATTCATTCGATACATGTCTAAATGCTTAACTTTCAATGTTTTCTTAGATATAATTTTTTAAGCGTCTCAAATATCTTGAAATGTCTCGATTGATGTTTCATTTTATGGATACTGGTTCAATGTTCTTGCCTCGAGTTTCACTGATGGAATATTTGGAAGCAAATGCTGGGGCTCGTTTCATTGTTGTTCTATTTTGTGGAATGTCAGGTGTGTCATCAATCCATTTCCAGATGCTGAAGAAAGCACCTCCGATTGCTTGTCCCATACTCATCATAAAAGGCCTCGACTCAATTACACATAACGTCGAAAACAATAAACAAATTATAAGTAAAACAGAAGAAATTTTCATCTTTAAATTTTCTTTTCGTTTTAAACTTTTAAATTTCCTTCGTTTACAAAATATTAGCTCGAAAGTCAAACTGCAACTGAACGTAATATCGAAAGGGAAAGATCATAAAAGCTTAATACAAAGACATTGATGATAGAATGAATACAAAAGAAGTGACAGTCACAATTGATAATTTTCTGCGATGTTTTTATCATTTAATTGACTTCATTCATGCGAACATGGGACTTGATCTCATTTATGCTACAAATTTATTCATTGAGTGGATACAAGTTGAGTCAAGTCGAGTAAGTAATTTGAGAGAATTTACTTTTTATGCGCCTTAAATTCTGTTGTTGTTTGTTTGTGTTTGATTTGAGCTTTTCTAAATAAAATTTGTTTTTTGGTTGTCAAGAAACATCTGAACTTTATTTTTCTTTATCTTAATTCTACTACAATAAAATGTATTATTAATAATTATTTATCAATGTCCACTACACTGTAGATGGTTTGGTTGTTATATCTGCCAAAGGAACTTTAACATACCACGATCCCCAGTTTGAATCTTTGTACAATGCTTCCATTTCATAATAAGTCGCCTCTTCCTCTTCATCAACTTTAACGAGGGTGTCAACTCTTGTCCCATTCGTGTACGTATGTCTAATTCGCTTCATAAGAACAAACTCACCTTCTTTGGTTGGCTTTGCAGTGGATTTTTCTGGTGGTATCGTGAGAGCTTCAGGGATCCAAGAGTTGCCCATCTTTTCATTTGAATTCATTTTTGATTCACTCTCCAAATTATTTTCATCTCCAATCAGCTTCATGAATAAAATTTGAAGTTTTTCCGGAAGAGAAAATTCTTTTCTTTTATTTTTTCCAGAAGGAGGTGCTGCTGTTGTAGGAATGAAAGAAGCATGCATGGAATCAATTTCACCTTCATAACACTTCAGAATTTTCATCGTTTCATTGATATTTGTGATGTTGAGCGTTTTTGTGGAATTGCAAACCATTGGAGATCGACTGATCAAAGTTTTGTTTGTACAAAATATTTTCTCGTTCGATTTTTCCATGTCACATTCCAAAGCTGTTTCAATCAAACCTTTTCCAGTGACAACTGACTTCTCAACATTAGAAGCATTTGTGATTGAAATCATTTTGTTGAAACAAGAATAAATTTTGTCTTCAATCATGATTGGCGATTGGACAATTTCAGTTGTGTTGCAATACATGAGAGGTTTAAATGCTGGCACATTAAGAGGAAGTAACGAAACTAGTCCAAAAGCAGTTGCAGCACCTAAGAAATAAACGAATTGATGAAAAAAGTTTTGGGTTCATAAAATTAAAAAATTACCAACGACAGCAGCTGCTGGCAAGTAACTTTGAGATCCCGGAACTTTATTATCAAAGTAAGGAGCTTTGGTTGTCGCTCTCCACTTTTTGTCGTCTTCGTCATACCAGGTTCGTTGACGATTAGAGTTGTGGCTTCCATAATTCATTCTAGCTCCATAAAACAAAGCGTTCGTTAAGAAAGGCGATCCACCCGCACTTCGTGATCCGTAATAATTATTGTAAATGTAAGTATTACGAAGAAGTCCATTTGATCCGAATGTTGATCCATAGTTTAATCGTGGACGAACTATTCGATTAGTTAGTTTTTTGTTTGCGTAATCTGGTTGAGCAGGTGGACTTGTGAAAACTGTTTTCGGAACTCGATTCGCTATTCCAGGATAAGCTGGGAGTGGACGAACGGTGCCACTTCCACCATTCCATCCATTTATATTCGTCCCTGCTTTGCTTTCTGAAGCTGAAGATTTATAACCTGCTGATGATTGGTACCATCCTGAAGACATTGACGGTCGAGATCTTCCAAAACTTCCAACATGCAGCAATAATCCAGCTCTGCTTCCTTTACATTCGAAGCTGTCAAGCAGCAAAGACGAAACTAATAAAATGTACAATATTCTAGGATTCATAACAAGCCCACGTTGATCGACAGGTGATAAATTAAAGTTTTGATTAAAATGTTTACAATTTCGTATCGTATGAATGAAAAACTTGATGACGATAAATCTTGAAAATTTTCCAACTCCCACTTACTTAACTCTCAAATGATGACTGAAATCAAATTGAAGTTAATAGAATTATTTATGAAAAATATTTTACTAAGTTGAATATGATTGAATGACGTAGAAGATGAATCAGTGATAAAAATTTCTGCATGAAGGCTAAATGAAATATTAGTCGAATTAAAATGTTTATCCCAGTTTGTCACTGCATAAAAGATTTTTAATGCGTTCTCAATTTTTATTCACTTAATCTCTGTTAATGTCTCATTAACAAAACGAGTAACATTTGAAAATTCTTGAATATTTTCTGTATTTGTCAGCAATTCTGCTAAAGGAAAATTCACATCAGAATTCAATTCATCAGTTTTGTTGTGTTGTGTTCGATTCCTGAACTCGTCTAATGTTCCCACTTTAGTGGCATTTGGCAAAGTTTCAAGAGAATTTTTCATATCTTTTTTTAAAAATTCGGAGCTGGTTGTTGATGTGGTTTCTGTTAGAACATATATTATCTCAGTAATGCTATTATTGATTTCAGTTTTCTCTTTAATCAAAACAATCTTTTGATCGTTTTCCTTATTAGAGAAAACTAAATTATATTCATTCTATTAAAAGAATTCAAACATTAAAGTAATAAATTGAATCAAGGATTAATATATTACAACAGGTTATGGGCCCAGAGCTGGCAAATTAAAAAAAAAAGAAAGTTNGTGGCATTTGGCAAAGTTTCAAGAGAATTTTTCATATCTTTTTTTAAAAATTCGGAGCTGGTTGTTGATGTGGTTTCTGGTGGAAACGTCATTGCTTCAGGAGCCCAAATTGTATCGTTCTCCTTCAAAGCAAGTCGAGGATCATCGGTAGTCGTTGGAGGGGGCAATGTAGTTGTTGTAATCTTCTCAAGAGCGTCCCCTCTTCCAATCATCTTCATGAAGAAAACGTGAATTCTTGAAGGAATCGAAAGTGACTTCTCAGTGGTTGTTGTCACTGGTGCTTCAGTTGTGGTTGTTGGAATGAATGAAGCCAACTTAGCATTTATTTCACCTTCGTAGCAATTTAAAATTGTCGTTGTTTCGTTAAGATTCGTTCCATTTAAGAGTGTTGTTGAGTTACAAACCACTGGATATCGACTGAATAATGTTCCATTTGTCGTATAAATATTTTCGTTTGATTGTTGAACTAAAGAAGCGTTTAGCAAAGTTGAATTCTCTAATCCCATATTTCCTTTTATGCACTCATCAACAATTGTTAAATTCTCCAAAGTCTTTGGACATGAAATCATGACAGTTTTATTCATGCAAAAATAGGTGACATCTTCAAGTTTTATTTGTGTTTGATAAAGTTCAGTCGTATTGCAATACAGCAAAGGCTTCTCAGCTGGCACATTTAATGGCAACAGTGAGACTAATCCAAAAGCAGTTGCAGCACCTGACGTAGAATTAAATGAAAATTAAATTATTTTGTAAAATTAATAAGTTAAGAAATAAAATTACCCACGACAGCTGCAGCTGGAAGAATGCTGTCCGATCCTAAAATATTTGAATTTTAATAACATTTCAATATAATTTTTAATTTAAAATCTACCTGGAACTTTATTTTCGAAATAAGGAGCTTTAGTCGTCGCTCTCCATCTTCTGTCATCTTCATCGTACCATGATCGTCGATGATTCGAATTATGATTTCCCCACGTATATCCATGATGCATTCCAGCTCCATAAAACAAAGCATTCGTTAAGAAAGGCGATCCACCGCTACTCCGTGACCCATAATAATTATTATAAATGTAAGTATTTCCCGGAAGTCCATTTGATCCAAAAGAAGATCCATAATTTGGATAAGAATTGTAGTAATTGTGGTTAGGATAGTTATTGTGTGCATATATCGAAGGTGTTCTATAACTAGGGCTGTACGTTGTGCGATGATAGCTTGGACGTTTATTATAAGAAGGAGTAAATCTCACGTTGGTGCCTGGATTGTGGAATGTAATTCCAGGATTATGAGATGGATAAGAATTATAAGACGGTGGATAATGCAAGCTTGGGGAGTAAGTTGGTGGAAAATTGGAAGCTGGTTTACTGGAAAGTCCTGGATAAGAAGGTGGTGCTGAAGGAAATGGAGAAGGAGATCGAATATTTCCAAAGCTTGAACTTCCACTTGAAGGGGGCCTGGATATTGAAGATCCGGTGTTACCAAAATTCCATCCAGTGTTTGAACTTGGAGAAGGTTTCGATATTGACGATGAGCCAGTGTTGCCAAAATTCCATCCAATGTTTGAACTGGGAGATGGTTTCGATATTGACGATCCGGTGTTACCAAAATTCCATCCAGTGTTTGAGCTTGGAGAAGGTTTCGATATTGACGATGAGCCAGTGTTACCAAAATTCCATCCAATGTTTGAGCTTGGGGATGGTTTAGAAATTGATGATGCTGCGATTATAATTTGAATAGAATTTAATGAGGAAATTCTTTTTGAATTCTATTGAAGTGAAATTGAAGTTGTTTTCATGAATAATTACGTGAAAGATTCCAACCAATGGAAGAAGGTGATGGAGAAGGTTTCGACCAGCTTGGCGATGGAGACGGTTTCGACCAGCTTGGAGATGGAGAGGGGTTTGATGCCCAACCATAAGATGGAGAAGGTCTTGACCAGCTTGAAGATGGAGACGGAGACGGTCTTGACCAGCTCGAAGATGGTGATGGTCTCGATGACCAACCATAAGATGATCTCGAAGAACTTCTCCCTGCTGCAGCAAAACTTATCGAAAATAGAAAAATAACAAACGTAATCGTTTTCATGGTCAATTTGTGACCCGTAAAATTATTCTGCGACGAAAAAAGATTAAAGTAGATTGTAATTTTTAACTTGTTACACTTCTCAATGTTGAATGTTGACTAAATGAAAAATCAATGTCGAAGCTCATTAAATTATAATTTTATTCTAGAGAGAATCATTTTGTGAGAGAATAATTAAATGAACTTTCTTATCAATGCTTATTCTGACCCTTAAGTATCTCGTCTTATTCATTTAAAAAGATTCTGGTTCATTTGTTTTTATTTTGAAAAAAATAATAAATTTAAAGTTGAAAATTCAGACAGGAAATTTTGTAATTATTTATTTTTATTAGAAAATTTCTTCATTATATCGATTAAGTTTTAAATTGTATTACTTAAAGGAACTTTAACTTTGGTTT